GAAAGATCCTCTGAGAGCAACCGAATTAGACATTGGTCATCCCTCTTTCTGAACAAAATCATGGTTAAAGGGTATCTCATAGTCTACCACTAAACGGCAGCGTCGTGGCTGTTTTAATTTACGCGCTCTGTGGGTTGGTGAGAGGCCGCTCTGGGGCCGGGACATTTCATTTCATATCCGTTAAACGTATTCAAAGCGCGTGCCCCAGCCAGTTCTCCATTCTCCCTGGGATGTGGCATGCAGCTCTGGTTTTAATTTACTTATTGTTGCCGCTTCAATGGGAACCTGAGAACTGAAAGAGAGGAGCACTCATACACCAAGCCAGACAGGCTGGACCTCCGTTCCATATGGTCTCGGTCTCGGTCCCGGTCCCGGTCCCCCAATCCCAGTCGAAGTCGGAGTCCCAGGCATTGACTTTGTAGTCCTTCTCCTCTCCGCGGGCTTGTGCTGGTAACTATATTAAATCCAAGTTGATCGAGCTTCCTTGGGGAACCAGTGCTGGTTGTGCGCCGGTTGATTTTTCGATTTCAAAAATGAGGTCACAGCCTTTGGCCCCCCTCCCACAGCTAGACATCTGCCTGCCATATGGGAATTGTGTTGCGTTGGGACGGGCTGCCATTTCAAAGGCACTGAAGGAGTAGAGAACTTTCCGAGCGCTTCAAAGTAGGCAACACTTTTTGGAGCTTCTTAGATTTCAGCGAATGTAAAACGTAATCTTAATACAGGGCGGATACGCGTTATTGATGCGTTGCCAGGGCACGCGTCTGAAGTATGCAACAACTAAGAGGCGCAGGAGGGGGAGGGGGGAGAGCGAACAAGCAACTTCCATTAGCCGCAGAGGATTGACTTTGACTGGGGGATAGCTTTAGCCAGGAGAGATGGGATGATGGGAGGCTGTCAGCTGGGATGCTGGAGGAGAGACCCTCCAGATTAGTGGGAATGTTTCCAGGCTAATGATATACACTTTTGCCCAAGTGAAATTATAAAGTGCCCGGCATCCACCGCGGGATGGAAGAGCAGTAACAGCACTACAATTAATTTTACAGCATTGCTGGATGACACGCAAGAGCCCCGACCCTCTCTGCACTGTACCCTCTCCAGGAGAATACTCTTCACTCTTGAGTTGATTTTTAAGCCAGCTTAAGTCGCGCTGAGCAGGCTGCATGAGTAGGTGGATGCCGTGCTTCGAGGTCGCTGTTACCTAGGCAGCTTGCACAGCATTTGCAAATTAGCTTGGTCCTCCACCACAGACTCAGAAGCCAGGGACTCGAACTCAAGATGCCCGATTGGCAGCACCAGGACCCCCCGAAAAAGCAGACGCAGGAGAGAGAAAACCAAACAATTAGCTGGAGTGGCTTAGCAGCGGGCGCCTGATTGAAATTAAGTGCAGTTCGAATGGCGACACGAACTGTATGCAATAAAAGCAATTTACCTAAATCCCCCCAATAGAGTGGCCTCGACAGGGATATCCACGGACTCCCACGGAACCAGCACCAGACCCGCCTCCATTCCCAAGGCTTTTTCAATTGGTTTACAATGGCCTGACCACGGCTCCTTTGCAAGCGGAGCCCACAGGGGGGCCGCCTGTCTGTGTTCACATGATATGTGTGTCCTGTGCCGGACTCCCTCTTTGTATGCCGGGCGATTGTGTGGTGATTGTTTGTCTGCGACCGGCATTAGCGCAGCAGGTTGCCAATATTGTCCATTGTTCCGTTCTCCTTTCCTCTGTGCTCTCTGTACATTATTTTTCCCAATATTTTCTTTTTTCGGTCGACACTCTGTCTTTTGTCCACTGCCAATATAATTGATTTGTGTCCTTCCCTCCAAGCTCTAAATGCTGTCCTTTGGTCTCGTTTCAAACGATTTCTGTCGCCTGTTGTTCAATTGCAAGGAAACTTAAATATACTCGCATGTGTATCTACAACTTGGAGATATGTGTGTGTTCTACTATACAAATCATTGGGTTTGTAACATTCTCTCGGTCTCCCCCACATATCTCAATCTCCCTCTTCCATTTGTGTTCTGTGTGTTCCGGCATTTGTCACCTTTTGAGCTTTTGGCCCGGGTTTGTTCTGTGATTAATCTCAATTTGTTGCTGCCACATCTGCACATCTTGGATTGTGTGTGTTTACCAGATGTTTACACTGACTCGGTGAGAAGTCAGCCGTGGGGGGGAGGGAATACTAGATGGTGGACATGCTTCCTATTTGATGTAATTTCAGCTAAGCAAACAGGAGCTCTCTTTTGGACTCTCTTCTGCTTGAACGTTCCCAATTGAGCAAGAGTAATGGCAAGAGATCATGAGCACGTTCTGCCATCTCTTTTGGCCAAAGGCTTTCCAGTAGTGATCAACATATATGTATGCATCTCGCTCGCTCTACCGTACGAGTACTGTTTCATTTTTCATTTATTTAGTTCACAAAAAATTTACATTTTTGCACAGCACAAAGGGAGCTAGGTTTTACGCTGAATGGGCGTGGCCCAGCAGCAGCGATTTTTTTGACCCTCATGGACCAATGATCAAAGGCAAAAACCGACTAAAATATCCCGTTTCTGTGTACTGTTTGCAGTCGCTGTCGAACCAAACAAAAGAGTGAATGCTATTCATATGCTTGTGTCCCTTATACATACATATGTACAGGGACTTCTTTGCTCTTTGGTGCGCTGGCTGGCGGCTGTTCGGAGCTCATCGGAGCCTGAGATTTATTATAACAAAAATGTACGGTCATCTGTCTGGGCGACGAGCAACCGGTGCCATGTAAGATTATAAGTTAATTATTAGCTGGGTTGTTCGTTTGGTAACTTAAAATGCAAAAAGGGGCTGCAAAGGCTGGCAAAATGTCACCAGAACTGATGATGGCACGGGTCAAAGGATGTGGCGATAATGAGCGTTATGGCAACGACAGGGAAAAGGACTCGGGTGACAGCAGCTGTTTAGCATTGATAAAAGTCTTTAAGCACCAAAACTTCATCAAATGAAACCAAATCCCGATTAGCAATGAGATAGTACATCCTGGCAACGTCCCCTCATTGGAGGGCAATGATCGAATAGACGAAGATGTTCACTCTCTTGCGGGACATGCAAAATGCAATTCGGTTTCGTTCTCTGTAAAATAATAGGAAATAAAAGCTTAGTAGTTGTTTGCTGTTTAGGCCAAAGTGCAGACAATCAGGATGAGCACCGAGATGGAAATGATGTTCCTCCCATCCGCACGCTGCGCAAAGTGTAGCATGCAACTAATCCCGTTATGCATTTACGTATTGCTTTAAGCATAACTGTTTTTGTTGCTGTGGTTTTAGTTGTCCGACTTTTTAATTACAGTCCATGTAATCGTATTATGATTTTTCATTCCCAAAGCCAGTGCCAAAAGGCACAAGCGCCAGCAAATGTTCAAGAATCAGCCACAAAATCTGTTTTGTTTTCCAGGTGTGGAGTGTAGATTGTGGTATGGGTGTTGGGGTGGTGGTGGGGTGGGGTGGCATTAAAGGCAAAAACATTTATGCCAAAACAGCCAGGAGCAGGACACACATGTGGAGTGATGGGTTGGTGGTTGGTGGGGCTAGGAATGGTGCTATTTAGGTCTCCTTCTTCGTAGAAAAGTCATAAATGCGTACAAACGAAGCGAGCAGAGAAGCCCAAAGCCAGAGCTGAACAATGGAATTTGTTACCAATTAAATGACTGCATTACATAATAATAACAATAACAATAAAAGTAACAGCAACAACAATGCCACATCCGCCATGTGTTCGCCGTTTGTACATACATACATATGTACATACATATGCAATATGTGTGTGTGCTCGCATGATAGACAGGAGGAGTGGGGCTGAATTGTTCCAGGTCGCCAGCGAAGCCAAACAAATATCCACGCACCCACACACACACACACACACACACACACATACACAGACATACCAATACATTCTGCGCAAGCATCTCCAGCGGTATATTGGTTGTCAAAGTAACGGGAATCAATAGCATGCCAGAACGGAGAGTGCTCGGGGGGAGGGTAGATCCAGCAGGAGAAGCTGTCTTTATTAGGCGACAACAACATCAAGAAAAACAAATTTGTATTACTTCATTATGGCAATGCTTTTGATTTGACTTTTTCTGTATGCCCTTTGCCGAAGGGTACTACGATTTTGACTAGACTTTGGCCACGCAGAGGAGCTCGGATCAGCCTCGACTACATCCGTCTCTAGTCTCGGAGAGCGCATAACAAAAACGTGAGGGATTAAGTCGATTCACGATTTGCTATATTTAATTTTGATCAAGTGTTGGATCTGCAAGTGTATCACACGCTTCGGAGCCGGAAAACTAGCCTACCTGTCGTGTTATCTCAGCTTTTCGTTGCATGTTCATCCCAATTTTCGATGCCTTGCCGGCTGCTAGCTTTGATTCCATAATTTGTTGGGGAATTTCCATAGATTGAATTTCCCCCCCAAATATCCAGGAAAGACCAGCACTAATGGAATATGAGTACATGGGAATATGAGAAACGGAAGGGGAGGGGGTATGGCAATTAAAAATCAAACGCCCAAATTCCTTTTATATCAAAATATATATATATAAATGTTTATTAGTATTCGCACATGCATATACCCTGTACGGGGCAATACAATTACTCGTATTTATCAATTTATAGTTATTTTCAATAATTATTATAATTATTGTGAGTGTGTCCGTGTTTGTCCTGTTTGGAGGGTACAACTCCCTTCAAATTGAACCAATTAAATGGCATATCGTATTGTATATATGTTATATATGCATGGTATATGTTGATGTATACCGACATCAGCTTTTTTTTAATACATTATTTAAATGAGCAATTTACGCACCGACCGACAAGGGCCATTAATAACTTGCACAAATATAGATTCGATTTAGTATATTTGCATTTTATTAGCTTATTTACTTACTGTGTGCTTGTGTGTGTGTCATAATTTAATATGGTTTTGATTTCTATTTAATAGCAAACAAAATAAAACAAAAATCGTGTGTATCTTTGGCATTTTTTTTATTCAAAATAAATTGATACCGCTGTTGTTGATTGTTTGGTTATTATTGCTATTGTTGTGGCTTTTCGTGGCTCTATTACCAAATACAAAATGTAAATCATGTAAATCAGCTCGGCGATTGAGCCTTATGCAAATCAGTTAATTATACTTAATTTAATAGGCAATTGTTCCTCATATTTACGTACGAGTAAAGTAATTCAATTTCTTTTCATGCAATTATTGCTCTTACTTATGGATTCTTTTGGAGGGGCTTCATCGTATAAAATCAATTTCATTCTACGTGCTACAGATAGTACAATTGATGGGTTCTTAAATAAATACAATAAAACTCCACTCGCACCATTGTAGCACAGGGCAATGGACAGTGAACAATGGTCCAGTTTGGGGAGCTGGTATAAATCATTTGTTTTGTTAAAACTAATTTCTACTTTAAGTAATCTTCTCGTATATAATTAGTTTTTGTGTGTGTATTTTGTGGATATGGTTTGTTGGTTGAGTGTGTGTGGTTTTGTATGTTTGTATGTGGGAAGCACTTGTGGGCATTTAGGAATTGATTTGTATTTAAGAAAACCCGGCAATTTCGATCCTATTTATATTGGCAGCTCTATTGTGGGCTTGTTTTCGTTCTTACAACTAAAGATAATCAAAGCTCCTCCTCGCATGTCCCTTTTTGCTTATCTTCCTTGCAAATAAAACATAAAATACTAAGCTCTTCTTTGGGTAACCCATCAAGCAGCCGGGGAAGTGCTTCTCCAGTGCGGCTGGTGTTCCGCTAATAAAAAGTTAAACTGACATTTTTGCAAACGATTCTGCTTAAGCATATATTAAGCGGAAACTCCTGTATAAGTGTATAAGCATGCATAGAACTCACTTACGGTATAAAACTTAAAAACCAGACAAGGGACATGCTCTAGGCGTCTTGCGCCTAACTTAGTCAATAGTATTACCATTGTTTAAATGCTATGCTTAAAATGGGCTCGTGTATGTGTGTGCTGGTTTGCTTTTCAAGCTCTAGTTGCTTGTCTACTAAATTTCATTCCATTTCGTGTTCCTGGATGTGGATGTGGATGTGGTTCGCGGCTCGTGGTATACATATAAATTAGAGTACATACTAAATAAATAATATGCTGAATAGTGTGTTTTGTTTAGTGTTTTTCAAATGTGGTGTTCGATCTTTAAGCTACAAAGTTTGTCAGTTGTTCGCACTGAAATCGTTAATTGATTGTTTTTCTTTCGTGATTAATACAAAACATCGTCCTGCCTCTTCAACATTGAGTACCGTACCCTTCGTCTTCCATATGGAATATCCTTTCTATTCATTCACGGAATATCCTTTGCTTCCATTTGAATAGCTAGTCCAAAAAGAAACCAATTCGCACTTGGATATATACAAAAGAGTTTTGCTTAGTTGCATATATAAGTTGTGCCAAATCGGTAGATGTATATATATATATATGTATGATTGTATATATCTATATATATATATATAGATTGTGTGGTTAATACGATGCGATTGTTATTATTGTTGCTGTTGCTCTTTCGGTTTCTGTTGCGGCTTCGTTTGCTGCTGATTCTTGACAATGATTTATGGCGATACATATGGCGGTGGCTTGCGATAGGAGGGCGTGGCGGGTGACTTCCCTCGCACCTCCCGACCGCCGACTACAACAGCCGGCGGTGGCACATACTCATCCACATCATTGTCGCCTGTAAGGAGATTTGCCACAGATTAGACTTTGAGCAATGGGTATGGCTTGCATACATTCATACCATTCATGTTTGATGTATTGTAGGACGGTGGCAGCAGCGGTGGCTTCTCGTCTTTGAGTATTACGGGGCTCTTGTTGCCGATTTCGGGCTTCTCCTCATACTCATCCTGAAAGATGACTGGTATGCCCTTGGCCCGGAAGGACTTGCGCTCTTCTTCGTCGCCTGAAAAGGACACCGAAATTGAATTTGACTCTCGACGAAATGCACACAGAAATGGAGAGAGACCCGACCCGCTTCCTTACCCAGCTCCATTTTACCACTCTTGTGGCGGCGTCTGTGCAGGCAGCAGGCCACGATAGAGGCCAGCACTATCATCACCAGAATGATGACAGCGGGCAAAATGAAATTGGCCAAGTACTCCTCGCTGAAGGTGGACTTCTGGCTGGGTTCCTCAGTGCGTGTGGGCACGAACTCGTTTGTGATGTCTATGTTCTCGGCATCTGGAAAAAGAAAGGATGGGCAAAGGACAACCAAATTAGCTCTGCTTCCATGGGGAAATCTCAGAAAATATTCTTACGATGACAACTGCCAAAAGGAGCCACCGAAAAGTTTGTTAGATTCAGCTCTGGACCCAAGGCCCGCTTCACGCTATCCCTCAGGCTGTCGCCGACCAGATAGACACTGCGCGTGGCCGCCAGCTCCTTCTCAGGGCAGCGGTTGTGATGCTTGTACAGCGACGTGTTGTAGAAGTTGACGATTGTGCCGTCCGAGTCGTGGTGGATGTTGATGGAACGGATCTGGATTTGATTGGTGGTGGCGTCGCCGTTCACCCTGGCTATGCGCTCCACAAACTTGCGCTGCAGCTCAGCATTGAAGTTCTCATGGCGAATTGCCAGGTAGGCCTTGAAAAAGGCCCCAAACTCCTTTTTGGGCGGATGGCTAACGACTACGACAAGGGCATCGTGGGCACTGAGACCGCCGCTGTCCTCTGCCACAAGCAGGTACTCCTCGGAGCCGGTGTCGCCACTCTTTGGGATGCCGTAGAACTCCTGGTTCTTCGAGTCGAACTGCAGCCAGTGGCGAGTGCTCAGCTCCTTGTGCTCCTTGGACTTGAGGGTGAGGGTCAGGTCGTTATCATTAGCATCGTAGAAGGTGTCTGGCGGCACTTTGAACACCAGCAGTTGTCCTACGCTGGCGTTCACTCGATCCACTTGGTTGCGCGGCATCGGCGGCACGTTCTTTGCCATCTGCATAGTGGGCTTCACCTTCGTTAGGTCCTTCTGGCACGATCCAATGAGCTGGCCAGTGATCGACTTGATGCCCAGCAGCGGCTGCACCAGATCGCTCAGACGCTGGGCATCCAGGCGGCTAACAAGGTCGCTCAGCTCCTTCTCGGGGCAGTCGCTGGTCGGCAGAGTCTCGTTGAAGTACACGAAGATGGCGCTGTGTGGGTCCTGTGGGGTCTGACGGATCTCGCGTACTACTACTGCCGAGCTGCTGTCATCATCCAGTGTTCGAGCCAAGGCATTGATCAGCTTCAGTTGCCAGTCGATGTTGTGGCCGTGCTTCTCGTTGATCTTCACGAGAATGCTGATCTCGTGGTTGATGGTCCGCACCGCTCGGTGCTGTTGCACGCTAATCTCCACCGTCTCCGTGACGGTGGCGTTGCCCGAGTCTGTGGCAGAGAGGCGATACTGCCAACGCGACACGGTGTCGTCCAAAGGTCTGCAAAGGGACAGAGGAGACAGACACATTATAAACTTCCATCCTGCATAGAAACATAACTCATTTACTTACAGTCCGTACAATTCCCGCTTATCGGCATTGAACTGCAGCCAGGAGTTGGATTTCAGCTCGTGGCCATCCTTGTCGGTGAGCTCTAGACGCAGGTTGCCCTGATCTTCGGCATCCCAGAAGGTATCCTCAGGCACAATCATGGTGAAAGCCTTGCCCGAGGTCACCGCCAGTTTCTGCAGGCGCGTCTTGATAATCGGGACACTGTTCTCCGGCTGCGGCTCCACATAATCCGTCGAGGAGAATGTACTGACGGTGCTGGTCGCCTCGGGCGTGGCAGGTGTTGTCGTGGCCACCGTAGAGGGGGGCACTGAAGAGCCTGGGAACAGCTGCTGTCGATGAGAGGGATTAATAGGAGATTTGAGCGTTGCCAGGAGCCCGTGATATAGCCCATACCTCATTATTGCCACTTCCACTGCCGCTGCTGTTATTGTTGGGGGTGCTGATGGCATCGGCTTCTCCTTCCTGGGAATTACAGGTAAATCATTAGCATTGAGATGACTAATTGGTGCCAATGGATGGCTCTAAGTTACATGCTGAAGGAGTCTGCGGCTAAGGAGGGGCAGGCAGAGTTAGTGTTAGTACAACATCCAAGTACGAGTGCAAAAACAGGTAGGATTACGTATACGTATACGTATGTGTGTGTGTGTGGAGACAGTGGGCATGCAATTACCAAGGACCTCATGCAGGAGGTGGAGAGGGGGCGCAATCTGGTTCACTAATTGCCACATGCTGCTAGTAAGTGCATTCGGCCGGAAGGAATATTCCGCGCTTAATTGGATTCAGGACAAACCAGTGGGCGGGGCGGGCTCGAGGTCGGGGAAATGGTGCAACATCTATGGATCGACTTGTAAGCTTAAAAACTATATTTCTGCAATTGCAATGCAATGGCGATGCGGCATTTCACCTTAGAACTAATTGTGCGGTGCGTTGCTGTGGACTCTACTACGTGAGAATCGATTTCGCTCGAGGAGGACGTTCTTGCTGTTGTTTCACCAGCAGCAGCAGCTGTTGTTGGTATCGTTGTCGCATCTTCAACATCTTCGATGGGCGGAAAGCTGCTCAGCTCGAAATCATTTGCATTTGGCTGCTTTTGGTTTGAGTTTCAACATAAATTTAATAAGTTTTTGCTGTTTTTTTTTTCTGGTAAGGTCAAAAACTAGCAGCCAAAGATCCATACAACACATTTATCACCTCATTCTGGGTTTGTTTGGAAATGTCTCAACACCAACCCACAACTAAATATCAAACGACTAGTTTTCCTGATTTAAATCTTTAAAAGCTCTTTAGAACTGTTGAATATGTACAAAAAGAAAAGTATCCCCCCGAATAAACTGCCGAAGAACCAGTCACAGAAAAAGCATCCTTGGGCAATAGTTTTCCAACACTAATTGCAGCTCTCATTTAAAGCCCGACGATCGTTTACAAACACTAACTGTCAACAAGCAAATTAATCTGCAGCTAAAAGCATATACATATGTACAATTTATAAATACATATATATTAACTATATCTACATACACTTCTTTATCTAGTTTGCTAACATTTATGTACAAACACAACTCCACTAAAAGTCTTTTATGACAGCAACAGGGATGTTGTTAAGCCATTTTTATGAAGTTCAACTCTCGTTTTACACAGGACAAAAGGCAATAAAAATACAATATCAATATAAAAGAAAAACAAGAGAGTTACAGATTAAGAGATGGAGAGGCAAAGAGAGAGAGAGAGAGAGACAGAACTAAGCTAACTCCTGGCTGTTTGGAGGAGACACACACACTCACATAAAGAGGGGGAGGGAGGACAACAGTTTAGATGTGACAACGACAAGAGACAAGAGACAGGAGACAAGAGAGACAACACACACAATCACGGGCGCGTTCACACAAAAGCGACATCATTTACCTTTGGCGACATTTCAGACAGTGTTGTTGTTGCTGTTGTTGTAGTTGACATTGTTGCTGTTGGTGTGATTGTTGTAGTTGTTGTTGTTGCAGATGATGATGATGCAGATGATGATGAAGTTGTTAGAGTATTATTGTTGTTTTTATGGTTGTTGCTGTCTAATACAATGTCTGTGATGGCAACAATGTGAGAGGATGGGGATGATGTTGAGGGTGATGATGAGGATGAGGAGGAGGAGGTCCCTGTGGCCGATGTAGAGGTGGACATGGATGGCAACGAAGACGTTTCAACAGCTTCGATTGATGGCACAACAGAGGAGGAGGACACTGACACTGAGGAGGTGGCATCATAGGGTGAGAATGGCTTCTGCTTGCTATTGCTGCTGCTGCTGCTGCTGTGCTGTGTGGCGCCAGAGAAGGACCCCGATATGGGTGGGGGTGTGGTGTTATCAGCGGTGCTCAGTGTGGCAACAGCATCCACATCTACGACGGCAACGGCATCCACCTGATTCCCTGCTTCCTCCTCCATGTAACTGGACTTTACCATGTCCGTGGCAGAGCCAGGCATCCCAGTTGTGGCTGTTGCGGCAGCCGCTGTGGTGGTGTCCACATAATTTTCCTGGAATTTTCCTGCAGCGGCGCCCAATTGCTGAAGTTCCACATCCTCTACATCATCATCATCGTCAGCACCAGCACCACCCTCATCGACGGACGACGGCCCGAGCACTGGGACCAGCTCCTTGATGTTCTTCGTATTCTCAATAGTCTTGCTTATCACGGACTCCAGCTTGGAGACGCTCTCCTCGATCTCCTCCTCCACACTGGCCACCGAGGGAGTGGCAGACGCAGAGGCAGAATCCCCCTCCGACTTGGGTTAGTCGATGATTCGATTGTTAGTTACGATTAGTATTTGGATTGCGATGGCGATATCGATATCGATTTCAGTTTAAACATTCATCAAACAAGTGAGAGAACGAGAGAACACAATGAGAGCGATATATAGACAGAGAGAGATAGAGCGAGAAAGAAATGGCAAAAGAGAAGAAAAAACGTATACACCATATGATGAATTACAGTTATTTATAGTGTAAATATGTATATAGATATCGGATATATGTATGCATGTATGTGTTTCTATAGTATGTGTGTAGGTGTATCCGTGTTCCATGTAAAGTGTTTTCTTTTTGTGTGTTTGTGGCTGTGCGAATTGTTATTAACAAAGTGCAGTGTTGTAAAACGAACAGAAAAAAACTTGTGACTTCCGGAAATAATAACGGAATCTCGACTCGTATACGTTATACATATACTCGTACATAGTTCAACACCATCCACAATGCATTAACCTCGGAGTATTCGCATTTAAACGGATTAACGGATAACGGATAATAAAAACACCGAGAGAATGAACCAAAATAAATATTGGGTATGTAGTAGGTACATATAACCAATTGAGTAATCAATCGGAACACTCACCACTCCATGATGATGACGATGCGCATGCGTAGTCACCGCGGGCACTTCCGTGCTTGGCTCACTGTTCCAAAGATAGAACATGAAATGACAGACACTCAGAAGAGGCACAGAAGACAGGGACTGTCTGTAGTACTTACATAGCTTCCTCTCCCTCATCTTCATACTCGTAGTCATCATCGTCGGCTCCAGAACCCTCCGATTGACGTCGCCGGCGATGGGATCTAGAATTGAAAGGAGGATCGTCAGGGCAACATTCTTTCGGTGTGATTTATGCGCATATGTCATATCTCAATGAACATTAGTTATTTCTTCTTTGATTGATGCATTCCTAATATAAAATAGCTTTCTTAAGAGCTATTCCATTTAAACCGTCGTATTCTGTGGTTCGTTTGGTTCGTGCACCCACCTGGATTTCAATTCCTTGCGCCAAATAAACCACAGACCAAAGTTCTCCTCCGTCAGAGCACCAATAGTGCCATCCTTGACCTGGTGGGCAATCTGCTTGGCTATCGGTTCACCCATGACAAAGTAGCTTGGACCACAGCCGATCTGAGCAAAAGAAAACAAAAGTCGTAACAAACAAAATGTGGAACCAGTAGTAGAAATACAAACCATGAAACTGGCTCGTCCCAAACGACGATTCAGAGTCTCGATATTCTTGTTCCCCTTGCCACCCTTCCTCATGGCCAGCTTGTGCATGGACCTGAGCTCCCGCTTCGACACCGAATCCAACGAAATGAACTCCTGTTTGGCATACAACAATATATGTATATTGAGACATGTATGGAACATCCTGCAGCTTACCTTGGGTATGGCAAAGAACTTGGCCAGCTTGGCCTGAACATGGGCTCGCTTGGTGGCCGTCAACTCGCTCCAGTCGTGCTTCTTCAGCAGCAGCGAGAGCACAATCTCGTTCTGCTGGTTCTGGCATCCCATCAGCTCTGTCACATAGGGATCCTGCTTGTAGGCGGGCACATCCTTTGGCTCAATGACAGGCACCTACAATACGGAAAGGGGGGACGACCATGACAAACAGCTCTGTGGTTTATTGCTCAAGCCATTATCGTGGCGACGACAATCTAATCGAATCGGAGTCGCCGACTGCATAATTCAAATGAAAATCGTCACGCATCATCCATCAAAGTTAGCCAGACAAGGGACAGGCCAGAGACACAGAGCTTCGTTCTACAGTGAACGCTTGTAGGAGTGCACTCTTGTTTTGAGGCAGAATCGAAAAGGGGAAACAGTACGGCTCTATACTGTTTATAGATCGGTTCTAGAACGGATTCTTTGCGCCAAAATCGAATTTGAGATTATAAAAGATAATCTAATCGCATTTAATCAAACTAAAATCTTAGATGTTATGTGATTGAGTATGTTTCTTCATTAAACTCCATTAATCTCTTCTTAATCCCATTACTCACCTGAGAGTCGTTCACGTTAAAGTCCCGCTCCGCTTGCACCAGGGCGATGGCTAGTGTGGCCGCCAGCAGGAGGAGCAGGCGGTCTCCACTGACCGATAAGCACCGCGACAATCTCATATTTCGATTCGTTTGGCGATTGCCCAGATATGTGTATATGTATATGTGTGTGTGTAAAGAATGCAGTTTCGATTTCAATTCAGTGAAATATTATGTGGCAGTGGTGGTATTTGTTTCGATTTCTTTTGCTTTCAAATTTCGCTTTCGTTTCGGTGCACAAAAGTGGAAAGAAAGAGGAGAGTGTGCTGCTTGGCTTCGTTTACATCATCTTCATTAGCAGAGCAGTCGCAGTCGTCGTCTTCGTCGTCGTCGTTGTCGTCGTTGTCATCATCATCATCGGCGTCCAATGATGATCATCTGCAAGTGGAATTTATGGGAATTTATTAAACATATTTTATCGCTTTAAGAGAAGAGGGTGTGCTGTGCTGTGCAGTGCCTATGCTAATTAAACGTTCACTTGGGATCGCTGACCCAAAACCCGAGACCCAAACCCGAGACCCAAACCCCAGCCCAAACTGAAGCACAATTTGTGCGTTGAGCATTATTATTTATGTGTGTGGTGGCCACTCTCTCTCTCCCGCTCTCTCGTCCCTCTCTGTAATTAACATAAACAACTGTTAAGTGTTTTTCTTGCTGTTGTTATTTTGTTGTTTTTCCTGTATTTGGAGGGAAAATTAACGCCCGATGAACAAGATGCACATGATCTTTTTTTGGTAATTGGAGAGACCCCCGAGACGGACAGAAAGACAGACGACAGCCAGACAGAGATGAAAATGGAAAGTTCGCTTTGGAAAATGCTTAATTAAAGAGATTTTATCATTGGGGGGGAGCGGGGGAGTGGAATATGAGCAGACAATTGATGGCTGATTGATTATGAATATTTAATCATACTCCCATAATATGCCCGGTTGTTGAATCATTAGAGGATATTATAACAATACATTTCCAAAGATAATATTCCTAAAATTATCATTGAATATTTATTCCATATAAACTGGAATATGCATAGTCCCCAATTATCGCACAGAACAATGAAAACCACTATACTCTCCAAATATCGAATATATTTTGCATAAGAACAAGTATTTCCCTTTGATTTAATTGGGTCGCTCCTTCCACAATCTCTACCCCCCGATCCACCGGCACGCACCCTTTCATGCTACTGGAATTCCCATAAATTTGTTAATCCCTCATTGAGCATGCATCCCCAGCGCTTCCCTAAGCTGTCGGCTTATCATCTGGATTCTATTTATAGATGCTTTCCACCGACCAAGCGAAGTACGGGGGGATGGGGACCCCTCTCCAAATAACTTTCAAATAATCATTCAGCAAACACATTATCGCCCTCCACTCTCCACAGCGCAACATGTTTTGGACATGTCCGCTTCTGGAAGGATGGTTGGGGCGGGCTGCGCTGTGCTGGGGTGTGACACAAAAATGGGAACACAATTGCACAAGTTGGCAGCATTCTTTATGAATGGGGTTAACGTTTTAGCTCGGGGCAGTGGAAAGCCATTTAAAATGTGCATGGAAAACGCATAAAAACTGCGTGTGAAATGCCTTAATTGAGGCATTAAACGAGACAAGCTATAAATATGGCAATAATTAATACGGCATACATGCATTCCATGCATTGGAATGAACAGCGATAAATGATAGCAAACGGCAATAGGAAACGGCATGGCCATGCCAAAGGAATTCCATTCAGAATTCCAGCACAAGAGAAGAGTTATTGGAATGCTAGAAAAACTTACACACACACTCGTTGTACTAGTAATGGAAAATAATAATTACTTATGCATATGCCGCAGCTAAAATATCATTTATTTGTTCTCTCTGTGTTTTTTATTTGTTTTTGTCTGCTTTCTAGTTAAATTTAATTGAAGAGTCCGCCCCGAAGAGAAGACCCGACTGGAATATCAAATGAGTGGGAAGGGGAAGGGAAGGTGAAGGAGCAAAAAGTGTCAGGCGGCAATATGCCACCAATACATATTTGTCTCTCTCTCTCGCTCTCTGTCTATTGTATGCGCGTGTGTGTGTTGATGAACTTAAAATGCAACGAAGCATGCCGGGGGCCACCCCCTTCCCAACAGCAGCACAGCCTAGTAGCAGCCCTCCTCTATCCATCACCACCTCTCTTTTGCCACCTCACTCTCCCTAACCATCACCTCCCTGTCGCTCTCCCTCTCTGCCTTCTTAAACACCTCTCTGCTTTTCCTTCTCTCGCACGCTTGCTCTTCGGCATGAATGAAAATGAGGCCCAGGGGCTTAGTGTGTTTGTGTGCTGTGTGTTTGTTGGTATGCAAATGAATTAGCATTGCGCCAAATGCAAAAAAAGAGATGGAAGAACAGTGACAAAGAGGGGAGGGAGCTGGAGTAGGAGTAGAAGTTGGACCAGAAATAGGCGTTGTAGTTGTAGTTGTAGTTGTGTCGTATTATGGCGAGTGGGTGTAGAGACAGAGAAATGAGAGAACATAACTTAACAGCTAGAATACAAAACAAGTTTCTCTGCTGCTTCTGCCGCTGCTGCTGCTGCTGGTGAATGCATCAACGGAGATAAGAGAGTCTACATAGAGGCGCCGCAGCCAGACACACACACACACACACAAAGCTTGAGCTGGAGCTGGAGCTGGATTACTGAAGCCTGGCTCTAAAGTCTGCGGTGTGCATCGGGGAGTGGGGGGAGTCTGCGGTTGGGTGTGGGGGTTGAGGGTCAGTTCATAAATTGAGTCCAGCACAAAAGCAAACTAATAAAGGTACAAGAACAATACAAAGACTAACGATGATGATGATGATGGTACTCGGGCTGATAATGATGTTGCGGATGGTGCTGTGGTGATGGCATCGCCCACGCTACGGTAGAGCCGACTTTGGCCGTTGCGGTGGTCTGGATACCCTGGCAGACGGTATGATACCCCTGACCAGATATTGGGATGTATGCTTGATCAGAGCCAAAATTCAGTTTCATATGTTTCTGGTTAGCTGAATATGTATATAAAATCTAAGACAGATACTGTAGAGCATCAAATGCCTCGCTATAGTCTCTATCTTTGTTGTTGGTATTATTAATGTGATTGCAGAGGCCTACATTTAGACCCCCCGCCACTCGGTGTGGCAGCAGTCTCTTCCCTCCATCTCCCTTGCTTCCCCTGGCAATTAATTACATCTCTCCCCCATAAAAGCTCCACTCAGAGGTTGCCCTGTTCAATTAGCCTTGGTTAACACACACACAGGCACATGCACAAGACGTCTTCTTCTTCGTGATCGTTTACGTGACACAAAAGATGTTGATTCTGGCCGCGGCCGCGGCACTTTCTTACAAAGAAATTCTTTCATCGCGCTGCAACGCAGAATGCAGCGACCGCATAAACGTGCCCACACGTACACGGTATACGGTATACGGTATACCCTCCCTCTCTCTCTCTCACAGAGATGCCCTTAAATGCATTCATTCTGGTGACCCAAACAAATTGCTCTTTTTGGCACTGACTTATAGCTTTTACCCAGCTTCAACGAGGGGTATACTGACTTTTAGAGTCGGCTTTAAGGGGGAAGGCGAAGAGAAGCTCTGAAAGCTTCCTGAAACGGACAATGTATGGAGTACACGCACATATCTATGCTAAATATGTACTTGACCCCACCACAGAGTCGGTAGTTTATTGGTACTCACAAAAAAGGCTCTTGAATTCCATAGTTAGAGTATTCTGTATTCGAATTTCTTCAAATATTGTCATTTTCTGTGGAGCTTCTTTCACGTTTTAATTCGGTTTTCTTAAGAAACAATAAACGACAATTGTATCGTTCTTGTTCATCTTTCCAGCTTTTCCTTGCTTTCTTTCTCTCATAGTTCTTTCTCCCCCCATCCCATAGGAACCCACAGGGATCCCCTCTTTGGGGGAGCTTTAATTAATTTGATTCGCCGCACTGGGCGCAACAACTCCAGCGATGACGACCACGACGGCGGACTTCCAATGGCCAGCATTGTGGGGCAGCTAATGGATTGTTTTCAGCTTGTATTTTGTTTACGATGCTGCCTGATTGAAATTGGTATACATACATTGCGCACACACACTCTCAACACACATCTTCCTCTATATAGAGTATGCTATATACACACATATGTACATATGTACATATATGATAGTTTGACCCACAATCTTGTCGTTGTCGCTGGAAAATAGTCTTATTGAAAATATGTTTTGTGGCACGCATCGTCAATGGACTGGAACCGACGCAATGGCCACTGGCACTGGATTTTCAATCGGATCTCGAATAGTTTGGGCGAGGGAAAAACACAAACACACACAAAAGAAAAAACTATATGGTTCGGGTACAGAGTGGAAAGCAGGCCATGCAATTACCAAAAATAGCCCAAAGTCTCTCCTCTCTCGGTTCTCCTCAATCATCGCCACGCATCAACTCTGAGGCAGGGCTGGGGTCTGGAATGGTATGGGCTGGGTATGGGTATGGGTTGGTCACGAAAGGCGTGCCGCTTTTGGTTTTTTCAAAAAATACAAAAGCAGAAAAATGATTGAAAAGCAAGAAGAACTTTGATGAATTGAATTTGTCAGGGTATTACCGAACTCAAAGACAGTTAAGAGGTTAACTTGGTGCACCTTTAAGGTAGATAGTCTTTTAATATTTCCAAAGCCTCCACAACTTTTACATTGAGCTGCTGAAAAGATTTTCATCCGATTTCCCAACTATTTCAGAATGCATAATGATATCATTTGGGATCTTCTTTGGGCAACAGAACTGGGCTGGAGTTCAAACACAAGGCGAGCATTAAAATGGCTTTCACAGATAAAACTGCTCCACAAACGTCGCGACCAAACAAAAGATATGATAACAGCTGGTGGTGGGTCTTACAGTTAGTCAAATGATATGCATATCTGATAAGTGTGGTGCCGCCTGAGCAGCAGAAAAGAAGAAAATTATTAAGGTAGCTGAGGTGTAACCCAATTTCCGGCCCATTGCCCAATGATCCATGGAAAGCGGCCCAAAAAAGGTGTTAAGCTTGGGCAAAATCCCCGGCCAGTACGTGAGTGCAGGAAAATGCAGCATGGAGCACGCACATCGCGTTTCCAGCTGGAACAGTGCTCCCTTCCCCCCGTCAAGAGCCAGCAGACCAACAGCTGGCGGCACAGATCTACCCATATCAGTAATTCCACAGAGTAATTGACTGTAATTAGGGTATGACGATGATGGAGACCAATTTGGTGATATGCATAATTGAAGTGGGGGCTGGCTGTAGGAGGAGAGAAGACCAGAGAAAAGACAACTGATTGAGTGATTGCAATCCGATTTCCAATTAAGAAAAACCCATTTTGGTTAAATTGTAACTTAAATGTGAACAGAATCGAACCAATTGAACACGAGGATCTGGTATGTCTGCTGTAATTTGATTAGAAATCACGTGGCAATTATCGTTGAAATCGAAAGGAGAGACACAGGCTGCGCCAGAAAATCCAGCTGAACAGACGGTTTTCTGATTTTGGCATACACGCGCTACTCGGGTTTATCCCGATGGAAACTGATCCAACTGAAATTTCGTAATGAGACTCAATCCGTATGGTAGTATAACTTCAATAGACATTCCGTCGGAGCGAATGGCTATCCTATATCTTTTAACTTGTGGAACCCACCGCGTATTCTTGGAAGCAATAAATGTCTTTTCAATGGACAATGCCCGTGATGATCCTGAGTGACATTTGCACGAATACCGTATACACCCCTGCTGTAGTCTGGTACCTGGCATAGAGAGAGTGGATAAGAGAGCGAGGAGCAGACACTGCCAAAGCAATGTTGTTGCCACTACGGGGGCATTGATCCAATGCACCACACTACGCTACAAACGAAGCGATTGAGTTTGCGGAGTCACAAGAAAAATATTTTTGCGTGGGGCCAACGTCTGGGCCCGGCGATGGCAGCGGCTGGGGCAGGGGCACGGGTGGAGTAGGACAGGGCAGGGCAGAACAGCCGCCATATTGGCCAAATGGCGGCGGCGTTGGAGTTGCAGTTGGAGCTGGAGCTGCAGACGCAGACGCAGGCGCGAGACGCGATACGAGGGCCATGTGCAAAGTTGGCGATCAAATGCGTTCCGAGATCTCTTTCTTGCATGCATAATGATTGCCGTCTGTTCCTGCTTTTGTCGTTGATATTTCGTAAAAACGTTGTGCAAGTGTGTGTTTCTGCTGTTACACCAGCAACAACAGTAAAGCCAAATGCTAAAAACAAACACAAAACGCAATACCAGCAACACACACACAGACACACACTCTCAAAGAAACATTCGAACAGAGGCAGAGGCGTTGATGAAGACGACAGCTCTAGTACAAGAGCAAGCGAAACAACAACACCAACAGCAAGAACAGTTGTTGCCGCTGCCGGCCCAGTACGTTCCAGTGCCGCTGAGTTGGACAGCTGCCGCCATGATAGATATTCCTCCTTTTCCCCATGTATTTCTGTACTTTACGGGCCATGAAGAAGCAGTCCAAAAAGAGCAACAAAAAAGTGTAAGGGAATACTCCACGAATTTGTTATACACTGCTCATCCGATATTCAAGACGATATCAACGTATACCCAAGATAAACCCTATCGATATCGGTAAAAAGAGTCGTCAAACTCTTTGGAAATCATTACGCGGCGGCAGAGGAAGATGGTAAACACCATGAATCAACAGAATGAACTGTCCGAACGTTATGGAGAGAGAGGGAGAGAGAGCGAGAGAGTGCGGGTTCAGCGAATTGGAATGTGGAAAGACCCACCAACTTCCAGATAACGAAAGACAAATGCGAAACAGACATTTCTTAAAATTGGAGACGCAGCTGGTGCTGGTCTGCACTTGACACGCAACCCGGGAAACCGTTCAAGCGACCGACCGACCACCGACCAACCGACCACCCGCCCTCATCGTTAGCCCAACAACAAATTGACGCAATCTGATTAAAAACGCATCAAAATAAAACTAAATATGAGAGAGGAGTAGCAGGGGAGAAGAAGAAACCTATGCTAAATGGTCGTAAAAGTAATTTTCTTGAACACACACACACACGAACCCAAAGCAGACGAAAAGGGAGAATTTAAGGGTGCCCAGCGGAAGCAAATAAGAAAAAGGCCAGGTCCCAGTTCCCAGTTCCAGGCACTCCACTCATAGAAGCGTCCCCCTTTTTGCGTACGCAGCATCCGCAAAAGAGTGCCAAAAACTGGAATGGTAATGGTCGGGATTTAGTACAGTGGTCACTCGCTAAATTAAATCAACCAAAGTTGCTAATTGAATGAAGTGCTAATACAGAGAAGCATACTCTGGAAATACCAAAGCTTTCGGTATACTTTCCAGCAGCTGGTGGTCAGTGATTGCGAGGACACACTGTATTTGGTATTGGTACGGGCAAAATCAGTGCGGGCGGAAACTGAGTGCCGTCATCAAAACACACACGCACACACACACACACTCTCGTCGTAGGCAAAGAGAGAAAGGAAGGGAGAGAGGCTGAAAAGACAGACACATGAAAGTCAGCAGAGGGGAGAAGGGTGGGTAAGTGAAGTGACAGCTGCCCCAGCCGCACCGCATCCGCATGACCGGGAAAACACTCTCCATTTGCAGGGGGCCTCCGCCGCCGCCGCCGCCGCCACTAAAATCATTTGTTAAGCCTCGTGGCCATGACAACTGGACTCTGGCTGACCGTGTCCTGGTCAGATTTTTCGAGTTTTCTCGCCCTCTCTTACGCATCCATACACGAACACAACACACACCATCATCATCATCATCAACACCAGCAAATGGGAGAAAAAGAACAACAGTGCTGCTGCTGTTGCAGCCTCCTCCTCCAACCATCTCGCTTCCGTGTTTCGAAATTCAATTTATGTATACTTTATGGTGCCGCATCGTAGTCGCCGCCAGCGTCGACGTCAACGTCAACTTCGGCGTTGCCGGCTCCCCAAGCGCTCTCCTCTCCGTGGAGCCCAGTGAGGCGTAGAAAATTCGTAAGTTAAGGAAAATCGATTTTCTTGTTGTATTTTTTCCTGTTTTGGCTCGATTCCCCTCTGGTTGCGAATGATGCCTGACGCAGATATAGCTAATTACAATGCACATTATGGATTTCTGGTTAATGGATATAAATAAATGCAGGCGGCTGCAATATCTCCCCACTCACACACTCACACACAGATACACGCACTCGAACATGGATGTGCACTCACCTCTCTTGTGCTATTTTGAATGCTCCGTTTTTCGGGGAAGTCGAGTCTGAGAGTCGCAAAGTGCACTCTACCATTCACTCGGGGCCCAGATTCCCTTAGCTCCACTGTCCTGCTACCAAAATTGCGTCCATAGAGCGACACACATACATCGGCCTGAATGTGCGGCAGTGTCTTGTGTGTGTGTGTGTTTGCTGGTTTTTAGTTGGAATTTTCACTTGCGACTCTTTTTTTCACATTCACTGCAGAGATCTACTCGCTTTTTGCAGGCTTTATTTACGATAACGGCGCACAGACTATTTACTTAGCACTCTGGGCCTCACATGCTGCATGTTTTTCTTTGCTTTTCACTTTTTTTCTGGTATAATAATAGAAAACATGGGAGACGAACCGAACGAACGGAGCAAAATTTACAGTTTGGCCGATTAGCTGAATGGTGTTGTTGTAACAGTGTGACTGTATCTTATATTGTCAGCTGTTTACCAGCGTAATCAGTGCTGCCATACCATGTAAGATCTAGCGAACGAACATCTGGCAGCACTGTACAGCTGTTTATTGAAAATTACTTAACTTCTTATTAAAATCTTTCATATTTTCCGCCATTTACCTCAAGTAGTAATTACTCAAGTAATTACTTAACAAAAACATGCTGCAGGGATTGATTCAGAGGTGAAAGTCAACTAAAATTCTCTTGTTTTGAACATTAATAACTATTGTTATTTTAGAACCTGCCTGGTGGCATTCAACACGGCACAAACCATCCTAGTGCGCCAGAAGCATGCCTTCGACCGGGCCGTGCTCAAGCCGAAGGTCCGCTGCCACTTCCCCAAGCCCCGCGAGGTGAAACGCATCAACGTCCACGGCTGGGACACTCGCATGTCCACCCCAGAGGGACGTCGTGTACTGATGCGCAGGATACTGAAGGGCAGACACAATATCTCGCATTAGCCTCTATATCAATAAAGCTTCATTTGGATTTTTACTTTTCATAAAAGTACAGGTAGCTGGATTAGCATTAATCTTTTTTCATGGAAGACGTCCGCGAATAGAACTGATTGATGCTCTTTGTCAGCCAGCCGGCGTCGTCCTGCTGAAAGACGAACGGCATGTTGCTGCCGACCTGCGGCCCAGGCTCCGTGAAGAACTTTTGCGGAAGGCTGATGTCTCCACAGGATATAAGGCAATTCACTTCGCACATTCGCTCCAGGGGAATGGCCGGCACGAGATACAGCTTCTTTTTCTCAAAGTCAATGGCTCGGACGACACCTGACAGGGAATACGCGAAGTTATAAGTGAAATAAGCAACTGAAATGGTTGAACTCTGCTTACCTATTCCCAGGCACACGGGCAGATCCTGGGCTTCCAGATGAGCCAAGTAAACCACATTGGCTTCCATTCCAGCGATAATGCTACTCTTATCAAGGTCTTCCTCTGTGGAATGGACGACTTGAATATCCACAAAAGATGAGCTGAGGGGCTCGCAGTCAGTCAGGTGCTTGGCACTGCCCCTCAGGCAGGAGCTGAGGCGGACCAACAGATTGGCGAATCTCATATCCCTGGGACTCATTCGCCAGACTCCCTGCTGTCTAGGTGGGACAACACTGGGCAGCTCGTGGAGCGTGTACTTATGGTTTTTACCCTCAACCATGAACGCCGTATTTTTGAAGACATAGGGACCTTTGACCTTTGAAAGGGTCGACCAGTCGAGTAGCGACTTAAAGTTGTTCATGGGTAAAGTACTCGAGATTTGCACCACATCCGTCGGCTTGATGTAGTCCACCAGCAGAGCCATCAGCTCGAGGCCAAATCCCCTGTTGTAGCCCATCGTGTTGATCAGGAAAGGCATGTTGGCATACTTGGGATTATTTTGGATGTGGCTCATCAGCTGGACCACCGCCTCGAAATACTGCTCGTGGCACATGACGATGTTTGTGTCTCCCACGACGTGAGCCCGATCCGGCTGCTTGTTCAGTAGGAATCCTGGCCCCAAAAGCGGCTCGTCAATGACAGTGCAGGAGACAGTTTGCTGCAAAAAGATCTCTGGCTGGCCAATGTCCAAATCGATTAACAATACGCGTGGAAAAGCGTTCACATGCCGATTGAGCAGATATCGCAGCAGGGTGGACTTGCCGACACCCTTCCCACCGGTTACCATCAGGCGGCTCGTCTTCTGAATCTTCAGCTTTGTCCACTCATAAGGTACTTGAAGGGTTCGTTTTCTGTCCGAGCTCTGGATGTAGCAGTTGAGCAGCATCTCGCTTTGCGAGTGCGGCACATTAGCCCCATTCACCTGTGGGAACAAAATCTGGCTCATGTACTGCTTTAAAGTTTCGAGCATGGTCTGGTCTTTGGTGTTCCTCTGCAAGAGCACAAGGGCATCCTCCTGACTATTGAAGCACCCCTGAAGGTTGTCCAATTGTGCGCACGTAAAGTTCTCAGACAATTTGTCCCATTCAACCTTCTCTTGCATTGGTTTCGCACGCTTTTTCGGAGAAATGCTCACCCAATTGATGCCCTTGGGGGAGTAGATGGTTAAGTTTTGACGTTTTTTGGCTCTGAAGCCGTTCACTGTGATCTGACCAGCCAACAGGGTCACCACGACAGTGCCATAGAGCTCTATGTCCTCTTTGATCACGGCCAGCACATCGTTGCACGTCAGGCTATTCTCAAAGACGCTCAACGCTGGTGGGCAGTAAGGTAGATCTACATTGAAATCCTGGCAGTGCTGCATTGATTGGTTAGCCTCGTCTACTTCCATGGCACTTTCATCATCCTCAGTCACTGCTTCGGTTTCCGGTGATGCATGTGGTTCGGTTTCAGTTGGTGACAGATCTTCTTTAACTTCTTCAATAGTGATTAGAGACTCTGCATCTGAGTCCTGCTGAGCTTCTGGTAGAACTTTTATGTCGCAAATCTTTTCATGCTTCAGAATGCAGGAACTAAGATCCGCGTTGAATGGCTGTGGTTCGGCTTCCGATGACGACAGTGATTTTGTCTCCGCATCTTGTTGATCTTCCAGTGGAGCATCTTTAATAACGAATGGAGAGGCCGAATCCAAGGCTTCTTTATCCTCAATTGGTATTTTATATTCTTTATCCGGATCAATTTCAGCTTCTTTATCGTTGATGAATTGGATAGTCGATTCGTGAGTTTTAATTCCACAGTCTTGCCCATCGGTGAGCTCTTCTATGGTTGCGGATTTCTCATCGTTATAGAAAATGACGATCTTTTGAATGGATCCCGTCACAAATAAACGGTTTGTTGATTGAGCGTTCTTATTTTTAGGAATGTAAACAAATTTTTTGATTGGTCTTTCAAGTACCATTGGCACCCGCCAGGCAGTCTTAGATTCTATAATAAACCAATATTAATAGAGAAAAATAGATTGAGACGTTTAGTACTCACGTGTGTATAGAAAAAAATCAGTCTTTTGGTCATCATCAGAGTTACTGTTACTCCCAAAAGGTCCCGCTTCAGAGGACGTATCATGAGATGCCTCCAGGTCCAGCTTGGATTCACTGGAATCCTCTGTGGAATCGGCAATATCAATGGTTTCTTTAGTAAAGCAGTTGTGAATAGTTTAGTTGTTTTATTTTAAGTACATACCATCCTGCAAGTAACGCAATTCCGACCATATTTCATTTGCGACTCCTGTTTTGGGCTGCACACCAATGCCAACATCAGATTTCTTAAATTTTTTTAGACACCCCGCAGTGGTTGTTATCCAGGAGACTGATCGCTTCTTTGGCGCAAGAATATCTGAAGCGTGTGCGGTGCCCTCAGACTCAGCTTCAATGGTGTCCAACATGTTACTCTGCTTCACAGCGAGTTTCTTAGTTAATTCTTGGTCCATCTGTCGAGTTTCTCGTTTTAATTTTGTTTTAACAAACATTTCAGTCATTTTTCATTTAGATTATTCTAAATCGAATTTTTGTATAAAAACAAAAACACCCGGCGCATGTGAACAGTCGATAAAAAGTACAAAGATCAGCTGACTTATCGAATATCGTACGGCTCTCAGAAATATGGCATCTCATTTTAAACATCTACCGTAAATATTCCTCGTTTTTGATATTCCATGGAATATTACTAGCTATATAGATAATTTAGCCATGCCCACATCATTTTATCCAATTAATGAATCTATTTTCTACTTAACTGGCTTATTCTAAATACTTGCTTTTATTGCATTTTGTGTAAAAAAAAGGTTTTAGCTCTGCCCACAAAATTTTAGGCCATTAATGAATACATTTTCTACCTGATCGACTACTTTTAAGTACTCTCTTTTATTGTATAGTGTATAAAACAAGGTTTAAGTAAAAAAGGTCAACAAAAAAACAGTGGCAACGTAATTGAGTGTGAAATGTCACGTCAACCGGAGTTTGGGCACAGGTATACCCTATTTCGTTGATATATATGAAGAAACTGTTTTTCCAAGCTGTTTTAAAACGTAATTAATATAGAAATGAACTCAGATTGTTATGTTTAGGACATAATATCTATAACATCCATTTCCCAGGGTATCCAAAATGTTGCTCAATCCGCGCAATGTTGTGAAACAATGCTGCTCGATTTCACGGCACATGAGTCTGGCCCTTACAAATTAATGTTGCCAGCAACATAAAACGTAAGAAAACGTAAGTGAGTGTGGAATGTAATGGACATTGTTGAGCTGAAAAGGACATTGTATCCCGGAAAAATTCCCTCAATTTGAGAAAATTTCCCACCACAAAATAGAGAGTAAGTCCCAAAAAAAGAGAGCAAGTCCCAATAAAATATATGGTCACACTCTAAAAAATACCAAAAATGTATGGAATATGTCCTCGTTTTTTATCTTCCGTCGAATATTCCCGAATATTCGAATAATGCATCCAAATGTATCCTCGTGCTAAAACATCCTGCAATACGCATTGAAGCCGATTGGTTGAGCCACTATCGGAAAAAACTATCACAGATATATAGGGGGCGCCACAAGCCATCCGCTAGTATCATTTGGCGCGACATTTGAAACTGAGAAAACACTGTATTGAAGCGACCAGAACGAAACGTGAATGGAATTTAATTGATGCCATGAGATCCATCATATTTAACACACCCAATAACATCCGTTTACTAATTAGACCTGTCAAAATTTCCATGATGGTCTTTGCCCAAACCAAATCAAATTAAGGCTTAATCGAAGAAAACACCAAGCACTGACATCAGATCAGGCGTGTGACGCCTAGTGATAGTGATAATTAGTCCACCTATATCCACAGATGACGTGTGACTGGGTCCCAGTCCAATGTGAGAAGTGCTCCCCTCTGTTTAGGTCTGGTGAAATGGAAACGTGCCCCTTTCTCACTTTTTGTCGCCTGTGGGTGCCTGCCTCGAGAATGAATCAATCGTGAATCAATGCCCCGCAGAAAGCGCATCCCAGTCAAAGCTGATTAGCACTTTGCCGACATTGATTCCCACTCCTCCACGGAAGCCTTCACGGCGATGTTGAACCCACATTACTGTCTCAATTAGAACGAGTGCATTTCCGAGTAATTCAAGGGATTCCAATGATTCACTTGGCGATCGCTTAGAGAGCCTCTCTGGAATGTCGCCTGTAATCAGGGTATAACCAAATAATACCGAATAATCCAAATCACGCAAATGTCTATTGATAAGACGAGTACCAATTTAATATTGTTTTTCACTCTCTGACATTTGTTGACGTCGGCCTCTGGGGACCGCTTATCGCCAGCCATTTGTCTTATTGCGTTCCAAACCGGCTTTCGGCTCAAGAAACTAATTAAATGAAATGAAATTCGCTGTGCCAGGCAGAGATCTCTGTGCTCCCCGTCTAAAAATACCCAAAAAAAAAAAAACCAAGCGAAGCGACAAACAAACGGAGAGGTGAGGAAAAGAAAGGTAGGCAGAGTCTGACTTTGGATCCGTGGTGGGGTTTTGGGTCTCTGGATAGATGGATGTTGATAGGTGTTGATGGGCAATTTCGCTAAATGATATCCAATTGTATAAAGCCGATGGCATTTGCTTTATTTTGGCATGCGGCGGCCCCCAACCGGTTGGCCATTGACACGGGACCAAGACTTGCCTTGTCAATCGGGTTCAGCATCGAGGCTCTAAGCGTAAGCGTAGATGGATTCTTGATTCTTGATCGGGTTCTAATCACGTGTGGCATGGTGCGGTGTGAGGGGAAGGGCGACCTCCTCCAATAATCAGCTCTGTTTGTCTCCGGCATCGGCATCGGCAACGGCTCCCACCCAGGCCAGCCCAGGCCAGGCCAGAGCAGGCCAATTCAGTGAAGCGGAGCTCATTACCATTTCAAGACCCACTCGACCTTCAGTCTCCTCAAGCATGAAAGTCAATTTTCAAGTGCCTACAACTCGGTTCGAGCCCCGCAACTTGTGTGTTGACAATTTTCCAAGCCCAAGCGTAAAGCCGAAGACCGAAGACCGAAGACGAAGCTGTAGTTTAATGCGTCATCAAACGGAGATTTGCATAAGTTGAGCAGCTCGCGCACATAATTATCTTCAAATTGGTTCCGATTCGGTTTAGGAGATATATCTCACTCATCGCTATGCGACGACAATTAACCGATCAGCTTTACGACTCGACCTGTCTACCTGTCTGCCGGCTTCCGTGTTGCCCCGCTCCGCCACTCCTTCGCTCCATTCCCATTGAAATTTCCGTTTACCCAACACAAATGCCACAATCCTGTGATTCCATCCGGTGCGTAAAAGACTCAGCTGTCAGATCTCTGCGGATTAGTGCCTTTGATTAATAAGTGCGTCATGGAAAAGTTTAATTAAAATCCAAATCAAAATCAAAATCGTAGTGCTAAATGCAAACGACAAAAATATTGTACGACTATGTGACGCATTTTCCCCACCGCAGTTACGACTCCTGTTTGGAGTCCCTTTGCCTATGGCGCTAATTACGTGACCAGCAGCTGGCGGAGAAGCCAATCAAGCCAAGTGCCGGCCAACACCATTGCCAACAATTTGGCAATTTGACAATTTGGCTTAAAGACGTTGCTCCGTGCTCTTGCGCCCCTTCCCGGAGTGGGATACACGGCGATATCGGTAACACTTAGCATCGAAAGCGTCAAGTGCCATGGAGTGGAGTGGAGTGTAGTGGAGGAGGCGAAACCAATTCCAAAACCAAAACCCGTTCAGCATACAAAAACGTCACGAAGCCCCAGAGTCAGAGAGTGAGAGGAGACCCAGGGCCGTATAAAAGTGAATTTGTGACAAAAATTCTGAACAGTTCAAGCGCACGCTCAGCAGCGTTCAGATCGCATCGAGAATACGAGTAAAAAACACCAAAAGCAAGGTGCTAAGCGGCTACTGATAACAAAAAGCAATATAGACATCCATCATCATCGGAATCTAGATCGGCATCGCATCGGAATTTGTGTAATCTGGACTTGACACTTCGCGAGTGCCTTAAACAAATTGAAAATTTGAACCCAATTTGGAATAAAGTGCGAAAGTGATCCAGAACCAGAAGCAGAACCTGACACCAAACACCAAACACCAGAATCATTACACCTGAAAACCATTAAACGGAACGGAACCTCAACGCCCCAATCAAAAAGATGTTTGCATACATTTGGCAAGTGAGTATTGTAGCGGTTTGGGGATCGTTATAAAGATCGGAAATTTATGAAACAAAAGAAAACAACAAAGAAGAAACGTGTTTAAGCGATTAACATTTTCAAAAAAATTCAATCAACAAATTAAGGCTGCCAAATATTTATTTGTATATAAATATATATATGGATATATGGATATATGTATATACATACATATGTATATGGAATTCTACTCGTATAAGATAAGCCTCGCACAGCTAACGTACTTTGATTATTTTTGGCGCCGGACAAGGCCAAAAGCATTATTAAATCAAGTTATTCTATTCCTTATGCTGTCTTGATGGCTTTCAATCTTGTGATGTGATCTGATCTGATCTGATCTGAACTGATCCGATCTGATCTTCATGAGGAAGTGCGCTATAAAAGAGCACTTAATGGGTGCTCTTTTTTCTGCTGCTTTTCGACTGGCACTGCACTTGTCAGTGGATTCGTGTTGGCAATCCTGTTGCCTTGATTCGGTTTTACAAATTGTTAACCCTGAACCAAAAAAACCACAAAACCTCAACCGGTTACAGCCCAGAAATCCATATTATCAGTCTTCTCCTTTGCTGCGTTTTGCTTGATTAAAATTAATTTGTTTTGGGTCTGTGGTCTGCAGTTTTACATAATCCAATCTCCTTCAATCTGCAACCAAGCAAAATTACCAACAATGAATCATAGAAAATTCCTCGAAGGCAAAGGCGATCCATCACTTCAGAAGTGCAGACATTATACCAGCCTGGATCCGGTTATGGGATGGGACTACAGCAATTGCATTGGAATTTAATTGTGGTCTCCCGTAGTATTCCCATCGGAACATGCTCGATGACGCCTACCAAATTCGAGACGTGCTCATGAATATCTTAGGTGCGACCATAAATTAAATTTGATTGCGGTTATATCATTGATACATTGATACTCCAGCTGTTGGATTAATTTAAATTAATTATTGTATGCTAATTCACAGCATAAGCTCGCAGATCAGAGCCCCGTCTGGGCTGTCCGGGCGGGCAGGTTCTATTGTGCATGGCTGGCACCGCTTTGTTCTGTCTGGCCTCCAGCGGCTATTCACACCTCCCCATGTACTGAACTGAACTGACTTCTCCTTTTTTTTCTCACTCTTTCCTCTTCCGCAGACTTCAGCTGTGATCCTGCTCTTGGCGATGGATCTGAGTTTGACGGCCGCCCGGCCGCAGCTGCAAGAGGTCCCGCACGCGCTTCTGGACATTGAGACACCCAATCAGTTCAGCTACAGTCCCTCGCCGCTCCAGCAGCCGGACAGCCTGAGGTCCAAGCCGTACTTTGACTTCCTGAGCACACTTTATGCCCACGATACGGCCAAGTCGAATCTGTTCCGCCCGTATTCGGGACGCCCGCGTCGCGATGCACTCAGCCCCATCGCCAGCAAGAGCCAGAGCCACAGGCAGGAGCGTAAACGTCGCGCAATCGTTTTCCGACCGCTGTTTGTCTACAAGCAGCAGGAGATCCGGAAACAGGAAATCAAGGACAGGCAGGCAGAGAGACGCATTGACCAGCAGGCAAACTTCCGCCTGTAGTCGGCAGCCATAAGGCAAGCAACCAAGGATGCCATGTCCATTGGTCTTCTACAGGGTCCTCTAGCACTTAGCCTCTATTGTGTCCTTAGCGTTAAGCATAGCCCGCACAAAGCACCGCAGCACGACGAGCGGAGGAGAAATCATTTATAAATACATATAGTAAACGCCACTCGCACCATCTCCACCTCCAGCACCCACCCATCCGCTTAGAATAAGTCCAGATTATTTGTTATACATTTTGTTACTGCAATGTTTGATTAAAGATAACACAATCGATTTTGATACGAAATGCGGGTACGTCCACGCGTCTGTCTGTTCTATTCGCCCCACACAATGCTCTCGATCCAGTCCGTGAACAGGTGCACCTTGGTGTAGACGCTGGGCAGGCCCTTCTCGCCGCATACTAGGCCGTACGAGGTGATGCCTATGACCTGCTTGAGGCAGGCGAATGACGAGTGCTGCACAAAGACGGGGCCGCCGGAGTCGCCGTAGCAGGTGTCGGCATTGCTGGACCGGGAGCCTGCACACAGCTGAGTGCGTATGTCGATGTGGTGCTCCAGTCGCCGGCTGCACTCCTCTTCGCTGAAACGCTCCAGACTCACCTTGAGCAGGTGCGAGGAGGATCGTCCACCCTCCTTGACGGCTCCCCAGCCGGTGGCCATTAGCTGAAGATGCTCGTTGCCACTGAAGGGCGGCAGGCAGGCAGGCGCCACATACTCGTCAAGGACTGCCGCCCTGTCCAGTTCCACGAGTGCAATGTCGTTCTTGCGGCTGCCGTTATCGTCCTCATCGTAGGAAGGATGCACTACATAATTGACCACCCGGAAGTCCTGAGGCCGGGCATCGTCGGTATCGTTCTTGTGGTCAAGTTCTCCCAGCCGCACAACATATTTCGGAGAATCGAAATTGGGATCCAGGCGCTCCTCCTTCTTCCTGCAAAGGAAGCGATAAACATATCTACAGGAGAACAGATCGCTGGTACAGCACTCACTCGTTTGTCTCCAGGCAATGGGCGGCGGTGAGAATGAACTTGGGATGGATCAAAGACCCTCCGCAGTCCCAGTCGATGGTCGTACTTCCCCTCTGGCGTTGCCCGAGCAGGGCCATGAAGGGGAACTCTCGGCCAGCGGCCTTCGTTCCGCCTACAATCAATGGAGTGGTGCGGCAGGAGGCCCTTATCTCATTGAAGCGACGACATTCTGCGGCCAAACATTTTTGAATGCGCTTTTAAAAGGTTTGTAGGAAAAGATTATCCCATCCATGCTCACCCCTTTCGAATCTTCTGCTGCTTTCGACCGGATTCACGGTCTGTTTCTGGATCTGAACATCCAGGGCCAGGGGACAGCAAACGATGTAGTTGAACTCATCGCAGTACTTGAGGGCGGGCCCAATGGCGGCCAGGTTGTCGAAGACTGTCGGGCAGTCAGCCGCGGTCAAATCTCTGCACTCTCCGGTTCCATTATCGCAGAATTCGGCCCAAACATTTGGGGCCATTGGGATTGCCTTTGCCCAGAGTAGTAGCATAGCCAGCGGCAGAACCTGCATCTTCGTTGGCCACGTTTCAAAAACTGATCAGATACGATCAATATGTACGCGAGAAAGAACCAACACAGGCTGAGAGTTTGCAAAGCGATAAGGCATCGGGCTCCCAGCTTCACTGACAAGCTGCTGTTCTCGATTCCAACACATGGGCTAGAACGATTACAGGAACTACAAGTTGTAGGTAGCGCGTGAAATATAAAGATTATTAGTTAGGATTAAAGTAGAACACCACACACCCGTTGTGGGATCAGGTGGATGCATTAGGATTTGAGTAGACTTCCATTTCCCCCGCGTTTATAATTCGGCGATTAGGCAAATGATGCGCGCAATCCAGAGACACGAAACGCCCAAGGGCAGACAAAAATTTATCACATTTATTAGGTATTATTATGAGAATATTATTATGAGAATCTTCCAGGATCCATCGCTGTATAGTTTCATCCGTTCTGATGCAATGGATAAAATGGTATGTCGTATTCCATTAATTGATAGGCCTTTAAGACGCAATCTAAATGTTCCAAGACCGTTGTTTTCAATTTTTGGTATGTGTGACACTCTATGTCCTGAATCCATGGTCTTGTCCTATCGTGAATCCGTCTGTAACTGAATGCCTTATCGTAAGTATGGCGGCGAGAATATCTCCACTTCGTCCTTTGATTCCATCGGAAAGAAGAGTAATTATAAAACAAGGTCGACTTAGTTTTGCACACGCTTTGAAGCTTCTGATCGTCGGGATAGTAGTTTACGGTTGGCGACGACGCCAAGTGGATTCGGGGAATCCGGCTCAGCTGCTTAGCAGCGAGGCGAGTGTCATGCCACACATTGGCGTAGGTGACATACCAGGGGTTATCTACTCGCCTGGCCAGGTGGGCTATTCCGCGAGCTAGTGGCAAGGTTAGCTCCTTGGGCCAAGAGGAGCGATCTCCTATAGCTTGCCGCTTTTCTGCGCTGCCCTCTCGCCTACCGCTGTCCTGGTTGTTTTTTCCTCTAGTAGTGACCACCGTGGAAATTTCGCTGCGCATGCCCAGGCGCGTAGGCTCCGGTTCACGAATCGTCGCATTCTTGCTTATCCTTGGTCTCTCAAAGTCAACATGGGACGGCTGAGGCTGGAGCGACTCGTTTGTGCCACGAGGACGCTCCTTGGTAAGATCTTCTGTAACTCGCCGCTTTCCGTCGCCGCCTCCTCGCTTATAACTGAACTGGAACAATTTACGTGTACGGTACAGACCCGTTCGCTGTCGAAATTCTCGTGACTGCCCGTGCGAATCCGTCATATTACCGGCTATCGGGGTGGGCTGCCTGGTCGACTCGTCGATGTCTCCTGGTAGCTGGACACGGTAGACCGACGCTGCTAGTAGCCCATGCGGATGGATCATCTGGGAAATGGTAACAGTACGATACAGTAATAGTACGGTACGGTAATAGCACTTACGGAGTATAAAATGCAGCAAATGCAGAGAACTGGGAACGGCCATCTTATCATGTTGCTCGATAATTAAATTTAAATACGAAGAATTTATCCAAATTCAAAATTTCCCAATTTCATGTAAACTACTGTTTCGAGTTGAAGGGCATGAAATATAATGTAATACGATATTTTCCAAACAGTCAAAAACCAGTTCAGTTTATCCGAAATAACTCGGCTTTCTGTGATCATGTTATTTTCAAAATAAAGATATGCAACCGCCGAATTCGTTCCACTTATCGCACAAAAGTACCGATATTTTGTGCAACTAATGAAAAGTGCCAATATGTGATTCAGGGTGATCATTTATCATATTTTTAATACTTTTCGGTATGTTGAACCGACGCAATATTTACGGTATATCGGTATATAATGGAATATTTTGTCAATTTTAACGTTATACAGAAATCCAATAAAAGCAAGTGTTAAAATTAAGCCAATAAAGTAGAAAATAAATTCATCAATCGTATAAAATTATTATGGCATGGCTAAATGTTCTATATAGCTAGTAATATTCGTCGGAATATCAAAAACAAGGAATATGTAAAATAGAACTTGAATTCGTCAGTATATTTACGGTATATTTTGAAAATGAGGCGGTATGTTTCGGTATATTTCTGAGGGTCGGACGGTATATTTTATCATTTGTTTATGTTTACTTTTCATTTTCAAAGTTATATTTTATCGACAATACTTAAAGGACTATGGAAACTGGAGATCAGCTCATAGCTGATTTGTTTACTACACGGGAAAAGGAGCTTACGGCTGAAGAAACGAAAAAGCTAGAGGAGCAAAACAAACGTCTTGTGCCTGAATTCAAAGCCAATAAACTTGAAGTGGACGCCCAACGACACTGGGACATATTCTACAAACGAAATGAAACCCGCTTTTTCAAGGATCGTCACTGGACGACACGCGAGTTCCAGGAGCTACTTGACCAGAGTGACCTCCGAGAAGCACACCAGAGGCGCACACTTTTAGAGGTTGGATGCGGGGTGGGTAATCTGGTGTTTCCACTGCTAGAAGAACAGTCCAGGGCGGAGGGCAATGAAGATTCTGTGCCCTGTGGAAGATTCTACTTTTATGCCTGCGACTTCTCGCCTCGAGCTGTTGATTTTGTTCGAGCCAATCCTCTGTACGATCCCAGCAACATTACGGCCTTTCAGTGCGACATTACCACGCAACAGGTGCATGAACAGATCCCTGCTGGCAGCCTGGATGTGTGCACCATGATCTTTGTGCTGTCTGCAATTCATCCGCACAAGTTTAAAGATGTGGTTCAGAACCTGTGGCGACTTCTGAAACCAGGTGGATTAGTTCTGTTCAGGGACTACGGGCTGTACGACATGGCCCAGCTGCGCTTCAAGCCAGGAAACAAAATCGCAGAGAATCTTTACGTGCGTCAGGATGGCACACGGAGCTACTACTTTGCCGAGCAAGAGGTGGCTCAGCTGTTCACGGAGAGCGGCTTTGATGTTCTAACCAATGCGTACGTGCATCGCCGAACTCTAAATGTCAAGGAGGGCGTCGACGTGCCGCGCATCTTTCTACAGGGAAAGTTCAGGAAAAAACATCTGTGACCCCCACTGTTACGTATATAGTTTTCGATTTTATTTTAAATCAATAACATGGTTCAAGTCAACGTTCAATAAATATTTGTATGCATGTACATATGTATATTGTATAGTATCTATTAGTTTACATATGCTATCGTATGTTAGGGACAAAGTAGAATGGATACTCGTTAAATTCAATTGAAGTTGTTTGTTCGCCGGGCCTGATCTCACTGGCTGCAAATGCAGTAGATATCGAATACCAGAAGTGTTTGCTTATCTAAATCAAATGAAATGCATTGAAATGTATACATTCTGCTCATCCTGCTGTGGATGAACTCCACTGCACTATCATTAAAGAAATAAGGGGATTTGGCGTTCAAAGATCTCATATCTACTGTATGGCATCTCCGAGTGGCCTTGCTCTGCTCCGATTGTATTTGTATAATTGTTGTGACGTATTTGCAACACTTAAGCTATTCAAATTACCCGACAAAAAACATACATATATGTACATGCTTCCATAAGTAGTAATGTAGATTTTACCAACAGTTAGGATTAGAATACATTATCATATAAGTATACGAACAACTGAAAAACCCCATCAATTTTTAACAAATTCAAGCGATCCCTAAGTATTGCGTTACATTCAGATTTACAGTTCATCCGCGTTCGGGTGTGGTGTCGTTCAGTTAATACCCAGCAGTAAAGAGCGAATATATATAATAATGATAATAAATATATATGTATACTTGATACTTGGATTTGGCTATTTGGCTGCGCGACACTATTCCACTAGGCCATGCTCGGCCAGCTTACCGCCATTGCTGTTGCTGTGTCCCAGAGGCGCCAGTTCGATGCTGGAATCGAAGCTTTTGGTGAGCACTTCGCTGCTGGTGACCGAGTTGGTGTTGCTGTTTATCGAGGGCAGCGCTACACTGCCTGCCACGACCCCGAGGCCATCGTTGAGGTCGCTGTCAATACTGAAGCTGTTGCTGCCGTTCTCATTAATCAGCGAGAGCGTCTGCATTGGCAGCATATCGGAGGGTGGTGGTGGCTGCTCCGCATTTGAATTCGAATTCAATTCCGATTGCAGCTGCAGCAGCGAGTTGCGCTGCGTGTGCTTGTCGAACTTTCGTTGCGGTGGTTTCGGCGGTTCCTTGTCTTTCTCCTTATCCTTTGATTTCTTGAAGCCAGCGATTAAGGCCTTGTGCGCTTGGGCCTTGATCCCTTCCATGCTCGGCCTCATTATAGAAGTACGAGTGCCCGAGCTCTCCTTGGTCGATGGCGACTCTTTGGCTCCCGGCTCTGCTTCCTCAATCACGCTGGCCAGCTGCTGTGGGTTTTGCTGCATGGTAAGGTCCTGCACCTGTATGGGTATGTCATCGGGCAGCTTTTTCGTGCGGAATGATGCGTTCGTGATCATGGATTTCGATACCGATGTTGTCACCGTATTGGTAGCGGGTGTCAGGGCTACGCTCAGTCCCATTGGCCCGTCGTTGGGCTGCCCTGACGGGTTAGCATGCAGCGAATTGCGCACGGCGCTGGTCACCAGAATGAGCTCCGTGTACATTTCATAGGTGGCACGGTTGTGTATATCGTCTAGCGTCTGTATGGCTATCGTACCATAGCCATTGAACATGGCAAAGTAAATGGCGTGCACCAATTCGATCAGGAAGGACGAGGAGAGTGGAATGCGCGGAGAAGATGGTTTTGGAAAAGTGGCCCCCGTTGCTGGATCAGATCTGCAATGCATTGGAATACATTAAATAGCCCATTGACAGGGATAGTTTGTGCTCACCCATAGCTCATACGATGGCCGTGACCGGATTTGGTTGTGAATCCCTGGTTGACCAACTGGGAAGTCACACGGCATAGATGCAGCAACGAAGACTTTTGCGTCTGGCTGACGTGCTGGTTGTAGCAAAAAAGCAATGTCGTCAGGATCCGCATGCGGTTCTGGGCATTTACCGTCTCAACTCTCTGATGCGGCCCCCACTTGAGTTCGCGGTTGCAGTTCTCCTCCCAGCGTCGCAGATCGGTCAATGGAAGATTCTTCATTTCGTGGTATACAGACGTCTGGGCTAGGATGGGCATGCGGAAGACGACCACTTTCTGACCGCCATCGTCGGTGGACACCTCACCGTTATAAATGCAAATCAGCAGCGTCTCCACTCCACGAGACGCCTTCTTATCGCCCGCCGAAACGGCATGCAGGTACGTGTAGATTAAGACAGGAATGAATTGCAACGGAAACTTGTGTAGCGTCACCTCGGGCGACCTATAGAAGCACAATAGTTGCTGGCAAATGTCGTGAACCAGGTCCTCGTTGCGCTGCCTCTCATTGAATATGGTGAAAATGGCCTCGGCGATTTCCGGGTCTGTCTCATGTTCCACAACAAACGCCTCGGACTCGGCTGGCTGTCCTCGAGTCCGCTGATAGTCCGCCAGCCAGTCTCTCACCAATTCGGCCATTGCCAGCAGCGACCTGAAATTGTCGCAGTCACATACATATCATATCACCACCAATGACACCTGGAGATTCCGAGTGTGAACCTTGGTCTCACCTTGACCTCAACGAAACACGTAATGGGGGCAAGGCAATTGAATCTGTCAATTTGGATTATAAAACACCTATCGCCGCGAATTATATTATGTATTAACAATGCTTAATTAATTTATCGCCCGTCCCCGCTGCACAAGACCATCAGAAATATACCGAAACTACGTCACATATTTCAAAATATACCGTAAATATACTGACGAATTATTTGTATGCAAGTTTCATCATATTGCTCGTTTTGGATATTCCGTGGAATATATCTAGCTAGCTAAGACCTGAGGGTCTGAATTCATAATTTAATACGATTATTACATCAATTTCCTACAAGACTGGTTAACTTTAAGTTTTCATCTTTATTGAATTGTTAATAACATAAGGTTTGGGCAAAACAGTTCAACAAAAATGTCCACTAAATTAATTTCGCTACATAGCAACTACACGCTAACTTCGCAATCACTACATAAACTTCACATATTAACTACATTTGTATGTAATTGCCAAAGGTGAATTGCCATGGAAGCGCCAGTGTGAAAAACCTCGTTATCCACTTTTTGACATGCCTTTTTTCCGACCTTTTTAAACAAATTGAGATTTTTATGACAATTAATCAGGAATTCGATTCTGATCACGAATTTGTATTTGATTTGGCCTGGAAAACGGGTCTAAGTGGCATTTCTACACGGCTTCTACATTGGTGCATTCGACAAGAGGGTGAGTACATAACACGTCTTAGAATATACTGGAAAATACTAAAAAAAACTGGTGGCCAGAAAATAAGAAAATCCGATAAAGTATACGGTCGAAATACGGGTGCGCGCCAAGTAGAAATTGTTTGAAAGTGAATGAGCAAAAAGGATTTAAATGCAATTTATCACGGTTTGTGAGCGAAGTATGGAAGTTTCTATACCATTTCTTCTTAAATATACCTTGAAAATGAAATTGAAGTTTGGTGGTCAGCTGTGCGTGCTCGAAAAAATTCCTTTGGTTAGTGGGGCTACTGCGGTAAAATCAGTTATTTTGAATAGACAAATACATTTTATTCGCAAAAGTTCATCACTTCATCATCTTTCGGACGATATCTACTGGGAAGGGGAACACATATGACAGTGTTTTGTCATTGCATATTGTGTTGAGCGTTTGCAAATACCGCAATTGCAGAGCAATGGGATTTGTCTCCATTATATCGGCAGCTTCCTTTAGAGTTTTGACAGCGTCTCTTTCTCCCTGAGCAGCCGCTACCTTGGCCTTTGCCTCCCGTAACGCTTCCTGTTCGACAGCCAGAGCTCGACGCAGCTGGTCGGGCAGAAGAATCTCTTTACTTTACAAGAGACATTACAGTCAACAACAGAAGAATTACTTTGGCGAGCTACTTACACTTCCACCCGCTCGACACGCACTCCCCAGGGATCGGTACAGTCATCAAGGATAGCTTCAATTCTCTTGGACAGTGTCTCCTTGGACATTAGGAGGTCCAACAGCATGTGTGTGCCGGCCACATTTCGAAGCGAGGCCTTGGCCAGCAACTCAACGGCGCCTCTATGATCGAATACCTGCAGAACTGCATCAATCGGCTGCTTGATGCTGTAGTAGACCACAGCATCGACCTTGATCGTCACCATATCCTTGGTGAGAATTTCCTGGGGCGATACGTCAAAAGATGTGGTGCGCAGATCCACTTTAATGTACGCATCAATGCAAGGGAGTATGAAAACGAGTCCTGGACCACGGGGTCCGCCAGGCAGGAGGCGGCCCAAGCGCAAAATTACCGCTCTCTGGTATTCCTGCAGGATCACTAGGCACATGAATACCGAAATGGGGAAAGTTATCACCATCAAAATGACGGAGAGTAGATAAAAAATCCTCTCCAAGAGATTAGGGGGAATGTTTTCAGCTGTCAATGAAGAAGTGACTCAATTCAAGGAGGCGATTAGACCAGACCAAATAAAACTCACTTGTCGGCACATTGCGATCAGTCGCCATGGCACTAAGATAAGGTGCTCTCATGAATGGTCGCAGGACATTCAGATCTATCAGATTTGAAGGCTTAAGTGATGTCTCCTCGCCCGAAAGTCCATCTGTGGACTCCCCCGGATTGTTGTTCATTACAAAGAATTTCACAAAGTAAAAAGAAAACTAATGGATAAAAAATCTATGTATACGTTTACGACTCTCTCAATATTTACTTGAGAGGATTTCCAAAGGCAATAGACCATAAAATTGAGGTTGAATTTGTTATTTGGCTAGAGTACATTCATTTAGAGCATTCATTTAAGGTTCGCTAGCTGTGCTGACGTGCTACATCTTGAGCTGCCTCCACGCGACTGCGGGGACGCCAAAGGTCTAGCAGTCGGACCAAAAAATGGGACACTACGAAAAAGCCAAGAAACCACGAGCCATGCTGATACACCGCATTTACCAGTTCGCTAATGGTGAAAGCTCGCTCTTGAAGCACTCGATCGTAGACCCTAACAGTCCGAAGAGCAACATCCTCCCAGTTGTAGAGAGTCTCCACCAGCTCATTGCATCTGTATGGGCAGAGCACAGGCTCTATTTGGCTACTTTCATCCGCAGGTGTGGAGCAACCCGTTTGGGACCAGCTAACCGGATCAGGAGCTGAATGATTTTTTCTTCGTTGTCGTCGCATTCCCCGTCTATCAGTCTCAGAAGGAATGTGCCCATTAGAGGCTGGAGTTCTTATCATACTAGATATACTTTTTTGATGTCTATCTATGGCTACTAAAATGGCAGAGTGAATGGCATCAATATCCGGCTCTGCCAGCAGTATTAGGCTTTTCGGAAGAACCTCAGGAATGCCACCAACGCTGGTGGAGACCACCTGGAGACCGCAAGAGGCGGCCTCAACTATGGCCATACAATATGCCTCCGTTAGCGAGGTATTCACAAAGATATGGCCGCGTACGAGAACATCTCGTACTTTGACATGCTCCACAGCGCCCACGATTTCTACTCGATCTTGCATATTTGTCTTTTCGCGTATCTCCTCCAACAGATCTCTTTTTGGTCCATCACCCACGATAATAAAGTTAACATTATGCGTGTTCTTGAAGCGGGGTATAACACCGGCCAGAAGATCGATGCCCTTGCGGTAGACAAGGCGAGAAGCCACCACAATGTTGACTACGGAAGATATGTTGAATAAGTGTGTCTTGTATAATTAGATAGTTGTGTCCACTCACTTGTGTCGTTACTGGGTCGCTGGCTGGCATCTGGGGTAAATAAAGCGGTGTCTACAGCATTTGGTATCACGGAAACCCGATGCTTTGCCACACGCGCTCGCAGCACCGTGTTCTCTTTGCCAATGTGCGATACACAAATGGCATGGTTCACCATACTCAAATTGACTTCCAGAAGATTGTTGGTAAGGGCTGCTGATAAGTCAGCAAAGCCAAAAAGGCTGTGATCGGTAAATACCGTCTGTAATCGACAGAAGATTAGATTTTAATCAACAAAAGATTGCTAAACTGTACTACTTTTAGACCAAGCAGAGAGCCCACCATCAGAGCTTCATGGGCTAAGGCACTGAAGGCCGAGTGGCCGTGCACGATCTCCACACGTTCCCGCAGGAGGACGGCCCGCAACATTGGCACATTGCAGACGGCAGTTGGAAGGATGCACTGATTGTAGCACACTTTAATGGGGAGATAATAGACCTTGAGACCGTGCGTTACATAGCGGATGCCACTGCAATCTCCATAGGCATGGGTCAGCACAACGATCTGTGAATCGAATTGGAGATTAGTCAATCACAAACATGTAAGTTATCTGGCTTCCACTCACCTTGTGACCCAGACTAAGCAGCATTTGTGCAAGATTGTAAACATGCTCCTCGACCCCTCCAATGCTGGGATAGAAGAAGTCCGACACCATGCAGATGCGCATCTTTCACACTTGACGATTGCTAGCTCACATGCAGGGGACATCACATAAAACAAATAAAATCCAATCAATTAAAATGAGCACAACACCCCAAAGAACATATGGTTGCAAGACCTGCAAGTGGGACCAGACTGCATAACTCTCCATGGCAGTGCTGGAAAACGTAGTGCTGCAGCGTACGGTCTCACCGTAGTGGGAGGGGAGGTGCAAAAGAAAAGTTGTTTTCCGCAGTTTCTTCATGGCTGCAATATGCAGAACTCCAAGGCCAAAATGGACGAATTTAAGTCGAAAGTCATGGACCTGCTGCACAAACAGGTAACAAAGAGTCCTTCAGGAAGCGGTGCACACTCGGTAGTTTGGGATGCACTCACCATGAAACTTATTACGCACACAGACGAATCGACAAATGAAAATTCCTGCCATGGGTTTCTCGGACTACTTCATCCAAACGGTGACAACTGATGCATCTCCCAACGATGAAGTGGATGCCACTGACGAAGCCTCGGCTGGAGCATCGAACGCACAAAGGTCGGACCAGGAAATCCTAGAGAGCATTGAAGAATGCTACTATAGCCCTGACAGTAATCCGCAGCTATATGAACTCAAGGTAAACTAGATGTTGAACTTTCGCCTGAATCGCAGTCTTCTCACCTTGCCACCTCCCGCAGAAAGTTCTTAGCGACGGCATCGACATCGAGCTTATCGAGGTCACCATTGCACAATTGCGCACACAACAAAAGGTATTGACCAAGCAGGTGCTGCAGAACATATTGGAGCAGCGCAATGCTTGCAGCAGTGAGTTTTCCGCCATCAGTGACACCCAAAAGAAGCTGGAGGAGTCGCTCTGGACGTGTCAGAAGGCGAGGTCCTATTTGAATTTCGCTCGCACAAACCTTACCACGACCAGTTTGGAGATACTCGCCAGTTATCGCAAACGGGAGGTTCTCAAAGAGGTCTTGGACACTCTGATGGCCATAAAGAAACTGGTACTACTAGACTTATTCTATAAATCAATTCAATGCTCATATAGTTTCAATATTTCCCAGCGCACAACTGATGTGGAGCTGCAGAAACTGCTAGCAGATCACAACTACAGCGCGGCGATTGCTCTCCTCCTGCAATGCAAAAGCTCTGCAGAGGCCTACATGCAATATAACTGCGTGCAGTCACTCTACAAGAAGCTGCAGGAGACTATGCTGCTCATGGAGTTTCAGCTGGATACGGTGCTGAATGAGATGGTGTTGAACTTTGATACGCGCAAGTATGCCAAGCTGCAGGAGGCCTACAAATTGGCTAACAAATCGCTCATGGCAATGGATCAGCTGCACATCAACTATATCTCGGCAATTCATTCGTCGGTCAACGCTGTGCTCCGGGGCTACAGCGACCCCAGCCATGACGATCAGATCAAGCCTCTCTACGAACAGTTGTGCGAGCAACTAAACTCTGAAAAGCTTATACCCTGTCTGATAAGCTTGTGCAAAACGTTCTGGACCATATTGGCCTCCTATTATCAGGTTGTGATGTGGCACAATAACTACAAGCTGTATGGCCACGAGGAGACCGACTCTCCCGATATATACATCCAGCAAAAGCTGAAAAAGGGGCAGTCACGACTCTGGAACGATATACTGACCAAAGTGTGCCTATTCCTGCAGAGCGCCAAGCTGACTGCGCTTAAGTACGACCAGTTCATCCAAGTAATGTCCATTGTGCAGCGTCTGAAGAAAGTGGGAGTGGAATTCTGTGGCGAGCAGTCGGAGAAACTAATTGATATCATGCAGCAGCAGAGCGAGGAGTTCTTCAGGCGGTATCACATTTGCTGTGTGGAAGAGATCTGCTTGTTCTTGGACAACGAATCATGGACGCAAGTCGACTCGTTTTCACACATCCTTCAACTGCCCGTAAGTGCCGCTGGAACTGCAACACCCGTTGAATTTTTCTTGATTCCTAATTTTATTCTCATGGATTTTAGGAATTCCGCTCGGTCCGTCACACGCTGCGTCGACACAAGTCCCCGACAACAGCGCTGGTGGCCTCCTCGAACAATTCCCCGATTAGCAACAATAATTGCGACGAGCTGGTTTCCGTGCACTCACAGGATGGTGGCAGCTCTATTTATGGTTCCTATGGCTACTTTTTGCGGTTCTCTGAGAAAAGTTCGCCCTTTGACGGCGGCCTGGATGCAGCCATGCTCGAGGAGGATATTCTCTCTGGCATTGTCGACGAGGCCTCCTGCTACTTTAGCGAGGAGAGCGACGACGAGCAGAAGAGTCTGCAGAGCAAAGAGTTTGACGATGCCAGCAAGTAAGTAACCTCAATTCTCTCATCCAAACCACTATCTCAAAGAAATCCTTCCATCAGCCAACTGCTGGTAAACAATACCGCCTTGAATGTGCTGCGCTGCCTTGGACGCTACCTGCAAATGTGCAAACTTCTGCACTGCATCTCTCCTAAGATTGTGTCCTGCATGCTGGAGCTTATTGATTTTTACGCGTTCGCTGTTCACGAGATCTTTGGCAAGGACGCGGTAAGTAAGAACCTAACAAATGAAAAACTTGTATTACAAATAAATACTTTTTCATATACAGCTGGTGCCCACGGACAATATGTATACCCCCCGGCTGGAGCGACGGTTGCGCTCCGTGGAGGCGAATGTTTTGCCACAGATCAAGCTGTGGCCGCTTAATTTTTCCTCTCTGGTATGGATTGGTTTGTGTGATCTGGGTTTTGGGCGCAATCTTATAATCAATCCCTTTCTAGGCCAACAACGAGCTGGCCAATCCAGACACTCTTTACGGTCTTCCTCAGCGCATTGTGGCAGTGGAGTCAGGACGCAGCATGTTCCAGCAATTCCATATTCTCCAGCACTACCTTAATCACCTTTTGCCCATTGCCGACCGTCCGCTGTTGGTGGGCTATCTGGAGTATAGCGATTACATGTTGGATTTGGCCAAACCAGTTTACACCTGCGTCACCTCACGCGTCATTGATCTATCGGCTATACTGGCGCAAATGGCCAAGGTCAAGTGGGATGTGAATCATGTGATACACCAGCATAGCAGCTACAGCGACGTGCTGAATCGGGTATGTGGTAGAGGGCATCGAATTGCAGGCAATCTTCTCTAACAAATTATTTGCAGAACATACAAAGCTTTGCCATGTGCCTGGAGGAGACGGCCAAAGAGGTGGCTGTGCCTAGCAAGCACGTTTGGAATTCCATGGCCCATGTGGCCACGCATCTGCTCGTAGAAGGGTAAGCTGTCGACTGCAAGATTCCCACAATGTAAAACCCTTAACTAAAATCATCTCATTTAGCTTTTCCAATGTGAAGAAATGCTCGGCCGGAGGACGAGCACTGATGCAATTGGATTTCGCCAACTTTATGTCATTCCTTGAGCTTATATCGAATCAAAAGTACCCCCAACACCGCTCGTATGTGGATGTGTTCATCAAAACCTATTATTTCTCACCGGAACAATTCGAACTGTGGATCGAGCAGCAGCGGCAGGAGGACGACTACTCCGCCAAACAGTTGACAAACCTAATACAGTGCATCTGTGCCAGTGACAAGCGCACAAGGCAAAGGCTTTTGCAGTTACTGGACGGTCCAGCAATGGCCAATGGGGGGACGCCGACGACAACGCCACAAAAGAACCGCTCCAGCTCCGGGTCGAATCTGAGCAGTGTTATCTGAGACCCCATGATGATTTTCACATATATATTTATTTTGTTATAACCCATTGCTAACCGATTCGGTTCAACCCAACCCTTTGTTAGTAGAGCAATCTCGTGACATTCTTTTGATGTATTTAACATTCCGTTTAGTGCAAATTAACATTGTGTTATTGGCTTACGACCATATATAGTTTAGTTACTTAAGCGATCTCCATGATGTACTTCGTTTCGAATTTTCCAAATCTTTGAATCTCTCATAATTTCCCTATCTCAATACAATTCGCTCTCTATTCGCTCTCATATGCAACACAATTGGCGACTATCCGTGACTTAAGTACCTAGAGAAAGCATATATATATAATATATAAAGAAACACACGTATTGTTAAGATGCATAAACAGCTATTTATTATTAACCTAATTACCTAATTGTAATATTTACTTGCAGAAGGCAACGGACAAATAATTGTAATAGAGCGCCGCTCAATCAATAGAAATCGATTTGATTCGCGCGCTTACCACAAATACACAAAAACACGAATACTAAATAGTTGTAACCACTAACAAAGATAACATATTTTGGGATATGCATATTACAAAGAAAACTACGAATGTCTTATCTTATCGGGGGCGTGAATCCCGCATCGCGCGCACCGCACCTTATTCTTGGCCAAGAAACGCCCCCGTCTGAATGGGCCCAGCATATAAATATATTCGGTCATCGTTGTCTGCTCCACACTAACCATCCGCCATGTGGACTGTCCTGAGCCATTTGTTACTCCTTTGGGCTACCGCAGTAGCCTCAGGATCCACTGCGGACTTTATCAGCAGCATGGCCAAGGAGTCTTCGCTGGCGATGCTAATCATCCGCTATGACTACTGTCCAGACGCCTGGCTAGCTGAACTACTCGCGTCGCTCTCCCTCCCAGTGGTGCTGCAGGCCAGCAGTGCTCAGCCTCCGCGCGAGGAGTTTTCCCGTGCACTGCACATTATGTGCCTGCCCGGGGCTGGTGATGGGCAGCATGAGGAGGAACTAGTGCAAGCTCTTGCCACTTCGCTGGATGACAGACGCAGCGAGAAGTGTTTAATATATCTGGCCAATAAATTTCCCCATCTCGCTGCAATAAACCAAGTGCTGCGACACTGCTACGAACTGAAAATGCTCAACGTGGTTGGGCTAAGGGCGGCCGATGAGCAGCGCTTCTACTACCGCTACCTTCCATATCCCGGGTTCAGGATAGAGCAGCGTTCGTTGCAGTCGTCGCCCATCTTCGACCTGCTCTTTCCCAACATGCGGGGTGAGCCGCTGATTGTAATGCCCGACCAATGGCACCCACGTTCCGTTGTCTATGTGGACAGACATACGGGGAAAAAGGTTCTCGCTGGATCTGTTGGACGATTTGTCCGCACCCTGGTCTGGAAACTGAATGCTACCATGCAGTACGCCCAGGCTGTTACCCCGGGTCGCTTTCTCCACGCGAATGCCTTGCAAGATCTTGTAAACCGGTTCCCCATCGATGTGCCGGCCAGTATTTCCTTGATAAGCCAGGCGGAACAATTGCCTCACATTAGTTATCCCTTTGAGTTGACCCACGTGTGCCTGATGATTCCCGTGGCAAATGAGATTCCTGTGCGCGACATCTACCGTCTCCTGAGCAGCGCTAAAAACGTTATCATTGCTGTTGCCATTGTTTACGCCTATGGCCTGGTGCTCACCTTCCAAAGGCGCCTGGATGACCGGGAAGTGTACATTGTGGACTTCCTGCTTAACGACAGAGCTCTGCGCGGAGTCCTTGGACAGTCCTTCAAGATAACTAGCCAAGAGAACGGCTCCTCCTGCAAGTGGATCTACGTAATGCTTGGCATTATTGGCCTGAACATCAGCTGCATCTTCGAAGCGGCCCTAGAAACGATGCTGGCCCACCCACCGAGGCAATTCCAGCCACGCAGCATCGCTGATGTCAGACGTGCCCGTCTGCCCCTTGTCGCCGTTGAAGAAGATCTAGATTCTATCGCCGATCTCCATCTTCCCGTTCTGACCGTCAATGCCAGTGAGTACAACAGGCTGCGAGATGACGCGAATGCCAGCTACGTCTACCTCGCCTCGCGGCTCCACTGGACCCTATTCGAGAACCAGCAAAAGTACTTTTCGCGAGAGCTTTTCATCTACTCCAAGGACGCCTGCCTGATGTCGCTGGCACTGCTCACCTTTAAGCTGCCCAAGAACTCCTGGTTTGAGGCGCCCATCAGCAAACTCATTCTGGAGGCGAGGGCCAACGGCCTCTATCAGTATTGGGTGGGGATGCACCACTACGACATGTCTATCGCCGGTGTCGCCAGCTTGCGGGATCTCAGCCTGGATCAGATTCATCGGGAGGCTCATCAAACTGGCACTGCCTTGCGGCTAATTGATCTGCAATGGATTTGGCTAGCATATGGACTTCTGACTCTGATGGCCGTGCTTCTATTCATCCTCGAGATCGGTTGCCAGCGTGCTGCTCTAAAACAATAGTGCTTACAAATCGATTCTTAAATTTGTGTTCGGAATTAGTTTATTGTTGAATGGTGGCAAGGAAGGTGTGGACAACTTGGAAGTGACATTGAATTGATCTATGGGGTTTGGGTGCAGTGGATTAATATTAATAGATTAGAGTGGAACACAGGTGATTGCATCCGATTCCGTTCGTTTGTCTAGGCCACATTGGTGTGCTCGTCACGGTGGAAGATCTTCACGTCGAAGAACTTGAAGTTGTGCACATCGAAGTAGTAATCGTGCTTCACTGGGCGATTGAAGGGGAAACCGAAGGGCAACGCATCCACATAGCGGGACCCGTGACCAATGCCGCAGCTGATGATTGGATCGTAGCCGGTGTACTGGGCCACGGCAGTCTCATGGAAGGGATAGACCATGTAGAAGAACTGGTAGACCTGGCCGCCCTTCTTGCCCTTTGGCAGCATCATACGGTTGGGGACACCGCAGTGGGCCTCAGACTGATCCAACTTGAACTTGTAATCGCTGACGGAGGCATCCATCAGCTTTTGGTACAGCTCCAGGTAGGTGGTGCGATCGTTGACCCAGATGAAGAAGTCGCCGCTGTTGCGCTTGATGTGAGTGACGCCGGCATCCAGATGGACCTTGAAGTGGTCCAGCTCGAAGAAGTTCTGGTAGTTGTGCTCGAGTGGGATGACGTGTCCGTGCTCGTCGTATTTGGGTCCAATGAAAACCTTCACAATGGCATCCTGGGCCTTGTCGGCGCTGACGTCCAGGGTGAATTCGAAGGGCTTGTGGTTCAGGCGATGCTGGCGCGCCTTGATCACGTAGCTCACACCGTTGTAGTGTGAGTTGCGTCCGAAGGAATACAGGCTATCGTGGCTATCCTGAACAACGGGCTCAACATTAACAGCATTGCTGATGTCGGCATCGAAGTACTCGAAGTAGGTGGTAAGGCTCTCGGGCATGTGAACGGCATCGATCTTGACGCCCTCGAATTCGTAGTCGTGTTTCTTGTACTCGGGGAAGGTCTCCATGAGGTGCCAATAGTGGCCGACCAGGTTCTTGTACACTTCGTAGAACAGGGGGTCGCGGAGCGACGTGTCATAGTGCATGAAACGGCCGGGGAAGCTCTCATAGTGCTTGCCGACTTGGTGTCCTCCGTTCACGATGTGACGGTACTCCTTGTCCAGGCTACCGTAGAACTTCTTGTCAATGCTGTCTGCATTTCCCTGAATGATATTTCCCAGCTGGTTGATCACCTCCACATCGAATTTTTCGTTTTTGTGAATCCAGTCCATCACACGCTGTGTGTAAAGCTCAACTTCCTGGATGTGCTCGATGTTGTGCTCATGGTAGAAGCTGTGGTGGTTGTCGCGGTGCCAGTCCGGAACGCCATTGTAGCTGCGAAGGGCGCTGTAGTAGCCGGAGGCGACCGGTTCGTACATGTTGAATGTGGGTACCTCGCCCATGTCGTTGGAAAGACGCTCCAGATACCAGCGGGCGAGCAGCTGCCAGTGGGTGTACAGGTAGAGCTCTCCGCGACGGTCCTTGTTCAGCACATGGTGCTCCGAACCCTTGGTCCAGAACGGGTAGTCGAGGTTGTAGTAGTAGTAGAAGCTGTTGAAACCAACATCCTCCAGGAAGTATGCCAGCTCGTGATCGTAGTTGAGGTTACCGTAATGGTTCGAGTAGTTCGACTTGAGCACCACATTGTAGATGTTGTCCATTTTCTTCACGTGGTGGAAGCCGTGCATCTTGTAGTGCTCGGCCATCTCCAGGGTCTGGCCGCCGAAGAAGCTCCAGGGATGGATCTCGTAGTGAGCCGGCAGGATGATGCCCTGCATGTCGTCGCGGGCGATGGTGACAACGGTGAAGGCGTAAACAAACAGCTGCTTGTTCACGTGCTGGCGGGCCCAGAAGACAGCGTGCTGGAAGGTTTCCCAGTTCTTGGCAAAGTAGAAGAGGCGCACCAGACCGACAGCGTATTCCTCATGGCGCTCGTACATCACGGACCACACCTGATCGTCATGGAAGGGATGGTGCTGCCAGAGCTCGAAGAAATGCTCCAACAACTCGGGGTGATGGTAGTCGCCCACATGATCCCATGGCTTGTATTCGGCGTAGGTGGCAGGGTACTCACTGACAAAAACATCGTCCTGGTAGATGTGCTGCAGCATGTCGAAGACAAACTTTTGCTTTCCCAGGAAGTCCTTGTCGGCCACTTTCGACTCAATATGCTTGGCATGGCAGCCAAGTGCCAGCAGTGCCACCGAAATAACTGCGATCGCCGTGAACGACTTCATCTTGCGGAATCATACCTCTGCTCCGTTTCCAGCCTGCATTTATACCCAGCCAAGCCGTAGCGTCGGCGATAGCGAGATTTGCACTCCGGCCATTGGCATGTCGCTTTGTAGCCTTGACATTGTGCGAGATCCGTTCGACCCCTGCAATTGCACCGGTCCGAATTGCAAGTGATAAGGCATACGATTGTAGCGCTGGATCGGAATCGGCCCATCTATCGGCCAATGACGGTGCTTAAGCGGCCAGGCAGGCCCTTCTTACAATCAATTACATAAGCGAATCAGGTTACATTGATGCCAGATCACCTGTTGATTGGACGTTGCCAGGCAGCCGCTTAATAAGATTACAGATTGTTTGTGCATCGACAGGTCGCCCTATGGCTAAGGTCATAGGCATCAAGCGGTGCTAAAAATAATCAAAATTGCAAATTTTAATCATAGAACAACAAGAGTAGACAGCAAAGAGCATTGAATCATCACCAGACACATTGTCCAATTCCATACATGGCCAAATAATGCGCAATGGAGAATGGGTCTTCCTCCCTCGAATATACACACATACACATACATATGTGTGAGCAAATATTGCAGATAGTTTGAGCCATCGCTGCATGTAATCTCTGATGAGTAATTTTTGTAAGCTATAAATAACAATAGTAATAATAATACAATAAAACATACATAATCATCGAGAACTTCAATTGGAGACATATGTATCACCCATACTGTCGCTGTCACTTTGTTCCAGTCCCACCTGAGGGCGACGCGCCATCTAGCGGAAGTCCAGGGAGGCTCGATGGTGTATGGTGACATCGGGGGGAGCTGGAGCCGTTACTGGGGATATAAGGAATAGAATAGGATTAGTTATATGTATTAGTAAGGGAAAAAGGGATAAATAGGAGTGAAAATATTAGAAAACGTGGATTGGATTATGGAAATCGTGGAGCGTGGACGGAAGAGTAACGTCGAAATTTGCAATTTTGTGCTTAAAACAGAAAGTTTGAAGTGAGTACAGAAAAAAGCGGGCGAGAAAATAGGTTGTAATACAGAAAATTTTACTAACAGCCGGCAAGGAATATAGCCACCAGAACCGGGCCAGAAGGTTTCCTGGAGAGGAACACTGGAGTTCGAGAAAGTCGACTGCAGAGAAGAATACTGTCCAACGTGAACCTGAGTACGGTTTAGCTGCCAGGGCGATTCTAGCCACACCGCACGATCGTTGCATCGTTGCATTTGATGTCCCGAGAAGTAGTATGTCTCCCTTTTTGTCTACATTTGGCGGGACAGGGGAACTACCCAGCCCTGTGGTCGACTCTAGCCGGCATTGCCCCCTGGGAAACAAGCCAAGTGTAACAACTTGTGAGATATTTCAGATCATCGATTTCATCTTTACAAGGAACTCAATTTCCTCTTGGTTGTGCCGTTTTCTAAACTCAATTCGGTGTAAATTTAGCATATTATTTTGGTGGTTGTAAATTTGAAAATTCCCGCTTTTTTCATACTTTTGTAGTAGAGTTGCCGCTGTGTTGCATCTGCGACCGGGCTATCGATAGTCGACTTCAATAGTCGGACATTATACCGATGATAATCAATTTTTAAAACGATTTAAAACGAAAATAGTAAATATTATTTGTACTCACCATAAATATATTATTTAAGCTGCACAATCGGATTAGATTATCAGATAATTAATTGAAATTTTTTACAATTATCACGAAAAGTTCACTGACTTTTTATCGCACGTCTCAACGTCTACACCTTTCCTTTGTAACTTTGGTGGAGTAGATAGCAGCGTCAGCATATAATTAGGTGACAAATTGCCGGCATACGGTGGGATGGAAGTCTGAGGAATTTGTTTAATGTTTGATTAACAAGTCTACGCAGAATAGCATGCTGTCCAAATAAACCGCCCAATCTCCAAATATGTACTCTCATTGCAAATTAATTGCTGTTGTTGTTTGCTCTTCTCTGAATGTATCATTATTTTTTATACCTAGTTCTGAGTAGGCGTGAATTTCTCATACACTGCGCGAAAACAAGAGAAAGCAATTCAATTTACGCACTATCACACTTCAGTTTGAATTTTTCATAAAACACGCATTCGCCTGTGTAGCTGCAGCACGTTACGTCACAGTAAAAGCCGAGCCTTTCCGGAACCTAGTGTTGAGTGTTGAACAACTTTGTTAGATTGACAAACACTTTTCGTTTCTGCCAGGTTTTTTTTTTCGGTAAGCCGGTTGTACAAATTATATATTGCGCATATAAAGTAAAGTTTTCTAATATTCAGGTGCATTTCTAATGCTTCAATGATGTCTGCAGAAAAGGAGACTAATGTGTCTACATTTCTGCGACCGAAAGGTGATGATGCTGCCAAAATGTCTTCAATTTGTGCAGCTTCGGCTGCAGCTACTGTTCCAACTACATTAGCTGCTTCCGATCAAGGAGATGAGAAAGCCTTCAAGATGCCAATGCCGCCAGGCGCTGCTGCCAAGAATAAACCCAACTACCGACTCCTTAAGGGCGCAACGGAGGGCCACTTAAGCTGCGTCTCATCGGTAAAGTTCAGCGCGGATGGCGATTATTTGGTAAGCGCATCCGCAGACCGTTTGCTCAAGTTGTGGGATGTACGCACAATCCAAAGTTATCAGACGCTGGCAGGACACGAGAAGGGCATCAACGATGTAGTGTGTTCACAGAATGGAAAACTTATCGCCAGTTGCGGCGACGACAAAACGGTTAAGCTATGGGACTCGAATAGCAACAGTTGCGCCAAGACCTTGCAGGGACATTCAAACTGTGTATTCTGCTGCTGCTTCAATCCGCAGACAAATCTCATTTTGTCTGCCAGTTTCGATGGTTCGGTGCACTTGTGGGATCTCCGAACTGGCAGGACTCTCAAGAGTTTGGCCGCTCATGGGGATTCCACTACATCTGTGGACTTTAACCGCACCGGCAGTCACTTCATTACGAGCAGCCACGACGGATTCATACGAATGTGGGAATCCGCCACCTTCCACCTCGTGAAGACGCTCTTGACTGACGACGACAACCCCGTGGTGGGGCATGCAAAGTTCTCGCCCAACGGCAAATACATACTGAGCTCCACCTTTGACAACACCCACAAATTGTGGAATTACGAAAAGTCAAAGGTTCTGCGCAGGTATACCGGACACAAGAACGAGTGCTACTGCCTGACCGCCAACTTCTCGGTAACGGGCGGGATGTGGATTGTTTCGGGCAGTGAGGACAAATCGATATGCATCTGGAGCCTGCAGACGAGTGAGCTGGTCCAGAAGATTGACACCAACGGCGACTTGGTTATTTGCACCGACTGTCATCCAAAGGAGAACATCATTGCCACTGGTTCCCTTGAGAAGCCCTTCACCGTCAAGGCATGGAAGAGCTGTGAATAACCAGACGACCAGAAGAGAATTACCCTTTAAACGCCTACAACGAGTTCCTTAATCCGTAAATCGAGCAAATAAACTGATTCAAATTGACCCATAAGTGTTTCTTCTAAGAGCGGCATTGCCATTGAGCAGACACTGCGACGATACCTCTGTGTAAACACTTGTTAACAAGATAAGCTTGTACCTGCTCTTGTAAATCATATATGGCCGGTATACACCGGCAAACAGAAACGCATGCCCTCCCTATCTCAGCCAGACGGCCATTCGGCCAGTCGACAAGTTGTCGAGTCAGGCCGGAGCTGATGGAGAGCGTCATTCAAGTCTGGAACGGCGTATAGAGCGGTCGCGTTTGGTCCCTAGTTATCGCTTGGTGTTTGCTCTTCCTACCCACTCTCTGTCTTTCTATTATTGTTTCTACACGCAATTCGCGAGATCGAAACAATCAACTAATCCGCGATGAGGGCGGACGAGGGTGAGTTGGCTGCCTTAGCTGGTTCCCAGGGGTTTCCCGGATGCATTTGTCTAAAGGTTGAACGCTGTTGTTAGGTCAGTTTCGAAAAGACAGGGGCGATCGCATGCTTGTGGAAATTCTCACCAATAAAATCAATTATGGCCAATCGAGAAAATACGTGCCAATTCATAAAAGTGTATCGTGGAGGCTTATCTATCTTCTAGGGAAGTCCAACTGATAAGGTAGCGAGTGCTACCAAGGAAGATTTAATGGTTTGATTTCTATCTCCGTGGGGGGTTATCAGAATGTACCAGCGAATGTAGAGTGGAATCTAATCGGAAATTCATTCCCTGACCTGCAGATCATCTGTACAGGGAGCAGCTTCCGAGCATGGGCACTCTGATCAGCGACAGCGGACGGAAGCTGTGTCGCCCGGCGACCATCACCAACAAGTTGCCCATACTCCAATGGCTGCCCCGCTACCGGATCGAGTACGTGATGCAGGACTTCATAGCAGGTTTCACCGTAGGACTAACAACCATACCTCAAGCCATTGCCTATGGGGTGGTGGCTGGCCTGGAGCCACAGTACGGTCTGTACTCGGCTTTTATGGGCTGCTTCACCTACATTTTTTTTGGCTCCTGCAAGGATGTCACAATCGGTAAGGGTCCCCTGTCCACGCTTCTGTCCAGCCACGGGAAACTCATTTTACACTTCCGCCCGCAGCCACAACCGCCATTATGGCTCTGATGGTCAACCAGTATGCCACCATCAGTCCAGACTACGCTGTGCTAGTGTGCTTCCTGGCCGGTTGCATCGTGCTCCTCCTGGGCCTGCTCAACATGGGAGTGCTGGTGCGCTTTATATCGATACCAGTCATCACAGGCTTCACCATGGCGGCGGCCACCACCATCGGCAGTGCCCAAATTAACAATATAGTCGGCCTCAGCAGTGAGTGGGAATACATTTAGCAGCATTTCAGCAGCAGGCTAATTTGGGTTATTATTATTCTGCAAAAAATAGGTCCATCTAACGATTTGTTGCCGTCCTGGAAAAATTTCTTCACCCACTTGCCTTCGATTAGAAAATGGGACGCCCTGCTGGGTGTGTATTCCCTCATATTCCTGCTTCTCATGAAGGTATACTCCCGCAATAGGCAACCAAAATAGTAGATCATAAACTAATCTATGCATGTTGCACAGCAAGTGAAGGACATCAAGTGGGGCAACCGTATATTCTGGAAGTACCTGGCCCTATCGCGAAACGCCTTGGCCGTGATCTTTGGCACGTTCCTTGCGTACATTCTTAGTTGCGATGGAAACCAGCCCTTCCGCGTCACTGGAAACATCACAGCGGGCGTGCCACCCTTTCGACTGCCGCCCTTCAGCACCACCGTCGATGGAGAGTACGTGTCCTTTGGCGAGATGATCAGTACAGTAGGCGCCTCTCTGGGCTCCATACCGCTGATATCGATTCTGGAAATCGTGGCTATATCCAAGGCATTTTGTAAGTACCAATTCAACTATTCAGTCGCTCGGCAACTGTCACATCAACCCTCTCCCAATATTAGGGAAAAAGAGAAATTTGTTTCCAACAACACATTCTCGTAACGTAAAGCCCATGCTGGTATACATATGTACAATAACTTGTTTTGTGCATTCTCACTGTATGAATCATCCGATCGCGGCGGTTGTTCTGTGTGAATCGGTTGATAATATCATTCAAGTCTAGAGCTGAGTTCCATATCTTATAAAAACCCGCAATTGCATTCACAGCCAAGGGGAAAATAGTGGATGCATCGCAGGAGATGGTGGCCCTGGGCATGTGCAACATTATGGGCAGCTTCGTTCTCTCCATGCCAGTGACGGGCTCATTCACACGCACGGCAGTCAACAATGCCAGTGGAGTGAAGACGCCTCTTGGCGGAGCCGTCACGGGTGCTCTCGTGCTCTTGGCATTGGCCTTTCTCACCCAAACCTTCTACTACATACCGAAGTGCACGCTGGCGTCCATCATCATAGCAGCCATGATATCGCTGGTGGAGATCCACAAGATTGCGGACATGTGGAAGTCGAAGAGTGAGTCGTTTGTGAGCTTAGCCCGGCTGATTCTAACCCAATTCGTGTTTTTGCAGAGAAAGATCTGTTCCCGTTTTTAGTCACAATTATCACCTGCATGTTCTGGAGCCTGGAGTATGGCATTCTCTGCGGCATTGCCGCCAACATGGTCTACATTCTGTACAGCAGTGCGCGTCCCCAAGTCTACGTCAGATTTGAGAAGGTAGGCCAAAAACGCCATTAGGTTGATAGCCCCCAAATCTTAACGTATCCAACTCCCTCCAGATAAATGGGCACGAGGTGAGCGTGGTGGATGTAAAGCAGAAGCTCGACTATGCCTCCGCGGAGTATCTAAAGGAGAAGGTGGTTCGCTTCCTGAACCAACAGAACGGTGAAACTAGTCTGGTCGTGATCAAAGGCGAGGAGATCAATTCCATCGATTACACAGTCGCCATGGTAAGTCTTTGATTGACCCTTTGATTGTCCGCCTTTTCTAATGCAATCTATTGCAGAATATTGTCTCCCTGAAGGAGGATCTGAACGCCCTCAACTGTGCTCTCATCTGCTGGAAGTGGAACATTGCCTCCGCCGGCGTCGTTTGCCGACTCAAGAACGATATTCGCCCCATCTTCAAGTTTGATCAGACTCTCGAGGAGCTGGTGGCCTCCCACTTCGACAGTCCTTCCAACTCAGCCTCGACGGTGTCGATTGAGGCCTAGGAGCCACCCTTAGCTAAAACAGTATTTGCCTCAGAACAATTACTTAATATTGGAATAAGAAATAAGATGCATGCTCTTTACTGGCGACAATGTGTCTGGCGGATCGGGAGAGGAGAGGGCTATAGAATTACGTCTGTTGTCTGGTCTTCGAAGAAGGCTGGCCCCATGTCATAATAGTTGGGCCACAGAATTAATTGAGCCGTTGACCGCAACGCCTGCGACCTTTCTTCGAAACCTCGAATAGTGCCTCGGAGAAATGTAATTTATGGCCTTCTACAGGCACTTCACATCTCGAGTACCTACACAAATATAGGGAGAGAGAGCGGCAGGGAAAGTCCTTTCACCACCAGCGAGTTCTCAGTCTAATTCTCGGAAGACAAAGGTTCAACTTTAATTACGGATTATGATGCGTCTGCCGTCGTTTGGTGGTAGTTACCGAGAACCCGTTGTCCGGTAGGATCGAATGGGCTGCGCAAGTGACAGTCCGCCCGGTATCGCTTGCCCAGAATGTCTAATTCGTATTGGCCGCTCTTCACGTAGTCGGTTTCAATGGTGTGTCCATCTGGTCGCTCGATGTAGGCCTGTCCCAGGGATTTGCCGAGTGCATAGGCGTACTCTGCCCGTCGCAGAATCCCCACTGGCTCCCCATTGCGGTAGACTCCCTCAAGGCCCCAAATAGGAACATCCTCCTCCTGCAGCGTCAGATAGACCAAGCGCTTCTTGACCCCTTCGGAACGTTGCCGGTCGATGGCCGCCTTGCCACGGTATTCGCTGCCGCTCTTGCGGCATGTAAAGCCCAGACCAGCCTCTAGTGGGGTGTCGTCCGGGCGAAGATCGAAGCTCCACAAATGGTAGCCCTTTTCACTGCTCAGGGAATAGAGAGCGCGGTAGCCAGCGTTGCGCAGACCCCGAGATGCCCCAGCAGCTATAAGGGATTTGTAGACGGCGACACAATCGGCCTTGGGCACGTGCAATTCGTAGCCCAGCTCTCCCACGAAACTGACCCGCAGGAGGCGGAGGCCGATGCCATTGCACTTGGCCAGCCGCGTGCAGTTTGGCGGCAGCTTCTCGTCGGAGAGTTCACAGTCCAGCAGTGGCTGCAAGATCTGGCGACTGTTGGGGCCTTGAATCGAAATGACGCCCATTTCAGCAGTTAGGTCCTTGAGACTGGCCTCGAATCCCTTCCTGCGAATCTCGTCCTGCAGTGTGCTGTACGTGTAGTAAGCCGATGCACCGCCGGCCACTATGTAGTACGCTTGACCGCTAAACTTTGGATCGTAGATCTGGCCCGAACCGGAAGAAAGACGGGTTATGGTCACGTCCGCTTCCACGCCGCCGGCTGCATTCAGGGCGCAGGTGTAGACAGTTCTGGAACATATAAATATTGATCCGGTGGTCTCTAGGGCGCTTCACAGGAGAATGACTTACTTGCTGGGGTCACGATTCGTGTTGGCGGAGAAGAGCCAATCCGCCGCCTGCTGCGCCTGCGGTCCCTCGAGCAGCAGTTTGGCGAAATAGCTCATGTTGAAGACCACCGCATTATTTCGGCAAGCCAACGCTTCCGACTTGATCTGACAGCGATATTAGATGTATAGTCACTCTCAGAATCCATAGGGATCCACACTCACCAGATCGTGATGCTCTGAGAATCGACCGTACTGGAGATCGCCTTCGAGGACCTGCTCGTAGACGATGTCCCGATTGCGGGAATGTCCGTAGCTGCCATACCAGTCGTATGGCTGGACGGCAGCTCTATCAGCTCCTGAGGGCAGGAAGTAGCCGGGACGCTCCCAGCCCTGCTTCTCCTCCATGACGGCGTTGGCCAGAATCATCTGGTCGTGGAGCGGATCCTTCTGAAAATCACGGCCGGCCAGCGGCTGATCGTACTTGAACACCATGCTGTAGTTCTTCACGTAGCTCTCGTGCGACTTCTCCCGTATCCACTGGGTGGCGCATCCCTGCTCGGGTGTGAAGCGACGCAAATCAAAACCAAACATGGGCAGATCCGGCTGGCCATTGAGAATCCACAGGGCGGTCTGTTCACCACAGCCTCCGCCGAACATCATGCCTGCCGAATTGAAGCCGCAGTTGTGATACAGTCCGTTCAGGACAGGATCGGGTCCCATTAGAGGCTTGTGGTCGGGTGTGAATGACTCAGGGCCGCAGACAGTGCTCTTTACGCCGTACTTGGCATAGCTGGGGCACAGCTTCTGGGCACCCTCAACATGCGTCTCGAACACCGACCAGTCCAGCTCGTAGAGCCCAAAGTGAAAGTCCTTTGCCACCGGATCCAGCAGGATCGGGTTAGGCTCATAGCCACCCATGCAGATGGCATCGCCCTGGATGCGGAAGTATGTGGAGTAATCGTGGTCCCGGATATTGGGCAGCCCACGCACTCCTGGTATCGATTCGGAAACGATGTAGGCGTGCTTCATAGGCACCAGCGGTAGGTGGGAGCCGTGCTTGGCCACCAGATCCCGGCCCCAGACTCCTGTGGCATTTACCACTCTCTCCGTTCGTATGTTGCCGTAGGGTGTTGCCACGCCGACTACTTTTTTGCCGCGCGATGTCTGCTCCAGGAGAATGTCATCGACTCCGCAATTCTCGATCACCTCTGCGCCTCGATTGGTGGCCGCTCTCTTCAAGGCCGCACACAGCATGGCCGGATCCATGACACCATCGCCGGGTGAGTAGAGGGCGCCGATGAAAGCAGAGGGATCGAGGAGGGGGAACAACTTCTGTGTCTCCTCCGGACCAAGGATCTGGTTCTCAATGCCCAGAGCAGATCCCACGGTGGCCAGGCGCCGGTACTCGTCCAGCCTCGTCTCGTTGTGGGCGATGAAGAGGCCTCCGTTCTGTATCCAGCCAGGATCGAGGCCCGTTTCCGACTCCAGTTGCTGGAGCATTTGGCGCGAGTTGGCAAGCAGCTGAATATCGACATCATTGGGGCGCAGACGCCAGAGCAGGCCCGCAGTGTGCCAGGTGGTACCGGCTGTGAGTTGCGCACGCTCCAGAAGCACTGCCCTCACCCCACGCCGCGCAAGATGATACAGGGTATGACATCCTGCCGACCCGCCACCGATTACAACCACATCCGCCGATGCTGGCAGCGTCCCCGTCGGTGATCCTGCCCCTCTCTGCTGGCTGAGGGCTCGCGCGGGCCTGAGGACGATATCCTTCCGGGCTGATGTCTGATGCAAGATGCGATGGCGCCACATTTCAAGATGCTGCCTCTCACGACGAATTCAGTGAAAACACTAAGCCCTAGGCCCCGGATTTCGAGGCCAGCACGATCCCGGTTGGGTCTTGATAAGCTTTGTCGATAAGTTTGCTGAACCTTGGGGTCGCCATTCTCCTGATAAACTCAGATTCAATGACGTCGCTCGTCGATAATGAGGGACACTGATCAAGGCAAGGCACAGATGTGGATGGGAAAACTATTCCTCTCCGCTGTGGCACCCGGAATCTAATCTCAGAAGTGTGCCAAATACTAGTTTCGGACTAGGATAGGTCAATAGACATTGTAGTTTTCCCGCTCAGAGAATAAGTACAATACAATACGATTATGGAATTATAGTGGAATAAAAAGCAACATAAATCAAACTCCCTAAAGTCAAACCTTCAACAGGATACATCGGCTAAGTATTATTACTACTCCATCGACCCACAGAGGTCACTATTGTGGATCAATCACTTAAGCTCTGTCCTTATGCAGGATGCATACACTCGCAGAGGAACCCCAGGATTATGATCACTCTTCACCGCCATTAAATGTTTTGTCTTAAGAGCTGTGCTGTGTACCAGGTGGTTCCAGCTGGAACTGGGAGCTTGGCACGCTTCGCACTCGCTTATCGCAGTATCCTTCAGTGTGGTGTGGGATGGGATGGGTGTGAGAACTCTTAAATAAACGCCATCGGATAAACAACAAACAGTCGATTCATTTTGTTTTTCCGAACCGAACTAAAGTAAAGCAAACCAAACCGAACCAATGTGGTGGCAGCCAGAAGCAGGAGAGAGTGCCGAGATCGCACCATGTGTTGGCTCTTCCGCCAATTGCAGGCGGTTCACGGAGCGGGGCACCGCCTACAAGTGCCAGAAATAGATGGGTCGGAGAATAGAGGAAAGTGCTCAAAAAGGAGGATTCTCTCGTGACCCTCCACAGAAGTGCTCTAATTGTCGTTCAGATCGGACCTCGTTCGTGTTCGGTTTCGGGTTTTACTTTCACATTATACGAACCCCATACCATACGTAGAGTTTGTCCGTGGATTTATATATCCACATTGTGAAGAGTGCTTTTTAGTGACCATTGATCACATAATGCCACGCAAGAAGCGTTCCTCCAGCCCCCTGGATTTCTACGATGACGACTTTGATGAGGATGCCAGCTCGCAAAGTAAGCAAAACTCCACTGTCCCTGGAAGCCAATTACGTCACCCGTGTCACAGTCATAGGCAATAGTATGCTCATGAGCTCCATTCCATTATTTAGGCTCCCAACCGCCGGTGCAACGCAATGCGGCGAATGCCCGGGAGCGGATGCGTATGCGGGTCCTGTCAAGCGCGTACGGACGTCTGAAGACCAAATTGCCCAACATTCCGCCCGACACGAAGCTCTCAAAGTTGGACACGTTGCGTTTGGCGACGCTCTACATTAAACAGCTAATTACGGCAGTCGAGACTGGCAGCCACAGCCATAGCCACAACCACAGCCACTCGAATACCGCCGGAATGGATGCCCTGGACACGAGTCACATGCCTGAGGCGTCACACGGTTGCGGCAGTGGTGGGGCCAACGTAGGAGCAAGCCTAAGCGGAGGCGGAGGCAATTTCCATTTCCACAATGGAGGACACAGCGGCATGGTAAGTGTCATTGCAATCTAATCTGAGCGATCTCTCTCGATCCGATCCCAGTCCATGCACAAGATAAGTGATGTCAGTGGCACCACTTAACGCTGCACCCACCATGCATTCATGGACTTATGAATGGCATCACCAGCAGCTGGGTATCGTCAATGCCATGCCTGACAGGTGTCATAAGCGATCCGATCTCCTGTGATAGGTATAGTTGATCATCATTATAAAACTGAGTGTCGGTAGAAGCATTTAGGCCAATTAAACGGGATACATCATGTCAATGAGGTCTTAATAGGGATAGATTTCTTTTATATATGTATATAATGTATGTAAATATTGTCTCTTCAAATTGGACAAAATTCAGAATCTATATCTCTGCATAATCCTGTCAAAATCGACGTCACACCCCTTTTATCTCCTATATTGACGAATCCTCTTATAGTTGGAGCCGACGGCGTTTTAAGGCGTCAGTGTAATTCAAATGTACATCCTATATTCTATATACACTATAAAGATTAGATTGGACTATTCTTTGTCCTTGTTTCCATCTTTAAATGGCCACAAGACATAGGAGTCGAAGACACATATACTTGCATATCTATTGGGCAACATCTGCTCGAAGGCTGCGATGCTGTGGAAGTATTTCCACCTTCTGTATTCAGAGGTGCTCCCCGTCCCCATCCCCAGCCCCAAGACTTACCCAAACCCGAACCCCATACCCTGTCCAGGCCAGTCGGTGGCAGTCAGAATAGAGTCAGAGCGGCCCCCCACTAGAAGAACATTCAAATCACATTTTGTGATTTCAGTTTGCCTTGCTTTCCTGTAATCCGATACTTTTGTGAATTTCAAAAATATTAAATATGAGTGACAGGCTCATGGAGACTGTCTGCGGGCGGGCGGGGGCGATAGACGGCAACATTAGTTAGTCTTTGCTTTATTTTTAAAAATGCTCGACTTTGATGCGCCCAAAGTGAATGACATCCAAGGGAAAAGTGTCGCCGCGTCGGATCAGAGCAGACCAGACCACAGCAAGGCAGAGAAGAGCAATTTTCTCACTTAGCTTGGATAATTGTAATTAAAAGTTGTCTGTCTAACCAGATTAGAAACTCTAGATGTTCCAATATTCTTCTCCAAACGGAATGGCATGAGGTTTACACAATCTGTCCGTACAGATTCATGGCATACATACCGCTCGCTACTTATCCAAATAGAAGCAATTGTTTACTCAATTGAATGCGTGAAAATATCAGCAAATATTTCCCCGCCTTGTGCCCATATGGCAGCAGATCTCTCATGAGATGGGATCGTTCCAGTCGCAGTCTCAGTCCCTTTTCCGTTCCAGCACCCTAATTTATCCCACACTCACGCACGCGCCGCTAAAAAGTTGACATGTGAATGCTGATGATCAGCAGCAGCGTCGCGTCTGCTGGGAATTTACATACGTAACGTAACCCATTGGCTCGGTTTCTCTTCCCTGGCGTTATTTGTGCTCGATCCCTTCGCATAATCGTGCAGGCCCTATGTAGATATATGGCTGCAATTGGGTGTCTTCTGTCCGCAAGTGTTTGGCTGTTTATGTTTTTATAGATTCGTTAATGAGGCTGTTATTTTTGATCTATGAAAACATTTCCAAGAGGAGCCACTAAAAACAATCAAAGTTGTATAAACAAACAATGGCGCTGTCGCTGTCGGTTCGGTTGTCGTCATATTGTTCCATTTATAGCTATGCGGTTTTCCTCTGCCTACATGATTTATGAAAACATCCACATATCCATTTCCTTTCAGAGCTGGCCCTTTGAGTTCCATCAGAGCAATCGCAGCCTGCCTTTTGGCTCCTCCCGCATGGACTGGCAGTCGCTGCAGTCCCAGTCATACCCGAAATCCGCACGCAGCGAGTTAGACGTTCCGGCCGCTCTCAGTTACGCCCAGATGCAGGATTCACATGGGCACTGGTATCCTTCGGATATGAACCAGATGGAGGTGACGGCCACAATCAATGGTTGTGCCTATGAGACGGCTACAGCGGGAATGGGACAGCACCAGCGCGGCATAGCAATAGCTACTAGCCATGCCCATGGTTTACAATAATGCATTTACATGAATTTATGAATGTTGTTCTCACTCAACTCAAGCCAAATGTAATTTACTAACTATTCGTATTTGTATTAAATCGTGATTTAATTATAATTGTACTTAAACTTACGAAAAACGTATCATAATTAAGGCCAAAGATTTATATTTTACATTTAAAGCGAATATATGTCTTTAATCAACACTGAATTTCGAATATTCGCGCCAAAGTTGGGCACGACTTTTTTCTGTACTGCAGCCATGGTAATTTGGAGACCCTGGTAAACAGCTGATTGCACAAACAAAGAGCATTTGATCAACAAAAGCAGATGAGGGTAATATTATGTTGACCACGATATATATATACCCTTTAGCCAGCGAGGGAAGACATTTCACAGGTAGTACATGTATAATAAAATAGAAACCGAAATTATTGAACGGGATAAACGTTTCAGTGGATATATGGAGCAATGGATTAAGTCTCAGTGGAGTCCTAAAAAAGACTGGTGGTAGTTGTTGGGCCAACGCGACGACAAAGTCTTAATAATATCCATTCATAGAGTATTGTCTTCGTGTATTTATTAAATGTAGCACAACAACAATCGCAAGTGGATTTACTCACAATTATTTCGACACAAAAAATATTACATGTATTCGCTCACATACGTCGAGGCGCGGTTAAAGTTCACGTTGGAGAGCTGGGATTTTCGATTAGATTTCGAATTTGCTTAGAACTGCAGATAATCGTAATTTACTTTTGTCCACTCCACAGTTACGCTACTAGTCCGGTAGCACTTAACAAGCACTTAAAAGTTGTTTCTTTAGTTAGTCAGTACGCGCTCTCCGACGAGGACGGAAGCTTTGTTGTGCACACGACGTGAAACCAGTCCCGGGAATCGAGAACCTGTTTTTTTACGAAACCTGCATCGAAATGCCATCTCAAGAAGTGAATCCCGATCTCCTGAAGGAGCGCAACACAGCTACCTTTGATCCCCACGAGTTTGCCGTCTTCTGGGCTGGTGGCGAGGAGAGATACAAAGAAAAGAAAAGCCTGGGTAAGCTCTGCTCTTATAAAATAGATACTCATGGACGAGAGTACATACATATGTTCGAACATGTGCATGCATACAGATGTACTTACTCGCTTGTATGGGTGGGGTACGCTGTGCCATTCACTGGAGAAACTTAACTGGTCGGTTAATAGCAGTACTCCCTGCTCTAGCCGAGCTTGGCGCAATCCAAATCGCGTTTCACAATCGTCAGTGCCAGAAAAATTGCGCCAGAAGCATGACGGAGCAAAACAATAATATACATTTGTTTGAAACTGATAATCCAATTCTGGATTTGTTGAAGACTTTCTTATCATCAATGCAACTGTGTAGTTTTTTCTTTTCTCCCCGCATCAGACCTTTCATCGAAGTCTTTGTTTTGATTAGCCCCTTCTTCGGCTCTCCATTCATTAGTTTGCTGCACGCTTTTGCCGAGTTCATTAATTATGCACATATTCCCAATGACGAACAGTCTACTAAAACAGAATCGTAACCTTTAGGCCAAATTATCTCCAGCTAGAGCAGCTACAGCAGCTTTACTCTGCGGGTGTTAATCTTTGCACTTTGTCTCCGATTCTTGATAAATCAGAATAGCCGTGTACTTTGGATGTTTGATTTTATAGCGTATGAACTTGTTTGGAGCTGCTCCTATTTCATTGTATTTATAGAGTCACTTGAAATAACTCTATTGCGAACAGCTGATAGGCTTATCTGGCAGATTTGGCTTAGCTGAACAGAGCACAATAAATGGCCAAAGGACAAGCTGTTAACATCAGTCAATTAATACCACTGATAAAAAATGAAATCCATTACAATATTATCATCAAGACGTTTATTGATTTGTAATCCTAAAATAGAAAAAATGTTTCTCGAGGACCCGGCATTGAAGGATGACCTACCAATCTCCTACCTGTCGCACAAGGAGCTGTACGAGCACAGCCTACGCAAGGCGTGCATCATAGGCGAGAAGATACGGAAACTCCGTGCTGAAGGCGAGGATGGCGTCGATACCTACAAGTAAACAGTCTATAATTAATCGCAGTTCATGGACTCTATCTTCGATACTTTCTAGTGCGCTGCTTGGTGGCTCTCTGGGCGCCGCCATATTGAAGGAGGGCAATCCTTTGACCCTACACTATGTGATGTTTGTGCCCACCATCATGGGTCAGGGCACTATGGACCAGCAGGTGGAGTGGCTGAGCAAGGCATGGGACTGCGAGATTATTGGAACCTATGCTCAAACAGAGCTAGGACATGGAACCTTCTTGCGGGGTCTGGAGACTCGCGCTGATTACGATGCCAGAACCCAGGAGTTTGTCATAAACACACCTAGCCTTAGTGCCTACAAGTGGTGGCCGGGAGGCTGTTAGTATACGACAATAGTACGACCATCTCTTCCAAATTCAAAACGATTCCATTCACAGTGGGTCATACGGCAAACCATGCTGTTGTGGTGGCTCAACTATACACCAAGGGCGAGTTCCGTGGTCTGGCGCCGTTCATTGTCCAGCTGAGGCACTCGGACACTCACGAGCCTCTGCCTGGTATCGACATCGGCGATATTGGTACAAAACTGGGTATGAAGTCCGTGAACAATGGCTATCTGGGTCTGAAGAATGTCCGCGTTCCTCTGAACAATATGCTGATGAAGAATCAACAGGTTCTGCCGGACGGCACCTATGTGGCGCCCAAGAACAGCGTTCTCACCTATGGAACAATGGTATTAAAGGATTAAATCTGAGTTTAAGACCTTGCTCTAGCATTTATATAATAATTCTAGATGTTCGTTCGATGCGCTCTGATTCGCGACACTGCCCAGAGTTTGGCCAAGGCATCTACCATTGCCACAAGGTACTCGGCGGTGCGCCGACAGAGTCCTATCGATCCAAATCAGCCGGAGCCACAGATCATGGACCACACCACCCAGCAGCTGAAGCTGTTCCCCCAAATAGCCAAGTCCATTGTATTCAAAACCACCGGTGATGGTATTTGGAACATGTACAACGTCTTGTCGGGGGAGATCGAGCAGGGTAACCTAGACCGCCTGCCCGAGATGCATGCCCTGTCCTGCTGCCTGAAAGCCATCTGCAGTGCTGACGCCGCCGCTGGTGTGGAGATCTGCCGTCTGTCCTGTGGAGGCCATGGCTACATGGACTGCTCCAATTTTCCGACCATATACGGCATGACAACCGCTGTCTGCACGTACGAAGGTGAAAACACAGTAATGTTGCTGCAGACTGCCCGGTATCTGGTTAAGGTATACGGCCAGGCATTAAACGGGGAGAAGCTGGTACCAACAGTGGCCTACATCAATGACGCGCTAAAGGAGAGGCAGTTTGTTAATTTCGATGGTTCCCTAGAATCCATTGTCAAGGCCTTCCAGTTTGTGGCCGCCAAGTAAGCGAATCCCCAGGTCTCTGCTATTAAATCTATCTATGATTATTTTCACTATGCAGCAAAATCCGTATTGCCTATGAGCAGATTGAGCAGCGTCGTAGACAGGGCCACAGCACCGAAATGGCAGCTAATCTGAGCGGAACCTTTTTGACTGCAGCGGCAGACGTAAGTCAATATCACAATTTTAGTTGAGCCATATAATAAAGGTAAATAATTTGATACATGCAGCTCCATGGACGTGCCTTCCTGGCCGAATCAGCCTATACGGAACTGTTGGCCGTGTCGCGACAGGTTTCACCAGCGCTGGCCGATGTCCTGAAGGTGGTGCTGGAGCTATACCTAGTTGATGCCTGTCTCAATCGCATTGGCGACTTCTTGCGCGTAAGATGTTCAACCGTTTCGAGATCTGAATGTTTTACTTCACTTCCAAATGATTGCAGTTCATCGACCTCACAGACAAAGATGTCACAACGTTGGAGATTCGCCTGCAGAACTGCCTGAAGCAACTGCGACCAAATGCCGTCACCTTGGTGGACAGTTTCGATTTGCATGATCGCGTTCTGGACTCTGTACTGGGGGCGTACGATGGTAACGTCTACAAGCGCATATTCGAGTCGACCAAAAAGAATCCGCTCAATAAGGAGCCTGTGAACGAAGCATTCCACAAGTACCTGAAACCCTTCATGAAGGCACACCTCTAAACACACTTATTAAGTGGGTTATTTGCCCCCTATTGTTACTCTTGTAAATATATTGTTGTGCAGTTGAAATTAGGCAGTAAAGTTATACTCGCACGAATAAATTAGTCATTTTTAGGTATTCTACAAAAGCAGCTTGTGTGGGTCGTATTAACCTTAACCTAATCGTTTTATTAAAGGTTACTATAATGACAAAGCTGAAAGTAGATAGATAGATAGAGTGCCACATTTATTTACTTTATTCAATTATGTACGGACAATGTCTGGTGCGATTTGAGTTTATGACGACGCACTTGACGGGTTCTTTGAGTTGCGTAGTGCATACAGACGCCTCAGCAAACGGTTGCCAGTAAGGAATGTGAATATTGCGATGGGTATCAGCAGGCGCAGGGTTTGGAACATGTTCAGTTGCATCCAGAAGACAAAGAACAGAAGCAAAATGCCGCCAAAGCCCACATGGAAACCGATTGTGCTCGGTGCCAGAGTGAAGTTGGAGACGTTCACGCCCAACTTGCCCCAGAAGATAAACAGCAGAACCAACGGGGTAATACAGAGTCCAGTGAATATGTCCGACACAATACGAGGCGGCCGCTTGTCAGGCACACGGAATTGATGAACAATCTCAGGACGGGGACCCGAAGGGATTTTCTGCTTGACTTCTGCAAAAAGAGTACCATTTCGTTAAGTTACAATCTCAATATTCAACGTATACTCTCCATACCTCTATCCTCGCTGAATTTCAGCTGGATATCAGCCACAAGCCACTCGAAAGAGTTGGACAGCGAAGCATCGCCCACGGTCAGGTAGATGTTGTATGTGCCACTCTGGTAATTAAAGTTCTTGCCATTGCTGCCAATGTCCATGTCGAATTTGTAGGCCTTGCTGCTGTCCTGTTCCGCCACAAAGATGATCTCCTTGTCTGTTTGCTTGTTGTAAAGACGCACAAAGGCTTGGTGGACGGCGAGTGGCTTGTTGTTAGACTCCTCCACTAATACGGCCCTCAGCAGCAGCTTTTGTGTAGTATCCGCCGACAAGGTCTCCTTTAACTTGCTAGGATAATTCACGCTTTGCTTGCGCGTGGCAGCACTGGCATCCGACTCGGCAATGCCAACATCGAGAGACTGGACCTTGACACGTCCGAGTACTTTGAATTGCAATGTCTGCGTGTACACGCTATCCGCACTCAGTTCGGCCTGATAGATGCCACGGACCGGCTTCAAGCTGGCCAAATCGGCCACATAAGTGGTCTTGTCTGAAGACTTGGAAGTCACCGAGATTTTCTCAGCTAGCAAAGAGTTGTCCTTTTTGTGGAACACCTTGGCAGTGATAATCTTTGGGGCGGGCGACAAAGGCTTGCCAAGTAAATCAACAACAGCTATATTCAACGTGGGTGACTGGGCGTCCAACTGGCCGTTTCCGATCAGCTGCACACAAATGGGTGCAATCTTTTCGTCAGCACCAATGGTCTTCAATGCCTCAATCAATACGTGAGCTCCCTTAGCGGACTGCACCGAACGACGGCTCAGGAAATAGTTGGCAAACTTAACAGCTTGTGCGGCACTGACTGGTGCTGGCTTGTTGTAGGCTTTGGCAACGCCGAAAGCTCCGTTAATGATCAAAGACGTGATGCTTAAGCCCCCCTCGAACTGAAGGAGTTTTCCGTCCACCTCATCGGCCTGAACGATAGCATCTTCAACGCGATTCGCAATGAAGGCGGCACCGCTGCCCAGCTGAACAGCCACATTGAATCCATAGCCCAGACCAGTCAGTGTATCGTCCTTCTTTAGAAGCTCCTGGAGACGCTTTACAATCTTACCCTGAGTGGCTTCACTGACCTGTACACCGAGTGCCTTGTGTGTGACTAAGCGATAGTAAATCTCTTGAGTGCTGCCCAGTTCAGAATCCAGCGAGCTGTACACTTTCGAGAGCAGTGCTTCGTCAAGTTTCGCAGAACAGCCCAGGTTCTTGCTAGCACCAATGAAATAGTAGTCCTTTTCGAAGCTCTGGAACCGAGAACAAAGGCAATGATTCAAGGTTCAGTGAACATTTGCTAAGCACTTACGTTCAGCTTGGATTCCTGATGCAGGGCCGCTATCTTCTTGCACAGCGGTTCCTTCTGGGTGGCATCGGTTAACTGAATGTTAAGGCTGGAGAAGAATATGGCTTGCAGATCATTGGAACCGAATCCATCCACAAAGACTTTTTGTAGGCGGGTGAGATCCTTTGGACCCAGATGGCTATCAACGGTACGCGTACTCCACGTTGGCGCACAGGCGCATAGTACGCCGAAGAGCGTCAGACCTGCAACATAACAGAACCATGAGAATTACAAGCTTGAGGGGCAGCAAGAACATCACGTCGCCGGCAATCGTCTAACCACGAAAATCAGACAGAGACAGCACTACGATATCGTAGCCGGCGTTTCCTTTGACAGTGTCCCGAAACTCTGCGGTTCCGGGCCCAGTTTTAGCGAACTCTACCCACCTAACTTCAACATTTTCCTATATTGTGTTTGCGTTCAACAACTTTTTCTTATATTCTATAGGAAAACAAATAAAAATCGCCCAAAATAGCCAGCACCGCCTGTCTCAGCTTCGATATTCGATATTCACAGACACGTCAGCGGCAGTCAATTTATTACATCGCATTACACGGTAACTACACATTTGCTACACAGTGCGACAGAGCTGCAAAACCATCGTTATCGATAGATTCAAATTTGCAGATCACTCTGGGGATTCCTTTTTAATGAATCAATCTATCCATAAGCCCCCTTCTCAAAAAAGCGGATGCCTTTGTGACCAACTATAAAATATGTTAGTTATTTCCTTTTTACACAACCTCGATATCGTTTGCTATGGATGCAGGGATGCACAATAGGCGTGCCACCACTACTGACGCAGCCCTGGTGTAAACAGGCTATAAAATAACAGAGCTATCGATAGTCAGATCATATGATATATTTAAAACAATTTAATTTAACGACAAAACAAAGTGTTCTGCTATTGAAAAACATGGTGATTTCTTATTCGTGGATCGCAAAGTGAGTATAAGTATCCTAGAATATCAGTTTGATCTGCGGTTGAATAAAAAGGAGGTTGATTAAGAATAATTGCTGCCGGCCCCATACCCTATGGGGCAAACTTTTCGGTGCACTCTTGAATAGGCCTTGTAATCAAATACTTTTTTTTGAAGGTCTTTGTTGGATCACCATCATGGTTCCAAAGAGTTATGGCCGTTGTACAGTACACCGGGTACTTGTTGACCAGAGTCTCCTTTCGTTCCTCATCTACCGGTGGTATATCCTTACAATAGACATCGAAATACTCAGTGGTGCTCACACCCAAGTCCGTAGTTGCCGAGGATTGACGATTGTACTCGGCGAATAGCTCCTGCCACAGAAACTGCTCCATTCGGTTGGCACGCGTGGCTGCAGCCCAAGAAAAATGCCATTAATCAAATCCTTAGACATAGCCAAGATACTTACTCAGAACCTTGTTGATTTTAGGCGGTCCATAACTGATTTGCGACTCGGTGAATTCAATTGGGCACGGCCCTCGAGAATTTGGAAGTTTCTTACCAGGTTCGTCCATTTTAACGGCAGCTGCGTATATAGTAACTTTTAGTACTAAAACTAACGAGAATAATTTATTATGATGCTAGCAACAATGTGACAATGATAATACTTATGGACTAGCCTACTTGATCGACCAAACAACACTCGACGCAGGGCACCGGGTAACGACAGTGTTAGCGTCTAGGCAACAGATTGATCCGGTTCCGACGCTGGTGGCGCATCGTCTTCCACGATGAGAGAGACATCTCTGGGTCTCAGTAGGCAGTAGTAGACTATGAGGGTGGCTACGAACATAATCCCGCTGTAGACTATCCACTCCCCGATGAAGCCGAACCACCAGGACTCGAACTCCTCGTTGTCATACCAAATGGCCGTCATGGTGATATTCTCGACCAGCGTCAGCATCAAAAAGCCGCCATACCAGAGCCGGATGCTCTTGAAGCACACGCGAAACTCCAGCAGCACAAAGATGTAGACGTAGGCCAGGAGCAGATAGAATAGCGTGCGGTTCCAGCTGCCACGACAGCGCGTCTCCAAAGCCAGGCACGCCAGCATTAGGGCATAGTGCACGCCCAACACAATGAAGAAGGCTCGGGGATAGAAGACGCAGAACGTGGACAGAGCCAGCATCCGCATCGTGATGAAGGCAATCCAGCCGAAGAAGGCAACAGTGCGGCCGGCAAAATCATCCTGCTGAATGCCGTTCACTATTTTCGTGGGCCGGGGGAAGTAGAAGTCCACGACATCCTTGGGCGTGAGCGGGGTGTCCTTTGGCGTCTGTATTCCAGGTGATCGGGCCACCAGCGGACTACGCTCCTCATTAGGCTCCTCGTTTATCCGTCCTATAAGAAGCTTTGGCGGACGTGGTACATGCTCCTTGATGTACAGCTGCGCATTGATCAGCAGCATGTCCTTGAACGTTTCGAGCTGCGAGAGCGGTCTGGTGACGCGACGACTCCGCCGGTGCTCGTTGTCCGATACGGTTCGTCGCAGATCAGGGAGTGGAGGGCCATTATCAGAGTGTTTTAGTACGGGGAGTTCTGGCGGTGCTGTTACCGGCGGTGGAGGTGGTGGTGGTGTTTCGGGCACTGTGTCCAGCACTTCAATAGTGTCAAGGTCTTGTAGATCCTTTTGCCACAGTCGCAGCTTGGGCCTCGTCACCTGCAGCTTGTCATCGTCGGTGGCATTGTCCTTTGGCCCAGTGTGCAGCAAGGCCTTCGTCTCGAGCTGTTCCAAACCGTCATTGTCGACCTCATCTTCTCCCCGCACATGCACCTCATGAGTGCCCACATCTGGATCGGGATCCGTTCTCTGGCGCGCATGAAAGTTGGCCATGATCCTCTCCGACTCCGGGAAGCTGGCGATTGTGCGCTCCGACTCCCTTTTCTTGCGCTCGGCATCGCAGCACAGGCGCTCGTTCTGCTCCAGCTGGCAGCGATGCGACTCCACCTGTTGTGGCGTGGCCCAGGGATAATGGCGACCCACGCGACGCTGGCTCTCAATGCGATGATAGCTGGTTGTTATGGCGGCCAAATCGATAGCCGAGAAGACCAGGGATAAGGCCTGTACGGCGGCTGCAATGCAAAGGATTGAAATGGATGCAATATGCAAGATAGCATTGCACTTACAGGTTTCGTAGTTGCGAAAGAGGTCCTGCTCAAGCATAAAGTATAGCTGTAGGATTATTTGAGGCGCTGCCTGGGCGTAGGCTTGGATCAGCAGATACAGCTCTATGCTGGAGGTCTGCGTCGCCTTGTCCAAGCACTTCATGCGCTCCACATCGTCATCGTCGTGGAAGAGTGCCTCGACGGCCCAAAACAAGCGCATTGAGAACCTTATCGGAAACAGTCACTGTAAGCATGGCCTTGACCTACATACATATTTCCCATCCACCTACCTGTACACAACAAAAAAGGGGAACAGCATGAGCCGGAGCAAACCAAGGGCAAGAGCTGCGCACTTGTTATGATTGGAGCTGGCGCTGCTGCGCTGTTCCCGGGACGTGATCACCAGCAAGAATGTTAGGGCGGGCGGTACGAGCACCAGCACCAGTGTGCCAGCCCCAAAACCCGGAGCATGCTGTCTGAAAAGCTGGTAGCTGAGGGCCAAATCGGATGCAGTCTGTGCAATGTACACCAGCAGCGCCAGACAAGTGGGCACTATGTAGGAGAAGTATATGCGTGTGCGGCTCCGTATTGCGTAGCCGAGTATATGTTGCGGTGGACTGGCTGCATGACCAAGTCCCGCCTCCATGGCAATGTTGATGTCACCTACAGTATGCGGATTCCCCTTAGATTTTGTGCGGAAGCGAATCGTTCCTTACGTGTTTAGCTGGTGAAATGCGTTCTGACACTGAGCGGACTATGAGTAACCGCCTCTCCCATCGTAATGGTTATCAGTGGGTAGGGCTGGGACCAAGATTAGATAATTTTTTCCATTTTGGTGGTGAGAACGCCTCAGTTTGTTTACGTTCTTATGCGGAATCGCTAAAGATTTCCTATTCCACATCAGACTAAAAGCAGACCACTTAAATATTTTATTTAATTGTATTTATTTCTTTAGAATTCGGGAGATTATGAATAGAATACTCGTATTTAGGTGTCGATTACGGGGCCTAGGAATCGTACCAGGTCTTCTTCATCCAATTGGAAGGCTTACCCGGCTCGTCGAGCACCACAAAGGATCCCGATCCCTGCTGATCCTTCTGGCTCCCATTATTATGTTTGGCCCGCCGACAGCCCGCGGCGGCGTACTTGGGATTGCCTTCGACTATTGACGATTTCTCGCGGCAATTGAGCGCATTTTGCATTACGGAAGATCGTCTGCCGTATCGAGCGGGCTTCTTCGCCTCGTTGCCACCCACATCCTCAAAGCTGGAGGTCACTGGCTGAGGCTCCTTCACCAGACGTTGGCGTGAGGTCCTTCGCTTGTGGGAGATGAGCTGCTGCGGCTGTGGTGGACGCACTTCCAGCGATGATTCCGAACTCTTGCGAAGATTGCCCACGACGTCGTATTCCCGAGGCCGTTCACGCAGCTGATAATTATACTGGGCCCGCCGATACTCTGGCGTTGCGACCATCTCCGATGGCGGCACTGTGGTGCAGGTGGCAGGCTCGGGATCTTCCTGATACTGCTTGTCGGAGGAGGAGCCGTTGCTGACGTTGGGCTGGACTTTGTGGACGCCCGAGTGTGGCAGCCGGAAGGAGGAGGCCGGCTTATGTACAACTGGCCGGGAGCGTGGAAAATCCAGGTAATTGTTTCGATACTCGGGATTAAATTCGATTTTGCCCCTCAGGCGTAGAAACGGCTCCCGTGCCTTGCCCCGCTCGGGCATCTCGGTGATTTGCGGGTCTCGGAAGCTCTCGTGATACTCGGGAATCTCTCGGGTGAACTCGCCCCGAGGCCGCAGGTGATCGTCCGTCTTGAGTGATTTCTCTTTGGCCATGTGCTTGGGTGGGTCGATGAATTTGTCGCGATACTCTGGCACATCGGGAGCATGGCTGTGGCCATGACCGGGCAGCCCTGGCCTGATATCGCTTCCCCGCTCCGAACCGGAGACGCGCAGATTATCATCCTTCTTGATGGGCGCACTCTTCGAGTAGTTGGCGTACATCTTGAAGCTGTCCTTGTACTCCGGTACAGCCACAAAGTCGCCTTGGATCTTGATGTTACTTATCTGCGGTATGGAGTGGGCTTTTTCCGGAAACTGCTGGACAAACTGTCGCTTGTACTCTGACGGTTCTGGCTGCTGGTCCACGGCCTGGGCGCGCATCTGTAGGTGACATCTCTGCTGCTCCTGGGCGGCCACATCGCGCTTGAACTTGTCGGAGGCCAAGCTGTTGTGCACCTGATTCCTGCTGGATGCTGCCTCGCCCTCCCCGAGGAACACTTCACGTGGCAGTATCTTTGTGCCGGCGTCCAGCATGGGCGCCATCAGATAGGAGGAGTTCTTCATGTTGTTCTCGCCATCGGCGTCTCCGCCCAGCTGCAGGTTCTCTGGATTGCGGACGGGATAGCAACGAGAACTGAAATATACCAATATATGTATGTATATATTCGGGGACCTTGTCTAACAAAATCTGTACTAGTTGCACTCACAATTTCAGATCTTCGGGGGTGTACCAGTGATATTTGTCCTGGCTTTCCGTCAGCAGATGCATGAATCCCTCCAGATGCAGCGATGTCGCGCGCCTCAGCAATGACCTTTGGCTGGATTGGCCGGTAATGCCGTGGCTGTGGTACTGCCGGCAGTACTCTGACTTTAGCGAGCCGAAGGACAGTACGGGCTCATCGCTATTGTAGAGACAGACGTTGCTCTGGGTGTGTAACTGGTCGGGCTGGCGGTGGCGGAAGTACTTTAGATCATCGATGGCTATGTACTCGTGCGGATGCTTGATGGCGAACCGTCTGAGATCGCCCTGCTTCTGGTTGACAGAAAGATCGGGTTCGGAGAAGGATCGATTCCAGCCAAAGTCGGCATCAAAGCTGCAAATGGACAGAGAACGTCAGAATTCGTTTGGGTACATCCGAACCGTCTTGTCTTTAGCTGAAAACTGAACGAAAAATGTTCCTGCCATTCTTCATTCCACCGTTGGCGTTGGCACCACAACCAAATAACAGGCGAGTCCCTTAATAATGGGGGCACCTAATGCCTTCCCTCTCCACGCGGAGGAACAACAATTGCAATGTCGGAGTCTCAGCTAAGAGTCTAGCCAGTGAAGGCATTTCCATTTTGCCATCACCACCCATCAGCCATCCATGGCGTGCCATGGCAATGTTGCTAGGCACACAAAAACACACTTGTATGAAAACAAAACTGAACGAATACGGAATATGCATGAGAAATTGCTTCAAATTGGAAAATTGTCTATTTGATTTGACTGGAGCAGTCGCACCCGTGCCAAGAGTCCGCACCCAAGCCACATCCCAATCGATGTCAATCAATAGAACGACGACTGGGTATGGTATGGTGTTATCCCTGACAACGCCCCCAAACAAACACACATACACACGATATTTCCAATCCGGAAATGGGTGTTTTTCGAGCCATTGTCAAGGACTCGGGTCATTTAAAATGCACGACAGGATGGCATACGGCCGGGCCACCGGCTTGGGCCTGGGGTATATGTGACCGCAAAGCACCTGTTGCCTTTGAAGTTCTTAATACATATATTCTGGGAATCTGAAAGAGTCTGGTCGCTGCTCGAGCGTGTGAAAATATGCCAGGCTAATGGCGGTAATTGATGGCTGCCAAAATGTTTCATATTCTTTACCCCCAATTCTGTTGCATGTCTGGAACTCTGAATGGCGGGGGAGCTGCCTGTGAGTGTGCGTGCATGCCTGCCTGACTGACTCTCGGCCGAAACAGAAACGGAAACAGACAGAAGCATTAAAGGGCTGGGGAGGCGAGCAAATCATGTCGGGCTGGGTCTGACCCAATTCAGCCCGACGCTGGGCCAAAAGACGATGACTACTTAAAGGAAAGGGGCGCCAGTCCTGCTTGAGGTTGCCGACTAATCTTGACAATGCCAAATGACCTTTGGCTATTTTTAATCGCGCCAGCAGTGGCGGCAACCCATTTAAATATGCTAATCAGCGTTGGCTAACTTTGTGCCCCATTCCACGGTTTACCTAGGGCGGTAGGGTTCGGTTCGGTCCGACACACACCACACACATAATTACAGTTGCAGATTTATGACGTTTTAATTGCTGTTACAAACGCCAGTCACGCCACCGGGCGTATACGTAATGCAATAAACAAGAATGCACCATTATGCTAACCATCAACAAGACATGAACGCCAAGGTCGAGTTGACTCCAGGCAACCAGACCACGACATATCCTTTTATGATATCCCATGAACCACGCTTCTGACTGTGCCCGGTATTCCTAAGCCGAAGCGCAGCAGGGAGCTCTATGCGGTCTTCCCGGCATCTCCTTACCCGTCATTGCTTTTCCAGTCATAAGCTAATGCCATGGTTGCTTCGTTTTGCGGGGTTTTGGGGGATTGGTTTCTACGGATTGCTCTTTAATTGAACACATTAGCTGAGTTTGCACTTTAATGAAACAGTTTTAAGCACACTGCGGGGTCTGCACACCACGGACGCGACCAGTGGCAGACCACAGCCACAGCTGCTACCCCTAACCATGCCGAACCGAGCTGAACCGCAAATGCCGCCATTCAAGCGCAGCTCGTCGAACCACAACTTGACCGCTCAGATCGTAAATCCCAACTGAAATGTGGAAATGTGCGCCACCAAGAGTTAGCCCGTTTTTCGCACGCCAACTTCCAAAAGGGCTCCTGCCCAGAGATGGGTGTGGGCCCGCAAAACACCCAAGCCAAACGCTTCTGCCACGGCGACTGACTTAAGGTGTCACTTTTGTTTTTCGACTGGCACGCGGAATTAGGATTGGGGTACGGGATGGGTTGGGAGTGGGTCGAGACTAGTGGGACATAATAAAAGCAAATAAAATAAAGGATTTCATTTTAGGCTATATATAGCCTTTATAGCCTCTCAGGGAATAATAGTAATGGTAAGCCCATGGTACCTATAATTTGTAGATGGTAATTATCCACTGATCTACCAAATGGCACGGGTATTCCAATTGCTTTTACTTTTCCGGAGCAGTTCAAAAACATAATTGCCTTTCATATTCGAATTAGCACAACAAATCAATCTGGGTAGCGGGTATCTTGTAGTCGGAATACGCCACTGCAGCGTTCTGCATGTTGAACGGGCTTGACTCCAAGTGCTATTACATGCAATCGAGCAGTTTGTAGCTGTCTCCGCCCCAGAATTCCATGGCACTCCCTCTCCCAGTCGCCAGCTGCAGTTGACTTGAATATGAATTTGAGTTTTGATTTTGATTTCAATTCCTCACCCTACCTGTCAGGCGCGAGTGGAGTCTCTTAACCCAGTTTTGGGCCATGTCAGAGCAGCTGTGACGCCTCGATAATGAAACCGTGTTTATGCCCTAAAGAGGCGCACATTTGCCTGATTTACTCGCGTCTTAACGATTTCATTCGCGACGTGGTTTCCATCATGATAATAATTTCCTTTACTTTCCTTTTTGGCCAGGCACGCAACTTGGCCGCCAGTTCCCCTACACCCACGTATATCGTACATGGCTTTCAATTGTCATGAGCAGCTATGGCTTCCGGCCATAGCGGCCACCCGCGGCGGATGCAGGTCAAGGCCAAATCAATTCAATTGCGGATTCGGAAACGCTTTTGCCCCTGAGTGGCAATGAAGATTGACTGTGGATTGTGGAGCTGTGTGGCGTCTACTTTATTTTGCGTCTACATCTATAATAACTGTGTGTGGGGGGTGTGAAGTCAGACCTTGGAGAGACCCTCCCAGCGATCGGGCACAGTGAGGAAGTACCGATCCATGGCATCAATGAAGCGCTGCTTATAGCGCTCTGGCGATACCACCGTGGGATCTTTGCCCTTGCCGCCGAGCAGACCGGACTGCTTGATGATCGACTCTACTCGCTTGTCCAATGTGAAGGTTCGTATGTAGTCTGCAAACGAATTAAATGTAAGCATGCCATGTAGACCATGTCAATTGCCTTTGAATGCTCACCTATGATGCCCAGAACCAAGAGGCTGTTCTTCTTCTCCAAGCCCACCAGCAGGGAGTAGTCCATGACGCCATTTCTCTCCAGAAACGAGGAGTCCCGCTGAATTGCATCTCTGAGCACGGTTTTGCTGTGGGACAGCACGTAGAGAGGCTTCGACCAGGACACTAAGAAGGGAATTAGATGCTGATCAGATCATGTGTTAAGAGACTGCCATGCGGGGCTACTCACTCTGGACCAGATTCTCATCCAGCAGCACAATCTCGCCTTGTTGATTGGTTGGGTCCACCAGTCGATTCCGCTCAGAGCCCTTAAGGTCGAATTTGTTGGAAATTTCACAGCCATAGAACAGGTTTTCCATGACCATCACAGAGCGTTCCACAAAGGAGCTGCCAAAAGATAGGATAAAGAATTGCGCATTAGTCAAAGGCCATTTGGAGATGCAAGTCTATGGAACTTACTCCTTCTTCTTTACGCTGACTTTGAAAACGCCAAAGATCTTGGCCAGCAGCGTGGGCAGCTGCAGCTGCTGGCACTTATCAATGTACTCAAAGTACTTTGGGGCAAAGGGCTCGAAGATGGTCATGTCCTTCGAGTTCATCTCCTTGAGCACGAAACGATCATCTGCAGAAATCAAAATATAATAGGCAAATGCCTTTTTTGGTGCGGCATAGAAAAACCTTACCCAGCGTCTTGCAGAAACGCGATCCGGACTTGCCGCCGCGTGCCTCCCACTGGACACTGTTGCACAGGCTGCGGGCCAGGGCGATGCGCGACTCCTCCTCCATGTCCGTCGCATGCTCTTCCGAGGTTCGAGCCAGAGGCGGTCCGCCACTGACGTCGCTGGGTTTGCGCACCAGCTCCATTTCGGAGCCCGTTCGACTTTGTGAGATTCTCAGCTCCTCGCGCATCTTGCTCTTCTCCAGCTTGCGGTACAGCGATCTGTCCAGCTTCGGCGGCTGCAGGCTCTTGGCTCGCATGCCCTCGAACTCGCGCGCAAAATATATCTTGCACTGGAACTGGCACCCGTTGTCGTTGAATGCCAGCGAGACGTGTGGACTCGGTGACTGTGGCTGCGTCTTGTTCCGCTCCTTTATCTTCTCCTCGGATTCGCTGGAGGTGGCGGCGGCGGGAATCGCTCCTCCTGGGGTCGCACTGGTGTTGCTGGAGGTGCGCGACAGATTGGGGCTGCTTTCTTCGGCATCACTCAGGCCTTCTGGTAGCGGCACCTTCCGCTTGAGCTGCGGACTGGAGTGGCCTGCAGCTGGGGCCTCGCCACCGACGCTACTGAAAGCTTCGTCCAGGGCTCGCTGGTAGTCGGCCGAGGTCAGGCTATAGGCGATCACAGAGCTGAGATCGGTCTCACGCACGTGGATGGGAATAGAGCCCATGGGGAGGGTGAGGTGATCCTGGGACGGAAACGGCGACTGCAGGGGATTGGCCTGATTGGTCGAGGGCAGCAGCTGTGTGAGGATGCTTCTAATGGACTTTTTGTCCGAGTGCACGCTCGCCGTGGAGGCCAGCAGCTGATCGATGGAGAACTTCTTGTCGAGCACGGGTTGGCTTGCAGCAGCCGCCTCTGTGTCCTCCGAAGGGCACTCCACAGGGGCGATGTTACTGCTGTTGCTGTTTCCGTCATCGCCTGCACTGGTTGAGGCCTGATCCGGGCGCAGCTCTTCTGTACATATGGTGCCCGCATCGACGTGATGGACGACCGCCTGCTTGGCAGACAGTTTCTGAGCTACCAGCTCGACCTCTAGCAGCCGTGGGCCCCACAGCTCAATGCTCTCGGCCAGGGAGCGCCGAGCCATGGCTAGGGCATCGTTGATGTCGTACGCGTTGGCCCGACGCTCCGTCAGCAGGGTGTGCACAATTTCAATCTTCTGCTTGAAAATAAACTGGTCGTGGGTCAGCATTGTCTTCAGATTTTGCACAAGCGGAGTGTTCTCGTCCTCGCTGGCCAGGTCGGCGATCCGCTCGTGGATCCGCGTGTACACCTCATGGCCGCGCACTGAGAAGTTCTTGATCTCCTCCTGTACCTGGCTGCCCAGAAAGGGCTTTGGCTGGTCCAGCTGCAGGGTCAGCGGCGGCAGATCCGTCTCCCAAACCTCGATAGGTGTGTACTGGAACTTGGCGCCTACTCCCCGGAAGCTGAAGTGGTGCACATAGTCGCGGTGGAGCGAGTGCTCGCAGCGATTGCTCTGGTCGCCATCTGTCGGCGGCCGACGCTTGTAGGCATGCCCATGGAAGCGCATTTCCAGGTATTTGGCCAGGGAGAGGCACTTGGCCGAGTCCGAGAGCGGAACCGTGGGCGTGGTGGCATTGCAGATGCTGCACCACGAGGTGAAGTAGATGCGCTTGGGGTCGGAGCGCGTCAGGTCCTCGGTGAGGTAGACATGGACACAGCCCAGCGAGTGGACATATCGTCGCACATGGCCAAGCATGGGCAGGTTGCAGGAGGGGCACATCGAGTTGAACAGGCAGCAATAGCGCTGCAGGAACTGCTCCAGCATAATGTCGTACTGTCCGTAGAACTTCATGTCCAGCAGCATGGGCAGCTTGCAGAAGGAGGAAACGCCTTTGGGGTTGTAGTGGAAGCTGCAGAAGAGCACGGGCAGCCTCTGGTGGTTCTGCGGATCCAGTGCGTCTCTGTACAGCTGCTCTTCGCTCACCTTCTGCGGCCTCTGGATGATTTCGGGCATCTTCTTTTTGGGCCTCAGCACTGTCGAAAATGGACTACGAATTAGGACTGGTTTTCTTGAAACATCCTGATGGAACTTACTTGGAGCCTTGCCCTTGGGGAAGCGACCGCCAAAGGATCGGAACTCGGCGAGCTTGGTCTGGATGTCGCGATTGGTGGCGGGCGCCGTGAGTTTCATCTGCACAAACTCGTGGGCTGGCAGCAGCTGCAACTGCTGTTCGTTTTCCTTGTTTCCCAGCTCCGATTTTACAGCGGCTTCAGTGTCGCCGCAGCTCTCTGCACGCTCCTGTATCGACGGGGGTCCTGCATTCGACCACTGCTTGGAGAAGTACAGTTCAGTGGGAAAGAGTTTTCGCAGCCTACAGTTGCGTCCCTGCTCCGTCTCCAAATAGGGCAGCGGGAAGGTCAGAAATGGGCTAACTGAGAGCAGAGTGGAGCTGAGTGCAGTACGGAATCGATTATCGTAGCGGGTCTCCACGGCAAGGGCCTCCACCACGGGCAGCACATGGCTGGGTGATGTGGACAAAGCATCGGCCTCCGTCGACCGCAGCGGATCTGTAAAGTCAGCCACGTTTTCACTGACAATGGACGTGACTTTATCTTCCGACTTGCGCTCCGCAATGGGCTGCGGCACCCTCTTGGACGATCCGGATCGGAGCTCCGCCTCTGCCTCAGTCTCGCTATTGGGACTAGCCTCCTTCGAATCGAATATCGAGGCCTTGGGGCTGAGCGGCTGCGCAAACTCGTTCAACAGAAAGGACATCTCCAGGCGCCAGTTGTAGCGGGCAAAAAGCAGGGCCGATGCCACCCTCTTGACGCGGGTAAGCTCCGCGTTGCTGCCACCGCGCAGCAGACAGGTATAGCCCCGGGGATTGGTGAGCTTTTCGAAGAACATGAGCGTCTTGCCGTTGTAGTTGCGGATGTAAAAGTCGTTGCAGTGGCCCAGCTTCGGCATGGTGATGTTCGACTCGATGGAGCTGACGATGTCGCACTGGAGGGTGCGAGACAGGCGCTCCATGACCGAGAGCTTGACGTCCAGCACAAGTGTGACATTATAGGAGCGCAGCAAGTCCTGAGCAATGCCGGCGACGTTCTTGTGGACGAGCACAACGTTGGGGGAGAAGCTCATGATGCGGGCACAGACGTTTCGCAGGTACTCCTTCTCCTGCAGCAGCACCGTCTCGATGGTGACGAACTTGCCCTCGATGCGCTCGTAGACAATGGGGCACTGGAGCAGTAGGATGCGCGGGAAGGGCACATGCGCGGCCATATCTTTGTGCGCCACATTCTTGGAGAAGGCCACGCCATGCACAATTTTCGAGTCCTTGCGCCGGCCGCCAGGCACCTTTTTAAAGTTCACATAGTTGCGAATGTCCATCAGATCGTTGGTGCAGTACTCGGGCTTGAAGTGGTTGGCCGCCGTTGAGCAGAGCATCTGTAGCACCTTGTCCCACTCCTGGTCTAGGTGATGGGCACGCAGCAGCTGAGCCAGCAGCTGCTCCTCGTGATCGCAGTAGGACTCTAGCAGCTTCGACGTGGCCGCAGTGAAGCACAAATCGTTCTCCAGCTCGATATCCTCGACCGAGTGGAAGCTCAAGGAGACGTCCATCGACTTCGGTGGCTGCGGCTCCCCATTGGGCGCCTCGAACTGGGGACTGATGGTCTGCGAATTGTCCGAGCTGCTGTTCTTGGCGAACTTGTAGTGCAGAGTCGGCTCGAACTCGGTCTGGTCAGGATCGGGCACGATCGGCTCAAGGAATCCGGCTGCCAGCATGGCATTCAGTATGGCCACCGCTTGCACCTCGTTGGCCGACTTGTTGTTGCTATTGAGGAACTCGATCAGCACCTGGCCGCAGTTTTGGGCCGGCAGATCTCGCTGCATCTCCTCGTGCAGCGTGATGAGAGAGTTCGACTGCTGCAGGATGTTCTTCCGGTCATCGAAGGAGAGCGTCGTGTAGTTGGGATGCGAGCTGAAGCGCTCTTCCTGGTAGCCCAGCGAGGTCTTCCGTGACAGGGGCGCTCTCTGCTGCTGCGGGGTAGCATTGGGGGCGCTGCTGCCTTGTACCTCCAACTTGTTGCTGAGATGCTGCTGCAGTGCCTGAAGATCCTGGCCAATGTCCGAACTGGAGGACTTCAGAAAGGTGAGCACTATCTTGGAACAGTAGTTGCACACCTTGAGGTCCCCGTCGCAGCGGACTATCATGCCGGGCACAACCTGGTTGCAGCACTTGGAGCAGAATATCTGGCCGCACAGGCGGCAGTGGTGTTTGCGGCGAAAGGTCGAAAACTTCTGGGCGCAGTCGTAGCACTCTTTGGCCTTGGAATCGGGCATCCAGAACCTCTGCAGCTCCGTGTCTTTGTAATTGCGCAGATCCTGCAAAAAAAGGGGTAATAATTATTATTGCAGCAGCTCTCGAAAAAATGCAGTCGTGCAGTCTCACTCACGTTATTGTTTTTTGTTGCACCACTGTTGCTGATGTGCTTCAGCACGTTGGAAACGGTGCGCCCTTGATTCGCTTCGCTGCTCAGCGCCACATCGACACGCTCGTTGGCCTCGGACTCTTCGGCTGTGGTACTCGAATTGCCAGTGCTTCGCGACTCGCTGTCTGCCCGCAAACTCAGCGTTGTCGGCGGCTGTGGTCGCCTCGAACTGAGGCTGGACGACAAGCTGTCCTCCACATCCGCAACTTCGATGGTGGGCGTCCTGTTCTCGCTGTAGAACTGGGATTTGCCCACCTGAACGGTCTGAGCGCCAGTGCTGCTGCTGGTGCTCGGGCTGCTGCCACTGGATATGTCGTTGACGGTGTTATAGCTCTGGTTATAGACATTCTGGATCTTATTCACCACACGGCCGAAGAGCGATTCTGGCTTGTCTTCAAAGTTTCGCGCGAATTCCGTGAGTTTGGTGGGCGAATGCAGGTGCTGGTGGTGGATGCTAGTGCTTGCGCTAGTGTTGTTGCTTGTGCTGTTGTTGTTATTCATGCTGGTGGGGTGTTTGTGTTTAGTATAAAACTTGGGGGGGCTAGAAAGCTGGGCGAGTTGGTGCTCGCCCGCGGACTGTTCGTCCTTGGTTAGATGGATGTAATATTAAGTTGATCGATCAGTGCAGCATCGGGTGCCAGCGAACCCAGCGCCAAATCAGTCCACTTTTGTTCCTGGAAAATATATTGAACAGGTCGTAGTCTTTGCCAAACCCCAAACCAAAATTATCGTCGTTGCTCACCTGCTCGCTTAGAGTCAAATGTGAATCACCACCATCGGCCTCCGGATCGGGGAGCTTTTCGAGTGGCACTAGTATCTGATCGAAAGGCAGAACTTCCATACGCCAGGCATTGTCTACAATGTCCAACAGCAGATCATCGATCGGTGCCTGCAAATGCCCATAAAGTGTCTTTACTGAAACGCCCTCTCAATTGGGACTAGGAAAAAAACATCCTCCCATGCTCTCTGGTAGTATTTCCATGTAAATTACGTCATTTAGTTCCTATACCTAATTATCGCAACGTTATATTCCGTTTGAGACACACGTATTGTTCGCGTATTTAGATTTATCACAATGGGGTTTCTGATAACCGAGCGTTGCGACTAATTAGTGCGAAGCGATAATTTCGACACACTCTCCGGCACTATAGTAATAGTAATTCTCTCTTTTAAACAATGCAATGCTCAGAAACAATCAACAAGCGGGCAATACTTCGGCAAAGGCTAAAATACCCACTTACCTGGCTATCCATTACTTATGAAAGAATTTAATGTCACTTATCTGTTTATTTAACCTCTTCAGAAGTTTTTCCAACAAATTATTTGTGTTTTGTTTATCATGTGCAAACAGCTGTTTACCAGGGTCTCCAAATTACCATGCAGTACAAAAAAAGTCGTGTCCAAAATGTGGCGCGTTCCTGTTGAATATTGAATATTGGATAGCGATAGTATCGACTGAATCGTACTGTAACGTAACGGAATTATCGATTGAGTATCGATTTACCGCCAAGTCTTTTGAATTTGATTTGCATTGATTTTTTTTAAACAAACAAACCAAAGAATAAATGAAAGAGCAAATTAGAAAGCAAGTTTAATATTTATTATATTATTATTATTATATTTGGCATCACATTAAGCATAAATATCTCCAGTAATTTTAGTATCCAACAGAACCAGGTGCTGTTATTTATCCTGCTCTGATCGTTCCGGCAAAAAGTCTGATGAAGAAGCAGCCTCTTCTCATAGGCAGGTCTCTATTCTGCCAGTTTCCGTAATTTTTGCAGCTTTCGGCTAACTGCTAGACATAAATTAACTGGAAAAAAGGGTTATTATCCATTGTAATCAGCCAATATACATACAAATCTGTAATAAAAGAATTATCCAACATTTGCAATCTCGATCTGTTGACTGTTCCATTGAATAACTGACTAGATGCAGCATAGCGTTCTCAAAGATCGCTTTTCAACTTCAGCTATGCCGACATCTTGCCAATTTACCAACAGATGCGGTACGATCCGAGACGCGCGACGACGATTCACATAAACATTCTCACAGGGCACAAGTGATTCGGTTCGGCCAAGACGATATGTGTATGTTATTTGGCTCGGACAGCCGGCCACAAGACAGCAGCATTTATCAATGAAACGCTTGTTATTTTGAAAAGCACTTAGCAGCAGGTCTTCTGAGCTGTGTGTGCTCTTGGTGGGCTCGAAGCCGAAGGCGAACCACAATTGTAATCCGTCGGCGCTGAAGACTAATTGGCAACTGATTTCGATGCCGTGCGACTGGCTCAGCACCACACCTCGGGCCGGACGGCAGCGCAGCCCCAAAGTAGCCCGCAATTGAAGAAGTTTCAATTAGTTGGCATTTGACACTCGCTCACAAACACAAGCACACAGACACACACACCGAACGATGTCTAAAACGGGGACTGGGACGAGACCGAGACCCGTTGCCAGTGCACTCACACTCCGGCAAAGTGGGGGTGCAGACACTTGTGTTGGTGCACGGGCACGCACACACGCACATTTTACCTGTACATGCGCCAACGACAGGTAGCCGTAGCCGAGACGTCGCTCCTCTGCAACGCCGCTTAAGCGTTTTTAGCGCACAGCCGCCTGCCCGGAATATTAATGAACTCCCTTTTAAGAAAAATATGAAATGAAATAAAACTTAGTTGCCAACAAAAGCCGTGTCCACGTTCCCGTCCACATCCACGTCCGACTTCGATTGAATCGAATAGAGTCTCCGTCCCCCAGAGTCACTGCCGTTTTGGAATTTCGTCGCTTGCCGCCGCCATCGCGGGTCGAAACAAACCCAAAATGCATTTGGTATGGCCGCTCGCCTCGGTGTCCGCGATGTGTGTCCGTGCGCGCATGCGCGCTGTTGGATGTTTCCATCGATCGCTGCTACTTCCGCTCGCCAGGAGGAGAGCCAGCCACCTGCGGGAATAGATCCCCAGACGACGATTACTTCGAACTGGCTGGCAGACGTTTGTTCTGTTCTGCTCTGTTCAGGTTCAGGTTCTCAAGTTTTCTGTGAGCCATCTATAGGCTTACATTACAGATATTTATGCCCGATTATACAAAACAGTCACGTGTCGGTCTTCTACATATACAGACAAATACATTTCTGAACTTACACTTATGTATATTACTCGTACATACACTTCGTTTATACTTACAGATATGTATATAATGGCATTCAAAGGTATGTATATAGAAAAGCAGGGAATGTTACTCACTGACGATACCAATCACTGGACAGTTCTAAGCCTGAGAAGTCTCTGGTATAGTCTCTTATTCATTCGGATCCTACGTACATATGTACCCCTCTTCCTTCGTGTGTCATTCAGTGGATGTCTGGAAGTCTTTGGAAAGCCATCATTTGAATATTATTATTCATATGCACACGACTCACGTTTTGATAGCCATAAAGTCGGCAGCGCATGCACGTATAAAGATATAAAACGATATGGCCACAGCAAAACCCATTGAAATGCCAAAACAACCGAAACAACCAGATAGATGTACATAACATGTATAGATACGTATGTTTAAGCCCCGCATACCAACTGGAAGTATGTAAAAATATCAGAGGAGACCGCCACAAGCTTTTTCCTGTAATTCTTTAATGCTCGTCTTTCACAATTTCTCCCATTTCCGTATGTGTCATGTCCGTTTATAATTCTGAGATTAATATGCACAGTCCAAATGCTCACGGATGATGACCAATTGTTTCGTAATATCAAAACTTTGTCTATTAAAAGTTTGGGGCCTTATACATACATATGTATGTCGGGATGTTTGCGCTTTCTACAACACATACATACATATATCTTTAGAATGGAAGAAATTAATTTTAATAAGCCATTTTGTATTTGAGGCATGTGCCTAATCAATAATGCGATTTCTACGGGAAATGCTATGCTGGTGATCGTGATCCCATCTTTGGTTCAGTAAAATAAATAAAATTTGTAGGACGAGCAAGGAATGGCTTGGATTAGGGGAAATGGTTGTGAGGAAGACTGCTTACAAACATTCCATTCAGAAGGATTTTAGGTTTATAATATTATGCGATGGTTTCGTACTTATTAAATCGTAATTCTTTCTCCAAAGAAGGGATCATTATGCTCTTATTTGAGATATCTATCCTAAATTGACTGTAGTAGCATTCTTTTAACATAATTTATGACTTTACAAAAATGTAGTTTAATAAACTTAGTGGTTAGTCGAATACAACTTTTAAGTTTCATGGAAATCTATAAGCTTGCACATGAACAGAATTGTATTATTAGGAAAGTCTTTAATGTAAATGTTCTTTTACAGAAATTTTGTCTTTTCATTTTGATTTGGCTTTTTGGCAATATAAAAATAGGTACACAGAAATTAATATTTCTGTATCATTGAAAAAGCTAGGGATCGTTCTGTTCCTTTTAAAACTTAAAATTGTTACATCCATAAATATATGGTTATGGAAAATGTGGAAATAATGATATATACGTATGTAAGAAGGAACTTTTAAATTCGATAATAATCCACTTTTTCAGTTACTCTTTTATCGATATTAACCTCTATAAACCTATCGTCTGCACCCAAGCTATCTTTAAGTGGGACCGCAAACAATGTAAACAAACACATGCAGCGTGACCATTTACTGTTTATTTTTTCTGTACATCGGTATATTTAAACGAACTCATCAATATTTTTTCCGTTTTCAAAACGGAATCCGCAAATCTTTGGAAAAAAGATATTATTTAAAATAATGAATGCATCAACTGGTCAGTCTGGTTTATTGGTTAATTACGTTTTAAAGCAGTTTTTTAATACGAATTAAGCCAGTGCTATTTTCCGCGGCTTAACTCAAGTTGCACATCTGTTTCACCATAAGGGGGGTTAAGTGGGTTAAGTTCGTTTAAACTGTAAATTATAATGGGGCCGAAGCTAAACTTGAGATCGGAGTTGGAACAATTATTTGAAAAGAAGTTCCAATACCAAAAGCCGAGGGGCGATGGCGTCTGGGAGCTGCCTCGGGAGGAGCAGCCTCTGTTCAGCGAGTATTACCAGTGCGAAGCGCTGCAGAATCTCAAGGACCAACTGAATTCGGTCAAGAGCAAGCTGAACGATTATGGGGTGCAGGAGTGGAGCTCGCACACGAATCGCCGGGATCCGTCTGGCGAGGTTCCGTGGCGACTGAAGAACGAGACCAAGGCGGAGTTCGTGACCGTCGCTTGGTGCAAGTTCTTTGAGTGCTTGCACCGCTATCCGCTGGTGACCGAGCCGGTGGTGAACACGCTCCATCTTTGCGAGGCTCCTGGGGCCTTCATTGCGGCCCTAAATCATTACTTGCACAGCACATATGAAAAGGATGAGGTCAGTAGCAACAGAACTGATGGGGGAATCAATTTATCAAGTCTTTTGTTAGATCAAATGGCGCTGGCGCTCGACTACTTTAAATCCTTACTACGAGGGCAACGCCTTGAACGAGATGATAACCGATGACCGGTTCATATTCCACACACTGGACAATTGGCTCTTCCACAAAGATCTCACGGGAAATCTCATCAATCTGAGCAACATTGAACATATGGTCGAACGCTGTGCAGAAGACTTCAAAGACAACGGCAGTGGAGGCGTGGACCTGATCACCGCCGACGGCTCCATTGACTGCGCTGCCCAACCGGATTGCCAGGAGGAAATCGTCGTTCGCCTGTTCTTTGCCGAGACCATCTGTGCGCTGAGAATACTCAAGACGGGCGGCAAGTTCGTAGTCAAAATGTTCACACTCTTCGAGGCCTGCAGCGTTTCGCTTTTGTACATGCTCAACTGCATCTTCGAGCAGGTGCACATCTACAAGCCGGCTACATCGAAGCGCGGCAATTCGGAGGTTTATGTAATCTGCCTAAACTACCAGAAGGATACGCCCGGTCTGGCCCGTCTGCTGGAAAAAATGCAAGCCAAACTCGCCCAGCCAAACGATGCGATGGTCATGCCTCTGTTTGCCAAATCCCAAATACCCAACGACTTCATGATGCAGCATGAAATCGCCTGTCGGCTGTACATGAAGCTTCAGACGGACGCCATTGAGAGTAGCATTTACGCCTACGAGTCCAAAGATCGTCTATATTTTCGGCACCTGCACCACTTGCGCGGCCTGGTCTCCTCCATGTACTACAATCGCTACAAGGTGCAGCCCCTGGACGATAAGCTGTGCATCGTGGATAAAGAGGTGACCAGCAAGGCCCTGGGATTCTCAGTGCCCATTTATGGTGGCTCCTACACAGAGCGAGAGAAGCTTAAGGACGGCGATCTTCTCAAGCAGATATATTGCCTGCGCCGTGAGTTTAATCAACTGGAGAAGTGCCCCAATGGCCTTACGAGCTATAGGTATGCCAAAGATCGAGTGGCGCCTCTGACCTTGCGTGTTTCCAGGGGGGCACCCGTTAAAAGCCTGCAGAGCAGCCTTTTTGCTTCAGAGCCTGTACTTTTGCTGCGTCTCCGCATACTTGACACCTTCGATCTCGACCCCATATGGCAAGCTTCTCCCAACTGCCAGCTGGATAGCCAGACACTAAGCTTTCTGCCATGCACGGAAGGGGAGACGGAGACCTTTCACAGTGCTCAGCGTCGGTTCTTTGTGGCACTTTTAGAGTGCGTGCGCGGTCAGCGGCCACAGAAGATTGTCTTCCACAAGTTCTTGTTCCTTACCCATTATTCTGCCTCCGTGCTGCTGTTTCTTGTGGAATCTGTCTATCAGGAGACCCACTTCGAGACCAACCAATTGCAAACGATCACCCTGAGCAGCCCAAGCATTAGAGAGGACGATGCGATCGTAGAGGAAGTTCTTGACCTGCTCAAAAGCGACACTGGGGAGACGGAAGAGGAGGCCATACACAGTCTGGTGCAAATCAAGGAGCTTCAGAAGAACAAGTTCAGTAATGCACTCATCCAACACAACAACAACGTGCTGCTGACCTGCTTCCGCCGAATGCTAGGCGAGGAATCGTTTCCGATGCCCATCGACACTGGGGCCGTCGAGCAGCCATCGATTGTGTCCGCTATTAAAGAGGCGCCACCCATCGATGGCGTTGTGTTTTAATGTAACGAACTTGTATTTCTCTCTTGCATAAAATTACAGTGCTACAATTAAAAAACTACCCTTCCTACGGATCCTGATCCTTACAAATTGGAATTGGGAGAATTGCGAAACTTTCTACTGAAAAATCGAAGTTAAAACATTAAAAAGCTAATTGAAAATCACAAAACGGGGAGAACTCGTAGACTAAGCGTGAAATAATTTGTTCGCCCTCCGTCGCACTCGGCGTAGACTCGAAGGGGGGTGAAAATAATGGGATGGGGTTTAGTTTGGTTTCGTCATCCGTCTTCGTTTGTTGTTTGTTGGCGGCTCGCCATGGCCACAGCACTAATCCGCCGGACGTTTTTCGCTGTGCTTCTTGGTGTAGTCCTCGGCATTCTTCACGAACTTCTTTCTGTCCTTGAGGAACTCCTCGGCTAGCTCGGCGCGAAGTGGATGCTCGGGCTCAGGGTCGTTGATAAGGGCTATCAGAGCCTGGACAACCTGCTCCGTTCGCGTAGCCGGCTTCCAGTTCTCGGTGCTGATGATTGGCAGACAGACCTGCCCCTTCTCGTCGATGTTGGGATGATAGATCCGCGTCTTGAAGTTTATTTTCGGCGGCTTGAACGGATATTCGGCCGGAAAGTTGATCTCGATGCGGAAGGCGCCCTTGTTGTACGGCGGATTGTCGGGTACAATCAGGCCAGTCCAGCGCAGCAGGTTCTCGTCGTCGGCCTTAATGTCGCGGAAGGATTTTAATGTATTATCTTGCAAATCGCACAGCTCTTTTCGAAGACGTCGAGGCGCAGTCATTTTTTTCTTCGTCTGTGTGCTCTCTGTTTGCCCCAACCACCACAAACGATGTGTGTGTGTGCTTCGGTGAGTGTCAAATCGATGGAATCAGCAGATATAGCTTCTTCGGATGAGTAAGGGCAGCGTTGTTGTGTGTTCGCTTGTAGCTATGCGGTGTCTTTTTCCGGGTGGAGGGGATTATTGCTTGTTTAGGCAGTAGCTATTATGCACGTAAGGCCTGTAATTACACAGACAAATTATATCTTAAAAAAATATGTAAATGGCGCTAGGGTATGTGGGCGAACGCTGGTATTTCTCATATTTTCGTGTCCAGGGCTACACTACATCGAAATCGATTCGATAATTGCCGCACAATCGTTTTACCATCACCCATCACTATCGCTGACTGCAACACGTGCGCCGCGTTAGTTTTGTTTTCTAAAAATGACTAAAAAACTAACAATTAAGCGGAAAGTAAAAGAGCCAGAGCCACAAAATGAAGCACCGGACAGCCACGAATCTTCTGACAATGAGGAGGAGGAGGAGGTAAGCGAGCCGAAATGCAACTTTAGGATTCAGTCTAATGCCAGTATTTTCAAAGGATCTGCTGCAAGCCGTGAAAGATCCTGGCGAAGACTCCACCGACGATGAGGGCATAGACCAGGAATATCAGACAGACAGCAGCGAGGATCTCGAATTCGAAAGTGATGAAGAAGGCAACTATTTGGGTAGGAAAGGTGCCGAAGGCAGCTCAGGAGACGATGACGAAGAGAGCGCAGAAGACGAAGAAGAAGAAGATGATGCCGATGCTAAAAAGTCGAGCAAGAACAATGATGAAGAGGCTGCCACAACGTCAAAGTCTATCAAAAAATCACAAGAGAAGCCCACCAGCAGTAATAAAGTTGTACCAGTGGTTCCTGCAAGGGATCCCTCAAAGGTGGAATACGCCGACTCGGACACCTCCGACGAGGAGGACATCCGCAACACTGTTGGCAACATTCCGATGCACTGGTATGACGAATATAAGCACATTGGCTACGACTGGGATGCCAAGAAGATTGTAAAGCCACCGAAGGGCGATCAAATTGATGACTTCCTGCGCAAGATCGAGGACCCGAATTTCTGGCGTACTGTCAAGGATCCGCTGACTGGTCAGGAGGTGTTGCTCACAGATGCCGACATTGCTCTCATCAAGCGCATCAACTCGGGCCGCATACCCAACGAAGAGCACGACGAGTACGCGCCCTGGATCGAATGGTTCACCTCGGAGGTGGAGAAGATGCCCATCAAGAACGTTCCCGACCACAAGCGCTCCTTCCTTCCCTCAGGGTCGGAGAAAAAGACCGTCTCGCGTATGGTGCACGCCCTTAAGATGGGCTGGATGAAGACCACCGAGGAGGTGCAGCGGGAAAAGCAGGAGAAGCGCGGCCCCAAGTTCTACATGCTGTGGGAGACGGACACCAGTCGGGAACAGATGCGCCGCATCCACGACCCCGTGTCAGCGCCCAAGCGCGACCTGCCAGGGCACGCCGAGTCCTACAACCCGCCGCCAGAGTATCTCTTCGACGAGAAGGAGGCCAAGGAGTGGCACAAGTTGAAGGACGAGCCTCACAGGCGAAAGTTGCACTTCATGCCGCAGAAATTCAAGTCGCTGCGTGAGGTGCCCGCCTACTCGCGCTACCTCCGCGAACGCTTCTTGCGCTGTCTTGATCTGTACTTGTGTCCACGTGCCAAGCGCGTCAAGCTGAACATCGATGCAGAGTACCTCATCCCCAAGTTGCCTTCACCGCGCGATCTGCAGCCATTCCCCACAGTCGAGAGTCTGGTCTACCGGGGCCACACAGATCTTGTGCGGTCCGTCAGCGTGGAACCGAAGGGCGAGTACCTCGTGTCCGGCTCCGACGACAAGACGGTCAAGAGTAAGTTTATCTGGTCCTATCAAATTCTCATAATTGATCGCTAACAATTTTCTCCCTTCTTGCAGTTTGGGAAATTGCCACAGGTCGGTGCATCCGCACCATTGAGACCGAGGACGTGGTGCGCTGTGTGGCCTGGTGTCCCAATGCCAAGCTCTCCATCATTGCGGTAGCCACCGGCAGTCGTTTGCTGCTGGTCAACCCGAAGGTTGGTGACAAGCTCCTCGTGAAGAAGACCGATGACTTGCTGGCCGAGGCCCCAGTTCTGGACGTCATCGAGAACGAGCGCATCAAGACGGCAGTGCAGTGGGCCAATGCGGAGCCCGCCGATCAGGAGAAGGGCGTCAGAGTGATCATCACTCACTTTAAGCCCATTCGACAAGTGACTTGGCATGGACGCGGCGACTACTTGGCCACGGTGATGCCCGAGGGCGCCAATCGCTCGGCCCTGATACATCAGCTCTCCAAGCGACGCTCTCAGATACCCTTCTCAAAGAGCAAGGGCTTGATCCAGTGCGTGCTCTTCCATCCGGTGAAGCCGTGCTTTTTTGTGGCGGTAAGAATACTATGACGTTGCTCCTATAATTCATTGGATACTACAAATCTGTCCTCTTTTAGACCCAGCACAATATACGCATCTACGATTTGGTCAAGCAAGAACTTATCAAGAAGCTGCTGACCAACTCCAAGTGGATTTCGGGCATGTCCATTCACCCGAAGGGCGACAATTTGCTCGTCTCTACATACGACAAGAAGATGCTGTGGTTCGATTTGGACCTCTCCACCAAGCCCTACCAGACCATGCGCCTCCATCGCAATGCCGTGCGCAGTGTGGCCTTCCATCTCCGGTATCCGCTCTTTGCGTCTGGCAGCGACGACCAGGCTGTCATTGTCTCCCACGGAATGGTCTACAAGTGAGTGGCACTGAAACTCATCCGAATAACGACGGAATAAATTATAATTTTGATTCTTTCCTTTAGTGATTTGCTGCAGAATCCATTAATTGTGCCGCTGAAGAAGCTGCAGACGCACGAAAAACGCGAGGAGTTCGGCGTACTGGACGTCAACTGGCATCCCGTTCAGCCGTGGGTGTTCTCCACTGGTGCCGACTGCACCATCCGCCTGTTCACATAGATGAACAGTACCCTTGTGCCCTTTCGTGGCAATTGTGTGAAATTTTGATAGTGAATATATTAATTTTTAATGGAACCAAATCATTCCTTGCGTTTATTGACATCGATAAGGTCGCAGGCAGAAACTGCAGCCCTGGCGAAAGCTCATTTCCCTCAAAGAATTCCAGAGAGCTTTTTGCGCTTTTGCGAAACTCGCGCACATGTGTGAATATTGTGCCAGGAATTCAAACTGTATAGCTATGTGGAGGAGCGGAGCTTTCGCTTGCTTAATCTCTCTCTCGCTCTCTCTGTGGGCACCTTTGGCGCCGCCAGGCATATCTTTTTGGGTGAGGAGTGGTGTGGGAATGTGCGCGCATTGGAAAATCAAGCGCTGCCATGGCACTGCTTGGAAATCAGCCTTTTGCCAGAGCGAAGAGAAACACGTCCGACACTTGTGCTCGCGCCCGCCGTCGAGGAGGATTTGTGGGTTCTGTTCTGTGTTCTGGCTATCGCAGAAAAAAATCCCACACACGCACAGGCTCGTTTGTGTATGTGTTTGTGCTGCAGTGGAAATGAAACGGCAATAATGTGTGGTCGCCGCGGAGCCCAAAATATGGCAGCAACCGAAATGTGAATCCGGAGATTGTGGAATACGTTTTTCCGCCATCCCAGAGTGCCTCAAATGAAAACTGCAGTTTCCGTGTAGTAAAACGAATCGGAACTGAACCGATCGGGTCGAATCCAATCGGTTTGGAAATCTCAATCGGAATTGGGGGTCGAAATTTAGGCGCTAGCAAAACAGTGAAAAAATAGAGATATACGAATACAAATACGGGTATATTTTAGTGGCTGTGGCAAGGCAGAAATTCGTATGTACTCGTTGCTCCTAAATATATACAGACACAGCGCCCGCGCCCGCGCCCATGCCCCTGCCCGTGTCCCCTCCTTGCCCACTCACACCCCTGCTCCATCGAATACCCTTCCCACCCAGCCCCCTCCATTAACCAACAACCAACGCTGTCAAAACCAAAGCACACTGCATGTGTGTGTGTGTGTGTATGTGTGAGAGAGAGTGAGTGAAAATATTAACGGAAGCGCACAACACACAAAAAGGAGATAAATAGTGAGATAGAGAGAAGAGGGTGGAAAGGAGAGAGATAGTGGCTAACTGTTAACAAAACAACAACACCAGCTGATTTTGTGATAAAGCAACGATCCAAGATCCCCCCAAAAATACCCGCCACAACGACAGCACAACGTTCTGTTGATAGTGCAGTACGGTACAAGTTGCAGCTGTTGCAACAACAACAACAAAAATAGGAACAACAATCAGAGACAGCAGGCGAGACCCCCGCAAGGAAAGAGAAACACACAGAGGGAGAGAATCACGCATACGCCCCATCAGCCCGACCTCCGTCGCCGCCAATCGAATCCCACAAAAGCGTGCCCACACACACACAGACAGACGCACACGGGAGTGAGAGTCCGCCGTGTAATGACTAGCAAAAGAAATAAATAAAATTTAACCAAAAAATAGAGAGAGAGCAAGAGCGGGAGAGAGCCAGCTCCAGCTGCTCATAAATTTCGTAACGCTTTTGGGTGTAAATGTGCCCCTTGGTTCAGGGCACGCAGTGATTGAGTCGTTTGTAATTCGTATGCCGTAAATACAACAAAATATGTAAATGCTAAGGGCGCCCACCCACCCAACACCACCCAAAGCCAGACAGCCAGACAGCCAGCCAGTCCAGCTAGCCAGCCATCCCACGCACCAGCCAAGGCACGGAGCAGAGCAGGAGGGTGGAGCAGCAGGTGAAGGAGAGTCAACCTATTTAGGAATGCGAATGAATTTGGCGGTCAAACTTCCATAAAAGAGACAAAAGAATCCCCAAGTAGGCCGAAGATCAAGCCAAAAAAATATTTGCTGCTCCTCAAGGCATGTAAAATCACAAGTGGAAGGAAAGTTGAAAGGAGCAGCGGTAACAGTTACGGTTGCCATACAAGAAGCAGAGAGCGCCAGCTAAAGGAAATCGAACGATAACGGGAGAGAGAGAAACCAGTAGAAGAGCTGGAGCACACTCGATAAAAAATTATTAGCAAAAACATAAATACGTAACGGTTTCGGCTCTCCACCACATTGCCATCGCTGCCTGCCAAGAGAGTGCGAGTGAGCGGGAGGAAGGGAGAGAGCATCGAATTGAGAGAGCAAGAGAGCAGTAGCGAGCGAGAGAACAAGGGAGCCAGTGAGTGGGTAGGTCAGTGGCAGTGGGCGGTCTGCCAGCTGTGGCAGCCACAACACCAACGCCAGCGCTAGAGTCAACTTCAAATTTAAAAGGGCAGGTAAGTGGTGCTGACCCCCTACTCCATCCCTTTTCCCTCATGTTACTTATCGTCCCCCTCCATCTATAGCAAAGGGCCAAATGTCCTGTACCATTTCGGAGCTGCCTAGTGGGTGTCGACTGCGCGGCGGAATGACTGCATCCACACCACAGAGCGCTGCTAACAATGGCGCCAATGGCGGGGGCAATGGCAACGGAAACAACGGTAACGGTAACGGGAATGGGAATGGCAACGGCAACGGGGGAGGGGGCAGCGAAAGTGCCGTTTCCGTGTCCGTGTCAGTTGGGGGCGGCGGCGTCACGGCAGCCAGTGCCACCTCGAATGTGCTGCAAGAGTCGAATGCGGCAACGTTGCAGCGGCCGCAGTCGCAGAAGCCGTGCTGCTTCTGCTGGTGTTGCTGCTGTTCCTGCTCCTGGTGAGTATCCTTGAGAACACCTCATTATTTTGTATTGCCCACTAAAACGAAATCAATTTCTTTCCTCGTCTCTGGTGCTGCTCCACGGGTACCTATCCCCGTTCCTGTCCTCATCCTCGTCACCGCTTAACCACAACTACAACTGTAATAAAAACAACCGCTAAAACAGGGGAAAATGGTAAGTTACACCCAACCGCCCACCCACCAACAGACACACACGCACACGCTCGCTAGAAGGAGAAGCAGAAGCAGATGGGAGGCATTTTTCTCGCCTCTGGCAACGCTCCGCGGTGAAAGCTCTCTCCCGCTGATTAGTCCCCCGCTCTTTGACTTCTGCTCTCCCGCATTCATTCACAATTTCGGGAGCGCCAAAGATTGGGCAGGGAAAAGCTCTACCTCCGGTTGGAAGGGGCACTGTTTAAATCAAATATAAATAAGTATGTAGCTGGATGGCTCCTCGAAGTGTTGCATTCGTTTTTCGTGAATGAAAACGAAAGTCTTTTGGCCCTCCTCCTATCATCTTGCGGATCCCTCCGCACCTTTGTGTGTTTGGCTGGTCACACATACTTCTACACGCTTCGGTACATGCCACAATTGGATTCATGCATACATCCATACGCACTTGATTGGGCATTGGGGGCAACGAATCGAATCGAATCGAATCGAGTCGGGTTGTGTCGTGTCGCTTTGATAGCTGTCAAGCAGATAACGGAGCTTTGTCAAGTTCGAGTGCTTCGTTGATATGGCATTAGCCACTTTATAGATATACTTGTATCTATGCGCATACGATATACATATCCAGCACACATATGTACATATGTCTGTTTGTTGCCCCGTATGTATGTATGCAGAAGTGGCTTCCCTATCCACTATGAGCCAGAGAGTAGTCAAGCCCAAATCGTAGTCTACTTTGAAGGGTGACGGATGTGCGGAGAACAAGCTACGGCTAATATGAGTAGTAAAAAGCAAATATCAGAGATATTTAGCACCAAGATCGCATAGCTCACCTGGGACTGTCTAGAATTGGTTCCATTCCAATTCAGATCAGAGCGAAACCAATGTACATCAGTGAAAACCCATATCATCTCCAATGTTTTCCTTTTTTTACAGTCTGGCCATCAAGAATGCCGATGAAAATGCGCCCACAAAGCGTGATCTCGCTAATTCCGAATTCCTAGACGGCGAACAGTAAGTTACCTTTACAGAAATAAGTGTTTTTTTCATGTGGAATACTTTGTTTAACATCAATTTCCGTTGCAGACCCACATTGGAGGAAATCCGTAGCTGGGGCAAGAGCTTTGACAAGCTGATGAAGAGCTCAGGTGAGCATGCAAAGGAGATATTCCACTCTGAGCCGTATGCTAACTATTTTCTGTATATTCCGCAGCTGGTCGAAAGGTATTCCAGAACTTCCTGCGCAGCGAATTCAGTGAGGAGAACATATTGTTCTGGCTGGCCGTCGAGGACCTCAAGAAGGAGAACAGCGCCGAGGTGGTCGAAGAGAAGGCGCGCCTGATATACGAGGACTACATCTCGATCCTGTCGCCGAGGGAGGTGTCGCTGGACTCGCGGGTGCGCGAGATCGTCAACCGTAACATGATCGAGCCCACGACGCACACCTTCGACGAAGCTCAAATACAGATCTACACTTTAATGCACAGAGACTCATATCCGAGGTGAGTGGCGTCCGTTTGATCTAGTCCCTCTGGGGGACAGAATGGCACTGATCCATTATCGTCTCTTTCAGATTCCTAAACTCTCAAAAGTTCAAGACACTCGCTCAAATGCAAGACAATTCGAATGCCGGCTCTAAGGCGGAAAGTCCCACTTAGATCGCATCGGATCGTTGTCAGTTCTGCGCTGTGTTGATTTCTGTGGTTGCTCTGCATTAGTATTTCCATTAGATTGGGGTCAGTCATGAAATCCCTGTAATACCCCCCGTGGTTGCCTGCCAGCCCTCTGCCACTGCCACTGCCGCTGCTGCAATCCCCAAAGCAATATGTATCCATTAATAGAACCATTTAACCATTTTGCGCGCAGCCCCCGCAGGTGAGACCAGGGCAGTGGGCGAGGCATATTCCCGGGGCCCGAACAAAGGCAAAACCAAAACCAAAACCAAAACTAAAACAAAAACTTAGACGATATGCATAAAACGTGAAACGGATTCCTTCTCTACCTATGTTCTAGTCGTTAACAAACCAAAGAGTTAGGAGCTAAATTAATTGTTTAATCTTAGAGTGTGTAACGGATGGGGATCGGGAAACGGATCTCCGTGACGTAGCATTTTCAAGGCGGTTCCGGAAGCGAGCGAGGGAAATAGCAACTAGTGTAATATTAGTGATCTAAGAGACGTATTAATCAAATTGCATCAGAGATAACGGAACCGACAACAGTACAGTACGAATGCGAGAGTACATTCAACGTAAACCGTAAACCGTAAACCGTAAACCTTAAACCGTAAACAAAAATACTTTTTCCAGAAAAACCAAAACCAAATGAACTTTTTAAACGTATTACATAACTTTATATTAATATATATATATATATACACGCATATATAGTACTTATATACAAAACCATTTAACTTAATTAGTTTTGAAAACGATTAGGTCATATATGCCTACATATGTCTGTATATATATAAATACTAGCCCTATTATTTATATGCATACATATGTACATATATGAGTGACGACATCGAAGCATTTTTGTAAATACCACAACAGACAGCAGCACCCTCTCTATATATTTGTATATGTATCCTGTATCCTGTACCCTGTACCCTGTACCGATCAAGACAATGCAACCAACACAACTCCCACTATAATGCCTGATCTTCCGATTGAGGTCCGATCTAGTTGTTCCCAATCACCTCTTCGAAGGCAAACTAAGGCAAACGCATAGCTAACAACACTATATTTATTGTTTCGATTCGCATTGATTTCAAAATCCAAAGAAAACGTTTTGCAATATCACTGCCAACAAAAAACAGGAAAAGAAAGAACACACAAAAAACTGCAAGAGATTTATCAGTCTATACTCTTCTATGGATCTATATATGCGTTTACTTTCACCCACACAGCTGGGCTTTCAATAATATCCCCCCGCCCTACACCCTACATTGATTCAACAAATTATTCAACAAAAAAACACAGTATTATAAATAAAAAAAAACAATAAAAACTAAAATTTTTAGCAAAAACAAGTTGTCCAAGTGAAAGAAAAACTGAAGACAATTCAAGAGAAAACAAGGAACAAAGAGAGGAGGGTGCGACAGATCCTCAGAACAAATTCAGAAGAGTCTCGAGGCAATTGCGCATCCTGCAAGGAGAACCCTAGGCAAACAGTTAACATTGTATTTTCGCTATAAGTTGGATTTTATTTAAATTAATTGTCTTTAAGTGGCTTTATCTGAGGCACAAAATGCATAAATGATGTACCTTTGTTACGGGAGGGAGGAGAAGAGAATGTTTTTAGTAGCTAGTTGGTGTGCCTAGTTTTAAAGCTTCTATCTACACGGAGATCACACGAGAACAAGAACATGAAACATTGAATATTTTACTAGCATTTAAGCGTCCTCCAGGTGCCCTCAGACCTAGTTTAAGTTTGCTTTGGTTGGACTATTACTATTGTCCCAGTTCCAGTCGATCTTTCTGTTTTCAGTTCTGCAGCTAGAGCTATATTACCACCTAATTCAATACATGTTCTATATCCGATCAAGCATTCAGTTGTAGCTCTAGTAAACAGGACTTTTACAGCCTTTATATTGACAAATCTACTACCGATTCTAATAATTCAGACTGTCATCCACAGCTTCGGTTTTAGTTCATGTTCTGTTGTCATTTATAGTCATATGTAAATGATGTGATTCTGTGCAACTCCGAAGCCAGTTCCTGCCACCACAGTTTCCTTTTAATTAATCACTCAGGCTGCTACTTGGAATTGAGAATCCGACAATCGCTGTTGCCCTATGCATTACAAGTATATAGATGGGCCGTTCTATCAGCCATTTTCCATGGTTTGTTAAATTAATTTTAGGCAATTCGGGTAGAACTAGTTCCAGGACAAAGCGAAACAGCACCCGGAGGAGCAGGAGCAGGAGCAGGAGCAGGAGCGTTTGCTAATGATTGTTTCTCTTCGGTTTCTTGCTTTGCAGAATGCAGACAAATATAAGACTTTTTGAACAAAATCAGAGTATAAGTACGTTAAATACGATTGTTGTTTGTTTAGTTTTATACACGCACACACACACACACACACACACATGCATATATATGCTGCATACATATAAATGTATATACATTTTGAAACACAAAAGAAGAAGGCAAAACGTAATCAAGCATTAGTGAAAAGTTTCGACCAGTTCAATAAAAACCAAAAAATTAAATTTATTACACCAAAAAACCCAATCTAAATAAAGCCCACGAATCCCAAAGAATCAATAATTACAAATGGATTAAACTAAGCCTACATTTAGTTTTAAACATTAAATATATTGCAACAATAAACAAACATGAAAATTAAACTCAAATTAAAGCATACACAAAATTCTCAAAAACACCTCCCAAGGTGTGTCTCTCAGTTCTACATGATCTGGAAATCTACATAACTGTATACATATTGAGATGTAAAATTACATAAAGCAACAAATTTGTTCATAGAACTGGCACTTGGGTCATCAAGCGACCGCAAGTTTTAAGCCACCTCAGCCAAAGCTGAGGTTAAGTAAAGTCCAAGGTATATTGAACAGAAGGTGAGGCAGTCCAAAAGAGCAGCTATACCTGTCTCTGCTAAATGTGGACCTATATGCGGATGCTGCACAGACACATGAGCATGTGTACCTTATTTTGAATGTACCATGGACTAAGGCAACAACGTCGTCAGTAGCGGGGGCGGGAGGCAAGGGGCAGCCGACAAAAGCCAGCGGCGTCCGGAGTCTGTGCCGCGGCTCCGCTACATGGGATTGTGGTACATGCATAACTATTTTACGTATTTCAGTCGTCTCTCGGTATGCTTGATCTCTCTCTCTCTTGATCGTCGTGCGCTCTCTCCTGATCTCTGAGCTTGCATGTATGCATGCACGTTTGTGTGTGTCTCTCTACCTGATGCCCGCGACTGCACTACCACTTTCACACGGCTTACAGAAAAGCAAAACAAAAAAAAAGAACAAGGCAACAGGCGGCAGGCGTCAGCGGCGGCGGCGGTGGCGCGGCAGTGCTTTCGAGTTCGAACTTTTGAAAATGAATACAATGCACAAGCAAGACACGAAATGAACGGCGGGGTCTGAAAATATACAAAAAGCGCACTCTGTCCAGGGCCGGTTCAGACTAAATGCGGTACGCGAAGGTTTGTGTCCTCAGTCTTTAGTATTTTTTGTACCTGCACCGAATTTTTGCAGGTGCCGTGAGGGGTGCTAGGGGTGAGGGGAGGGACAAGTGGACGTTCCGAAAGAGCGAGAGCGTCAGTGGACTACCTGTGTATTAAGAGAGCGGGTGAGAGCCGAACCTGCCTCAGTGTTGGTGCCTTGGGAGTGCGGACACACACATATATCGATTCGAATGAATTTTGAGTTTTCGTTCACTCGCGCTCGGTTGCTGCGGCGCTGCTGCGCTGCCCGCTCGCTCAATATCAGTTACGAAAGAGATGAAACCATAAAAAGCAATAATAATCGGGCATACAGACGCACGCTCTCCTCGCTCTCTCACACAGCCAACCCACCTGTGTGGCTCACACGGACAGCACCTTGACACCAACACACATGCACATGGGACGCTGCGTCGGCGTCGGCAGCAGTCCCAGCAGCGGCCGCAGCAGCACTCACAGCAGCAGCGGCGGCAACAGCAAACGGCAACGGCCAAGCGCACATTCAACAGTTGAACAATCTCCAATTGACTCTTTGGGCATTATAGCCGAGCCGATCCGATCCGTTCAAAACCGATCCCGTCCCGAGAGCTTTACTCCACTCGCCTCAACGTTCATCCGCGACGACAAGTTTTGCGTGTACCTTTTTCCGTGCCCACAGCTCGCCAACGAAAAAGCCTGGACACTGCTCGACGCATTGTACAGTATATAATAATAGTTCTATAGTGCGAATATCTGTTCGATCTGTGAGTGTTCAGACGTCGTCGTAGTCGTAAAACAAACACAAAAATCCGCGCTTAAACTTTTTCGAAAAAAAAACACATACAAATTTCAGTCAAGAAGAAGAAAAAACGAAAATTTTCTATATGTATGAGCCCCGTGCGCGTGTGTTTGTGTATTTGTGTGCTGGTTCGCTCTTTGCTGGAAGAGAGTATGTGTGCGACCGCGCGCGTGTGTGTGTGTGTGTGTGTTAGTGAGCTGAAATGAGACGCCATCAAAGCTGAGCGCAAAAGCAAAAGCAACAAAAGCAAATAATAAAATTCAAAATAAAAATAGTGATTAATAACAGTGAAGCGGAGGAGAAGAAGAAAAATTAATTACAAATTAATTGTGCAACAACAGAAATAAAAGAAAAAAAACTCAAAGAGAACCACCAACATGAAACATGTTTAAACATTTTGCAAGCAAAGAGAAAATACGCAAATGCCATTTCCCACCTTCTCTTTACACCAACAATGGTAAAAAAATGTTAACTTCATTGTGATCAAACGCGCCCCACACACACTCCCCGAACCCCCTCACACGACGCGACTGGGGCCAAAATGCAACAACGTCCACCCGCCCGCCAGCAGAAAGAGCAACAGCAGCAACCACTACAACAACAACAAAGACAACAACAACAACAACAGCTCCACATACCACAACGAGTGGCATATTAGAAGCAAAAAAAAAGTCAAAGCCAACAAAAGAGGCCAGAGCTTGGAGACCCAGCAAGACGCATACAACAACAACAACAACAACAACAGCAACAAAAAGTACACCAACAACACGAAAGTGGCGAAAGGTGCACCCACCAGCAGGCAGACAGCAGCAACAGCAACAGCAAGCAGTCGTAACATTTAAGCGGGCACCGCATTCGGTTTTGCCTTTCCACGCCGTGTTAGAGCCAACTCCAGAAACAAATCCAACTCCAGCTTCAGTTCCAACTCCCATTTGCAGTTCCAGTTCCAATGCCAGATAGAGTGCCATAGAGATCCTCACTAAGTGCCAAAATCAACAGCCTAATCCTGATCCCTGCGCTTACCTGCCAAAAGCCAGAAGCCAGAAGCCAGAGCCACACAGCTTAGGACGGACACAGCTGCTCAAGTAAGTAAATGCCAAGAAGTAATTATAAACGCATCAGTAGCAGTAGCAGTAGCAGTGCAGCCCTGGCTTTTGGGCCGGCCCTGAACGGAGCACCCTGTATCTGTGGCGCAGACATGGCCTAAGCCTCGCTCGGATCGGTCTCCGTCTCCGTCTCAGTCTCAGCCTCTGTCTCAATTGTTGTTGCCTTTTCCTCTTCTGTTTCGTCTTCTTCTTCCTCTTGATGTTGTTGCTGGTATCTTTCGCGCACACATTCCTCTTTGTTTGGTTTTATTTCCAAGTCGTTCGTCGACTGCGCAGCAGCAGCAGCAGCAGCCGTGGCAGAGCAGCGGCATCGGCATCGGCAGCAGTAGAGCAGTGGCAGGTAAAACGGTTTAGTATTGGTGTTGCCAAGAAAACCATGTTAGAGAGAGAGAGAGAGCGCACATGAGCAAAACAGAGAGAGAAGAAGAGCGCCGCAGCAAACAGAACAGAGTGGGAGCAAAAAAGGGATCAAAGAGTGGAAATAATGGTGTATTTTGTGCAAGGTGAGGCAGATGAAGGATGTGCTCCCACGATAATGCTTCGTATTCTATGCACATTCTACTTATAGATGTTCAACAGGTGAAAATCAATAAGCTCTCACAATAGTTTCAACAGGTTGAATACAAGGATCACAGAATATATCAATGTAGGATGAGGGCACTCCCAGAGGTTGCTGTTTTCTTTTCAACACACTATTAAGGATGCACACAGCCTCACCTTCTACAAATACACCTTGGCTTGGTGGTATTTGCCCGTTAAGACGGACGCCACTGTCTCTGCCGCTGCCGCTGCCGCTGTCGCTGCCTATGCGCATGACTCTTCCGTCTCTGCATCAGGCTCTGCTCTCAGCCTCTGTCGTCTTGTTCGAAAATCGATGATGTTGCCAGTGTTTCTGATTACGTTTACTTCTGGCTGCCTCTTCTGTCCATGCTGTTGCCTCTGCCTCCGCTGCGCCCCCCTTGTTCTTTGCGTCGTTTTTTTATTATCATTTTTATTCTACCTTTTTGTTAGTGGCCGCCGCACGTTGATGATGATGGTGATCAATTTGGGAGCCCCGCGATTATGGTACAGTAAAAGAACATCGTCCGTTCTGTCGTTCTCTTGCTTGCTCGCTCTTTTACGCAGCACACACACACACGCGCACATGCTCGTACGCACATGATCGCATGGGACACAGGAACAACACACACACACACACACATGGGCATGCACATGTAACCCACACACTCACAAAAGAGGCTAAGGGGGATAGATGGATAGGGAGGGGGAACTGTTCGTGAGAGAGTTATTTTATTTTCGTGTTCGTGTTAACGTTTATTGTTTTTCTTTTCTTTACCTTTCTTCGTTTCTTTCGCTTGTTCTTTGCCTTCTTGACTCTCCTCCGACTCTCAGCCGTAGCCCCCTCTCCACACCACTGCACTCCCCACCACTCCCCTGCTCTTTAGGGTTTTGTGTTTTCTTTGGCTTTGGTTATTGATGCCCGATGGTTGCCCCGATGCTCTGACCGTCGATGATGGCTTAGGGTTACGTTGCTTTTTACCAATTCCATTCTTTGCTTCTCTGGCTCCCTCTTCCCACCATCATTCGTGGTAAGGTTGTCTCGGGGCTAAGAAGAATATGGGGGTTACGAGGGGGCAGGTAAAAATCAAATTTCAAATTATGTCAAATCTTAATGGGATTTGAAATGGAATTGCTTTTGGTATTCCTTTCGTATCTGAGATGAAGCATAGGAGGCGACAATAGGAGGGGGCAGGAATGAAGGGGGGAATAGGTCATTAGATGTTGTAGGCGTTGTTGTTCTTCTTGAATTGAATGTTAGGGGATCTGATTATGTTGGGAACTAAAGAATAAAATGTATGTATTATCTATGGAAGATCTGAGTTTTAGCTATATTTTAGTGAAAATAAGGCTCAAGTCCTGAAATCAGTCAAAGATATTGGTATCATGTGTGTGCTTCCTTAAAGAAGACTTTCCAAAGATAAATTTCTAAACTAAAGCTCTAATCCTGAAGGTCGAAGTTCGTGCTTTTGATCTATACATATTTCTGTGAAACAGTACTAAATATTTACAGATTATCTTAGTATAAGTTTGAAATTTCCTGATTGGGCTTAGAATTGTAAAGCTATCAAATCAAAGCGAAAATATATTTCCGCATAGTTCTCAAGTCTTTGTTCGCATGTTCATTGTTCTGTCAATCTATGAAAAAGAAATTAAAAATCTATATACATATGTCTAGTTAATCCAAATAAATGTATTTATATGAGATAGTCGTATATACATGTGTACCTATGTGTCTTGATAGAAATATAACTAAGATGAATCATTAAATCCGCGTTTAGGAAGGTTCTTCAAGCTCTTCCCCCTGTTCTCCCCCAAATCTTTTCTGTCGCAGATTGACTGCGATTATCTTCCATCGCTATCGTTTCGATTTTGAGGGCAAGTCCACAGTGAATTCTTTGTGGATTTCTTTTGCACCTTCCGAATGAATAATTGGCTCCATCTATCAGCATCTCTCCTCCATTCATGCGGCAAGTAAGCCCCAGAGGCGACACTGTTCCCTGACGATCGGGTTCGACTTGGCGTTGGAGTCGATGTCGTGGATGCCCCGAGGGCCCCGAGATGGCTGACCCACATAGATCACTTCTTATCCGGGGTGTTGATGTCGGTTTAATTGTTTCCTAATTGCCTTTCTACTTTCTACGCAACTGGATCGTCGATTGCCCCTGTTGCGGATCTGGATCGGGCATCTTTAGCATGCCACGCGCCGACGCGACCCACACAACGCTGGGACCGGACTGGACCGGATCGGATCGGATGGGGATCGGGAGTGTGCTGTGTGCTGTGTGTGCCCAAAACTAGTCTATCAGCACGCCACATGACACTGACCTCACCTACTAACGGAACCACCCGATGACTGGGAGTAGGAGTAGGAGGAGAGGCAGGCAACCAGTGCGGAGTGCGGAGAGTCATGAACTCGCGCCGGTTGCCGACTTGGGTCTGACAAAACGGGTTTATCCACATCCCAGCCGCAGCGGCAGTGAACTTTGCAGCACCACCGCACCGCCACCAACCACCACCGACCATCGGGAGGCAGCAACAATTTTTTGGCTTTATCATCAAACAACAATACTGGGGACTGGAACTGGGACCTGAACCTGGACCTGCCAGGCTGCGGCCCGAACCGGCTACAGCTTCTGGATTAGGTCAAGGATTGAGGCGTTGTTGTTGTCTGGGCATGGGTCTGCCACTGGGTCTGGATCTGGCTCTGGCTCTGGCTGTGGCTCTGCCACTCGGGCTACCGGTACCTGTTCTCGGAGCAGCAGCAGCCAGGCCGAGAGAGGGAGCAACTTGTTGCTGTCGAAGTTGATGTTGTTTTGTTTGGTTTGGTTTGGTTCAGTTTCGGTTTCGGTTTCAAAATCCCTCATAAACATGTTTTTGCTGTGCGGCAGATAAAACTAAGTCGGAGATGAGATTCTGGACTATTAACAGCTGATCGACAGACTGGTTGCCTCTCTCTGCGCTGCGCTGCGCTCCGCTGCTCTGCTCTGCTTGTTTGCTGCTTGTTTGGAAGTGTCAGGGCACGCTGCACGGGCACGGGGCGGCGGGGGGTTTGGGAAGGAGAGGTGTATATCTCTGTTTAATTTCACACAAAGCACCGTTGTAAACAAAACAACATCGCACACAAATATGGCAGCGCTGCCAGCGGCTTCTGTCTGCGTCGGCAGCGACGCCGCTTCCCCAACTCCACGCTGCCTCTTCTTCTTTCCCACCTGTTGTTGCTGCTGATGAGCTGCGGCTGAGTTGTGTGTTGTGTTGTGGTTGTGCCGTGTTGGGTTGGATTGAGTTATGCAGTTACACGTTTGACATTTGCGAAGGAGTCAAACTTGTTCGACGGGCACGTGTGCGCACAGGCCAGGCCAATCTGGCTTTTGTTTGCCCCCCTTTCGTTCCGTCTTTCTGTCTGTACGTCTACCTGTCTGTCCATTCGTCTGCCGTTCTCTCGGTTTCCGTTTTTGTTTGTTTGTTGGTCTGTTTTGTGTGCTTGCAAATCGCTCACCAACACCAGCAAGCGCAACAGCAACATCAACATCAACAACTGCTTCGACTCATCGCCGACGTTTGAACCCGTTCCGTCTTCCGATTATGTTTGGGTTGCGTTGCTTCTTTTTGTTGGGTGGGGGTGTGTGTGTGTGTGTGTAAGGGGGTGTGTAGCAGGGCCCGGGCGCCAAGCAGACTGCGACAGCGACAGCGAGTGCGGCAGTTGTTGCTTTTGTTGTTAGTTTAGCATGCACATAGGGAGGAAGGTAGCGAGGGAGGGCCAGAGGAATGCCACATTTGTGGGGGGTGGGAGAGAGAGGTGGCTATGATTCAGTTGGGGATTCCCTGAGCAGTGGGGGCAATCTCTGCAAGGAAAGCAGTTCATATAAAATATGCAGTGCACATGCTCTAGCTGTTAACAGACAGTGTAGAAGGGACTTAATGAGAGCACATACAAGCAAGTTCTCGTTGTAGATAGTAAGCAGTGCAAGTGTAGGCAGTGTAAGCAGTTCCCGCTCAGATCTTAAGTCTTTCTCTTGGAACTACAGGAAGCTTCAGAGTCCGCCCACCCAACAGAAATTTCCCTAATGTTATCTCAAAGATCTTGCAAGTCCCTGCAATCAAGACTATCTTCTTCCGTATATACGTATATACTTTCACACTGTCTAATCATTTGTGTCCATTGTTTCATTGTCTTTTTGCAGCCGGAGCCGAGAAAACAACGAAGGAAGTTCCTTAGTGCCATAGAATGCAGTAATTGAAGAAGCCACAACGAAGAACAGCAACTGCAGCAGCCGCAAGAACAACCAGAAGCTCAACCGAACACGGAACACCGATATCCAAATCGAAGCAAATCAACATAGTGCCTTGAATCAATCCGTTGATAAGTGATATTTATTATGTTTATACCCGCAAGGAGCTATCGAAGCAGCAGCAACAGTGAGAGCCTTAACCATCGGTCGGGAATCGATGAGCAGGCCAAGTCCTAGACATAGTCCTTCCTCATCGCAGTGCTACGCAGTCCTAACCCACGAGTGCAATCCAGAATCCAGTTCAAATTAGTGAAGTAAGCCAGGAGCCTTAGCCAGGAGAGACAACCAGGTTGAATAATGTCCACATCCACCGCCACAACGAGCGTCATCACGTCCAACGAGCTCTCGTTGTCCGCCCACGGGCACGCCCACGCGCACACACACTCCCACACGCACAGCCACGGCCACGGGCACTCGCTGCACCAGCACCCCCACAGTCGGATCGGAGTGGGCGTCGGAGGAGTCGGCGTAGGAATCGGTGTAGGAGTGGGAGTGGGAGTCCTTAGTGACGCCTCTCTCTCACCCATCCAGCAGGGAGGAGGCGGCGGCGGCGGAGGCGCCAACAGTTCACCCCTGGCGCCCAACGGAGTACCCCTGCTGACCACCATGCACCGCTCCCCGGACAGTCCCCAGCCGGAGCTGGCTACCATGACGAACGTCAACGTCCTGGACCTGCACACAGACTCCTCGAAGCTGTACGACAAGGAGGCGGTCTTCATCTACGAGACGCCCAAGGTGGTGATGCCCGCCGACGGTGCCGCGGACGATGCTCATGCCATCGATGCACGGATCGCGGCCCAGCTGGGCACACAGCACGCCCAGCAGCAGCAGCAGCAGCAACAACAACAACAGCAGCAGCAGCAGCAGACGGAGCACCAGCCGCTGGCCAAGATCGAGTTCGACGAGAACCAGATCATCCGCGTCGTGGGACCGAACGGAGAGCAGCAGCAGATCATTTCGCGGGAAATCATCAACGGGGAGCATCACATCTTGTCGCGGAACGAGGCCGGAGAGCACATCCTCACGCGCATCGTCAGCGATCCCTCGAAGCTGATGCCCAACGACAATGCGGTGGCCACCGCCATGTACAACCAGGCCCAGAAAATGAACAACGACCACCAGGCCGTCTACCAGACCTCGCCCCTGCCCCTGGACGCCTCCGTGCTGCACTACAGCAACGACAACAGCAACGTGATCAAAACGGAGGCGGACCTCTACGAGGACCACAAGAAGCATGCGGCCGGCGGGGGCTCCATCATCTACACCACCTCCGACCCGAACGGCGTCAATGTGAACGTGAAACAGCTGCCCCATTTGGCCGTGCCGCAGAAGCTCGACCCGGACCTCTACCAGACGGACAAGCACATCGATCTGATCTACAACGACGGCAGCAAGACCGTCATCTACTCCACCACCGACCAGAAGGGCCTCGAGATCTATTCGGGCGGCGACATCGGCAGCCTCGTCTCCGACGGCCAAGTGGTGGTCCAGGCGGGCCTCCCCTATGCCACCACCACCAGTGCCACAGGCCAGCCCGTCTACATCGTGGCCGATGTCAGCGAGGACCATTTACAAAGGTGAGTACGAGTCCGATCTAAGGGGAAAAAGGGTTGTCGGAATGGCAATGAGCCATTACCTAAGTGGTTCGGTGTGAATGTTTTGTGCTTTGTGCCCAGCTTGAGCAGAGAAAAACTCTTTAATTATTGGCTTAATTGGAACTATACGGGGCTCTCAATTAGGAGAAGTAGTTTCATTGTTAGGGGATCTAATATTTGTATACTCATATAATATGTCAAGCTGTTTCCTCAAAAGTATGGAATTTGCCCTGATCCTGGGAGGATTCCTGGTTGTAAATTCCGTATTCCACTCGAAAAATGTGAGTTTCTATAGAAGGACCTACTCTTTTCCCTAGTAATATCAAATATTCCGTCTTAGATATCAAAAGAATAGTCGTTTCTTCAATTGTCTAGGTAATAATAAATCTCAAAGCAAAAACAAATATCTGTCACATATCATCTTAACTTGACCATACTTTTTGAAGAAACTGAGGATTCCTAATCGAAATGTATCAAGGATCGTTACAAAGGTAATCATTATACGCATTCCGTAGCTTCCTGGTACAAGATAGTACTCTGAAGCACTGGCTCCGAGCTCCATTCCATCTCTGAGTTCCGTTCTATTAAGCAGAATATACGGCTTCACTAATTGCTCCATCGTTGGATGTGTTGCGGGTTCCTGTTGCTGCTTCTGCTTGTTACGACATCAACATCTTAATTGGGGACAGTGGGATCATAGTTTTTAGCCTCGATTCGGTTGTCCGTCTGCCCCGTCTTCCCGTTCTCAGTTGTCTTTACTCCGTTCTCCGTCCGCTGCCTCTTCAGTGTCTACCAGGTCCTTTCAAATCAATGTTTGTCATTTGCATTTCTCATGCATTTGAATTAACCGCTTTTGCCGGGCGCGCATTTTACTGTTAATTATTGCGATAGGCCAACATCGTCAACCGGCAACAGCAGCCACAGCAACAGCAGCAACATCTGCAACTGCAGTGGCAGTGGCTGTGGCAGCGGCAGCGGTAACGCCAGCGCATTCTGGCATTCTCCATGCCCCATTCCCGTTCCCCAAACATTGAGTTCAAGTCAGAGTCCTCATCCTCAGTCGCCCAATCCCCAATCCCCATGCCCCATTCCCCCAGTGGAATGACAGCTTCCGTTGTAACTGTTTCTTCTATACGTTATTGCTGCCCCTGCAACATCAGTCGCTGCAGCAGCAGCAGCAGCAGCAAAAGCAACAGCAACATCCACAACTTTGGCATTCTGGCGTGCATCGAATGCGCAAGTAGGCGAGCTAATAACACCCAGATCCAGGCACCATCACCAGCCTCGGCTCTACCACGCGGATGTGTGCCGTGCCCCAACCACAGAACACAGAGAGCCCCCGAATGGGTTGGCAATTCATTTCAGAGCAGTCGCCAGTTGTGGAGGAGCGTGGCAGCGGTGGGGCTGTGCGGCTGTGCGGTGCGGTGGGGCATTTGGTATGCGCAAGTAATAAAAATTTGAATATAAATTAATCTAATAGAGAACCGTTAGCGAGGTGAGATGCAAGCGCAGCCTCCGACTCCTTGAGCAAGGTGCCGCCGGGGGCTGGCCTCGGTCCGGCTCGGAGCCTCGTCGAGAGCAACTAAGTCATCGTCATCTGGCTGGAATGGTCGCTCGATCGGTTGGATGGTCGGACATCTGCAACGCCATCGCATCTGCATCAGCCGCAGCCGCAGCCGCATCAGCCATCGCCATCGCCAGCACCACTCCTCCGCCTCCATCCTGATGCTCGTCGTATTCTTATTCTTATTCTTCTAATGCCAACGTCCCAACCCATCCTGTTATAGCAGCAGCAGCAGCAGCAGCAGCCTCCGAGAGTCGTCCGTTGCATGTTGCATGCGCGGCAAGGTCCATAAATAACGACAAAATTGCGTTTCCGCATATGGACCGACGTCGTCTTCGATTCGGACTTTGGGTCTGGCTTTGGCCTGCCTCTGACTGTGGCTCTGACTCTGCCTCTGACTCTCACTGTGGCATGCTGTGGATGCTGCCGCTTGACCAGCCTGGGACCTTGCGTGTTGCCCGATTGGACTTGGCCTCAGTCTCAGTCTCTGCCACAGCCACAGCCAGAGCCAGAGCCAGAGCCTCCAGAGCCGCCGCAGCCTCAACCAAGTTGATGTACAGTTTGTTTTGTTTGCTCGTTGATAAGCAGCCGCATCCGAGGACATGTCCACATGTCCAGATGTCCACATGTCCGCGTCCACGTCCCAAAAGTGTTCGCTTTGCCACGTTTTCATTAAAGTCAAATTAAGCCGCAGCCAATTCGTGTGTCGGAGGACGAGGAGAAGAGGCTGCAACGGGACAGCGTCCGTATAAATTCCAGTTGACCTTTGTTTCGTGCGATCCTTTCCATTGTGTCTGTCACCGCATCACATATCCCTTTCAGCGTCTTAATCTACACTCAACAGCAAAGGATTTTCCCATTGCTCCGAAAAAAGCACGCATACTCGTGCATATATGTTCCTTATAAAGAATGCGGAATATCATATGAACACTAGACAGCAAAGATTCGAATAGCTTAAGGCCCCGAAAAGGATACACTTATTTTTGTGGTTAGTACCCACCAGGGTTGCATTTAGTCCAAGCTTAAAGCTCAGCCAAGCAAATGCCAAGATGAAAGCTCCGCCACAGCAATTATATTGCATTTTTAAAAATTGCCAATTGCCGGTCGTTTTACGATCCACCGTATTGGCCAGATTATTCGGCTGAGTTGAGTGCAAAGCAATGTACGATTTTATTATTCTCGCCATTGGCAATAAAATTGTTCTATTACCCCGTAAATTGGGCATTATATTACTTTACCGCACGAAGACTTGTGCAACAGCTTCCCCCTCACCAGGCTCAAGTGGTATGGATTCGTCAATAAAATTTTTGTATTTGAAACGAAAACAAATATCACGGTAGGAGTGCAATATACAAATATTAATTGGGGGGGGAGGCAAAGACTATTTTAACAAAAAATGAATGGGCCCAACTTTGATGTGTGAATGCAAAAATGATGTCCATAAATATCGCCAAAATAAACTCAAATTTGAATAATAAGAAAATCCATTAATGAATAAATCTGCACATACAATATTCATAAAATATAAGACTCACAGTCAATGAATCCATAAAACACAATATCTTTGTGCCAGAGTAAAATGGCATATCAAATTTGCATTTCCTTTATTTAAAAAATCTGTGCGGTCACCTTTGACATTTGATAGAGCTATAAATAGAATCGACTTAGTGGAATCGTTTAGGAATCATATTCGTATAAAAGCTCAAAGTGCTATATAATTCGATGGCCATAAAATATGATTATTGTTAATTGACGTAAGCTTTTCTCTCTGGGAAATATTCAACTTTGACATTTGCTAAAAGATCCCCTATATTTTGTAGATGTGCACGTGCACCCAACCCAACGCAACTTTTTGTTGCACAGTGTTTTGGTTACGGCGAATGGGGCTTTGTTTTTTTTCCTTATTGCGATGCGGAAACCCCACAAATTGTGCAAAATGAATGCATTTTATGAAATTTCCATACACAAGGATAACCTTCGGCAACAGCCTTCTGATCGGGGCGTTCGCGGTCAATGCGTATGTCACACACTCGTCCAAACCTACACACATATATATATATATATATATATCGCTTATATGTATGTATGTGTATGTATATATGCCGCTTACTTTCACTTTAACCGATCGTATTAAATTTCTGAGCTGTAAAACATATTTTTTGCTCGTTTTTTTTTTTGGATTTTCCCCCCGTTTTACATTTTGTATTTTGTCTCTCCTTTATTTTATTTTACTTTAATTTTCGATTTTGTTAAAGTTTATTATGTTGCGTGTGTGTGAGAGAGTGTAGGGGTTGTGTTTACACTCCTGTACAAACAAATAGCTCCACTCTTGAGTGTCTCTTATCAGGAGATAGAACTGAGACGACTGTCCCTGCCTCTTTGCTCACGATTCTCCTCTCTTCCACTCTCCCTGTCTCCCTCGCGCTCTTCTTTTCGTATTCCCCTTTCTTACTACCTTTCAACTCTCCTTGTTCGCTAGCTGATTGACAATATTTCAGTATTTTTACTGTTGTCGCCGTTTCACAGCCTCTGGCAGCAGGCTGTCGCGCAGGCGCGCTGTGCAAATGGAGCATTTCCATGCATGCCCTTCCCCACACTCGCGGTGGATCGGCTATGCTGGACTGCTTGTTCAGTTGGATGCGGAATATAGAATGATATAGCTTTAACCTTCAGATATCCTATCTACCCATCTATGTAGAATAGAATGTTATCTTTGAAACACACCTTTTTGTATGGCTTTGGAAACTTTCGATTAATAAATGCTTTGGAATACTAATATTTGGGCTATTATATAGTGATATTTCTATATTCAAATCATTTGATAAACCCCTCGACGACATACAATATGGCAAAACCCATGAAAGGGGAGAAAAATGATTGTATTATTGATCATTTGAGTTGATAATGTCTTAAAGGAAGGTACTGCAATGCATGAAACGTTAATTTATGCACTAAAGGGTATTCGTAGTTCGTTTAGTCGTTAATCTGATGTTTTCTGCTTCTTGCTTCTCATTTTATTACGAGTATTATTAATATTAAAAGGTGCAACAGCGTTTGGACATTTTGATACAATAACAAACCTGTTCACCTGCGCAGTCTACCTGCAGCAAGAAGACAGAGAGAGACAGAGAGAGAGAGAGAGGTAGAGTATGAAAGAGAGGGGAGAACACAGAGAGAGCGAGAGAGATGGAGAAGTGGAGACGATGTTGGGGAGACAAGAAAGAAACATGTTAACACAATTCAGAGTCTCATACGCTCGACGTCGACGTTGACTGTCGCCTGTTGTTGTTGTTGATGTTTTTTGTGCTGTTGTTGTTGTTGTTGTATTTCTGTTGGTGATCTTTGAGTCTCTCGCTCCACTCGAAAAACTCTGAATTGGCGCTACAAGTTTATCGAACGCTCAAAGTGGTTTTCAGTT